TTGTAAAATTAGGAAAACCTGATTTATTTCAATAGTGCATTCAATTTCCACAACTCTATTTGTTAATTTGTTGGATTTTTTACTTTCGGTTTCAGCATTTCTTTATTAGTGATAAGCGGGATGAGCTCCTAAGAAAAGCTGTTGAAACTGCTGCTCTAAACATCGGAGTTGCGATAAAAATCTCTAAAGATTCAATTAAGACTTCTTCTTTCTGGGATCAAAGACTGGGAAAATACAGGTTTCAGCTTTGTTGTGTTCTTTTTTCAAGGATGAATTTTATTATTTAACTTTTAGATTTTTATCTAATTTTCTTTCTTTTGTAGTATTGATGATGCAATTACATCTCTCTGTGATTTTATTGTCCACAAGGAGTCTCGACGACACAACGTAAGTTCGTTTGCCAAACTAAAAAAAAATTTCAGAAATTTAAAAGCTTTAATGCTATCCTGTTTTTATTTTATTTTTCATTTTCTAATATAGATGCAGTATCGGACCCCAAATCCGGCACTCGTGGGACCGACGAAATTCCGTATTTCAGAATCTGCCGAATTTTGGATCTCTTTCGGAAATTCCAATGTGGCCCCCATATATTACAATAATTCAATTATACTGTTAGTTTAAGAAAAACCAATAAATTTAGTTAAGTTTTGATCATAGATTATGATGGGGTGAATTTAAAACTGTCCCGACGTAAGAAACTAAACATCAAGTAAAAAAACCCGCAAAAAGGATTTAATTCATTTTGTATCCTACGTGGTAGTTTCAATGTCAACTGGGTGTGGTGAATTTATGGTCAAATAAGAGAGGGAAATGTGGGGACAAATCAGTAGAGCAAGTGCACCGATGTCAAGATTGATAAGCAGGTGTTTTTACTGCTCCCTTTATTTTAAACTGCTTTAGGAACAGAGTTTCATTTGACACAGATTTTTTCATGCTTTTTTTTATTTTTAAAAGAAAATAAAGTTACTTCAGCAGAATAAAAATTCCAAGTAAAAAGAGAATATAACTGATTTTTTTCTCAAATCAATAAAAATTTCTTTTTAAAAAAATGAAATTTGATTAAGTGCCTAATTTCAGGTCCTATTGGATTTGGGGTCCCATACAGTAATAAAATTTAAGAAATTCAAAGATACCAACTATTGCAATTTATCTGTAATCACTATTATTCCATCGTCAAGACAACTGTTTTATGGTTGACTTGTAAAGATTATGGTTTTCAAGAATTTCCGTTCAAATCTATTTAAATAAAGTTTTTTCCCCATAACTTCTACAGGATGCGTAGCATTTTTAAAAAAAAGCTTAAAAGTGCTTATTTTCGATTTACGTTTTTTAAAAGCACTTAAAGGTGCATTTATTATTCGAGGTTTGTCAAAAAAGCTTAATTTTCTATCTTTTAAAAAGAGATTTTTTCCTTTGCTGTATTGATTGTCGTTTTCAATTACAAAAATAGCATGATTTTTACTATTTTCTTTGCAATATTTATCAGGAACTAGTTAATTTTTCATGATTATGTAAATTTTTTGCAGATATTTTTAATTTTATTGATTTTATGTTTATAAATCTAGATTTTTAAACGATAGGAAAAGAAAAATTCAGTACTGCACAAATCGTAATTATGATCTTTTTTTTTGGAAAGTGATTAAACATATTTTTTGAGTGCTTAAAATGTACTTGAAAATAGTTAAAAAGTACGTTGCTGAAAAATCTGGTTATGCACCTTGTTCTAAGAATTATGAAATTTTGTTATTTGAAACTAATCTACAATAAATGTTTTCTTCTCCTTTAACAATTCTAAAAATAATGAATAAAAAAAAAACGATTTAATTGAAACAAGAAATAAGAAAAAAGCAAATATCACGATTGGAACAAGCTCCTCTTAAACTTAATCTTCTCATCAAGCAAAAAACAAACTGATATCTGAAATGCTTTGGGCAAAATGCTTTTTAGTGGTTCAAATGCAGGATGATGACTAGTTCTAATTTAATCAAAAACCATGACTTTCATTTCAAGCAATAAATTTGAATTTTAGTTTAGTACTTTTATTTAAGTGCTACTTTTTTATTTTATCTAATAGTAAATTCATGCATTATTTTACTAACGTTATAACCTTATATCAAGTTGTATATGCACCTTTCAAATTGTTGTTGACGTATGCCTGTTTTAGGCAGAGGGGGTGCGATTGTTCTTGTTTTCCAGTGGCGCCATCTATGGCTAAGAATTCGACTTCTGCCATACCATGCGTTGCACCCGTTTATAGGGCGGACCCATTCATACATCCACAGATCATAATTTTGACCTGAATCAGAGAACAATCGATCTCCAATCCAGTACCCACAGAGGTATTGATTTGTTATGGGAGCATGGAGGACTTTTACGACTCGACAGATTTGACGTGCATCAGTCAACCTTTCAAATTAAACAAATGAAATTTGTACCGTTACCCCTCTAGCTGTGATCTCTATATTTAACTTAACAGTAGGCAAGTATCGAATGAATTACAGGAAACTCTTAACATTTAAAACTCATTTTTATTGCAACTCTAAATCTTCAAAAAACATAATTCCACATTAATTAAAACAACATACAACCTTAAAACACTCAAGCATAAACTTCAATTCATACCGTTAAAAAAAACATTTAAGAAATAAAAACTGCATTTAACATTACTAAAAACACTTAAGACTTGGTTTGTGATGTCTATAAATCACACTTAAATACTCATTGTTCTCCTACACAAAAAAACACAACATAAACAGTTCAGAATTTACAGTAAATGATTCCTCTAAAATGTTAACGAAATAAAATTTAAAGTTTTATAAGTACCCAAAAGAATTTACTGTTCGCCCTCTGGAAACGCCCACCGGAATGGTAGATGAGCTCGTGGACAAACTCCGCGGCTAGGCTCCCAAAATTTCTCCAGCTATTCTAACTTCATTAAGCTTAGGCATGTAGAAGGGGAACACCGGACTTCCAGCATAGATACGTTCGGACTTGGCCCACCGTCTCGAAGATATCGGCCTTCGGCAAATCACGGTCGTTCTTCCCGCTAGAGACTTCTGTTTAGCTTTCCTTAACTTCACGATACACCATCTTCGAGGTGCTGTCACGGACCACCTTTCCTGCGGACAAGCTCCGTATCCTCCGGGTTACTGCCTTTAGCCACACTCTTCACTTCTCTTTTATCCTCCCTTCAGCAAGGCGAAAGAATCTAGATTGACCTGTTTACCAAATCCAGAGTCATCCCGCATCCGGCGGGCGTCAGTACCAAAAAAAAAAAGAAAAAAAAGATCCCTGAGAAAAAACAATCATAAATCCACTAATACCCTGTAGAAGTTATAATAGCATCCTCAATAAATATTAATAAATTTAGTTACCCAGATTTCACCCCAAAAATCCCATTTTAAATGACTAATTCAAAATTTCCAAAAAAAAATATCATTATTCTGATTGAATTTAAACTTTACCATAGTGGTGCCATCTACAGAAAAATAATCTATCTTTAAAAGTATTGAAAAAAAAAACTATAATAAATTTCTATTTATTACAATCTCGCTTTAAAAGTATTGAAAAAAAAAACTATAATAAATTTCTATTTATTACAAATTACATCTTTTGTTAGTACATATATGTACTATATTTAGCAGATCAGGCATGTGATTCTTTCACAAATTTGTGGAATTTCACAAATCTGAAGATCGTTGATTGGCCTACTTCCGCGAATCAATTTTGTTTTCATTGTTTTAATTAAGAATTAGAAATTCTAACCTATAGTTCAAACTGGATCGTTTTTAATGCTAATTCAGGGGAATATCACAAAAAATTAGACAACAACCATTTTGCCAATGGGTAACCTGTGATGGCCTTTCCGCAATCACAATTTTTTCCTAAATATTGTTTTAAGTTAAAAGAAATTTATATATTTCAGGAAAATGTAATAACTTTTATATTTCTTTTATAACGTTTTTCTAAAAAATTATTTTTTTAAAATCAACGATAATTGAGTAGAAAAAAGATTTTTGTATTTAAAGTCAAAATTTGTGGGAATGTTGCATTTATTTTTATTATTATAGTTTATATTCAGACAAAAAATTTTCAGAGTTCTGCTGAAAATGTAAATTTTGTTACTTACCCAAACTTTTGTTAGCAAGACATTTATTTCATCCTTAACAGCACCCTCTTTTTTCTTCTTCCTAAATTCTTATTCTTTGATATCATTGTAAGTATCACACAAACACCAAATTGAAGAGACTACTAAATTATTTTTCATCATGTCTCTAAAACATAGCAAAGCATATTTTCTTAAGAAAACACGAACCCACGTGTCGAACATTCGACTTCTTTACCGAGACCACTTTCGCTGTCAAACTCTGGATCGGTTTCTTCAAATTGATTCCAAACAGAGTCCTTGTTAAATGCATGGTTTTTCTAGACTCTGTCATGTTTTCCCAGTTTGCCATGGGTATCATATTTAGTACAAATACATTCTCATAAATAACCAGTTTAAATCAAGATATTTAACTGTTGTCTTAAACCTGAAGGCTTAAAAAAAAGATTTGAAGCAATATTGACTAATTAAAAACATTTTTTTAAAATAATAATTGTGTTTGCTTTCCATTTTTTTTGTGGATAACACTGTTCTATAAGTACTCTGAAAATAGTTTTTTATGGCTGGAAAGGAATATGTACACTACAAAACTGTTGATTATGGTAATTGTTGAATTTATAATTAATCTTCATTTTGTACTTCTAAACACTTCTTAATCTGATAATATGCCCCAAAGGGCAACAAATAATAAATAAGAAAAAGAATTGGGATTATTTTAGCTTTTTTAATTGTGTCTGTCTTGTGGTGTTGATTAACACCAATTTATTTACTTTTCTTCACTCCTTACAAAGAACTGGTTTTCTTTTATTCTCTTCTATATAATGTGTAATGTGACTCATTTATTTGATAAATAAAAGTGTTGTAAGTAATAAATCGAAATGTTATGTAGGAACCCGTAAAGAGGGTTTTAGGATTGACTGAAACTTGCCTTCTGGAAAGAGATCCACAAACGTACTCAATTGCAACACTCAGGCCTTTATCCTCTGTAAGTATTCCTTATCTTTTTATTTTAAATAAGCAATGTCTTTGTAGCGTGTCTATCACTACAAATTTACAATTCCAATTCACTAGTGTATAAGACATGTTAACTGGATTCTATGAAGGGGAACCTTTTCATTGATGAAGGTTGACATTGTCCAAAACTCTCTCCCCATATTGGTAACCAGGCGTGATGAGAACATGCCTACCTAGACAGAAACTCCCACTTCGATCTAAAACACGCCTACTTCGATGGATAGTCCACATTGAACAGTTGACTTGCTTCATGTGACTGTGACATTATCCACCTCCTTGCGCTGTTGCTACTCAGTCCCCATCTTACATAATATGTATTGTATTCATTCGACTGCTAAAGGCAATACAGGAGCGACGATGACTGTGTATTTAATGCATCTCTCCCAATCAGCACTCAAAAGTATGGTGATCTTAATACAGCTCTTCCGGCTTCTCACAATGAATCAACTACTGGCATCTTGTTCATCGAATTCTATCAGAGCTATAATTCTGGTGGAGGAGTATTGTGGTGTGTCTACCACTACAAAATTACAATTACAATTCACTAGTATATAAGACACGTTAACTTGATTCTATGTTGGGATATCTTTGCATAGACGAAGGTCGACATTGGCGATAACTGTTCCCACAGTCTTTTTAACTTTTTGTTGCAAAGAATATGTATGTATACATATGTTGCAATAAAAGTTTTGAGAAATTAAAAAATTTTTTTAATAAAATTTACTCTCAATTAAGAAACAAAATTTTTTTTGTTAGATACAGTTCATAGTTATAAAGGGAAAGGAGTATAGTTTTAGGTTTTAAGGATAAAATAAGTATTAATGCATTTATTTCATTTAAAAAAAGTCGCGAAAATTTGGGGTAGGCTCTAATTTTGTGGGGGAGTGTCTTGTCGTCCAGAATTTGATTACTTTAAATGTCTATTCTGTTTAAAATGTAAGCTTTATTTTTTATTCAATTCCATTTATGAAGTATTTTACATACATTTCGGTGTATAAGTCAACTTTTTGAATCTCCAAAATTCTAAGAAAAATTAGGGAGTTGATTTGTATACTAGTAATAATATCTGACGTGGAAAAGTGGTGTTTCAAATTTTTAATACTGTTATAAAATTATAGGACCAGTCACATCCTTGTAAAAACAACTGTTACTTTGAATATGTTTTTTTTTTTAAAAAATACTAGTTTTGAAGAACTGTATTAGTAAGTAATTTAGACAAATCACCAACGTTGCAATTTTATTTGGATCAATTAGGGTTTTTTTTATTAAAAAAAAGTTTTTGTAAGAGAAATTTTAAAAAAGGAATCAAATGCTATGCCCATTTACTTAAATAGCTATGTCCCATTTCTTAAACACACATTTTGTGCTTTGTTAAGAATTGTCTGTTTTATTATTGCTATCACATGGTGCATAGCATTTTGAAATAGTGCTTAAAGATGCTTATTTTTTATTTTCGTTTTTTAAAAGCCCTTATTGGTGCTTTTTTGTTTGTTTTTTTTTAAAAGGTGCCTTATTTTCCATTGAAAATGAGATTTTTCTTCCTTAGTATGTCTATTTTGGCTAAATATTAAGAAAAGCATAATTTTCACATTGTTCTATTTAGCATTTTCACAATTCATTCCAACAAAATGCATTTTGGCATAACGTATGAAAGCGCAATCATGTTTGATGAAATATTTGCAGACCTGTGTCTATTGATTCCATGACACTTTCAGTTGCATATTCTCAGACTTCCACTGTCTGACGTTGAACCCTCTTCATCTTTTTATGGTGGTTAATATAATCAAGAAACTTTGTCAAAAACTAGTTATTTTGTCATAATCGTGTAAAGTCTTTGAAAACTGTTTTGTTAATGTATATAGTGCTTAAAAAGTACTTAAAAGGGTCTTATTTTTCATTGAAAGATTTGGATACGGTATTATGCAATTGTTTTGTACTTATCTATAATTCTTTCTCATATAATTCTAGATTTATGCATTGATACGCCATCCCGATAATCCTCAAAAATTCTTAATAGAATATGTAATGGGTCAAGTCCGTTCCTACACATCTACTGACAGGTAAAATGATTACTTTAAAATAGAAAATGACTCGCGTTGTGCTCGATTAAAATATTGTTCTGTTCTGTAGAGATGCCCTTTTAGCGACACTATTGGACGGTGTAAGAGCTTCTGGTAACTGTGATATCCATGTCAAAATGCAGCCTACGTGTAGGGGACAGCGCTATGGTCCATTTTATCAGCCTGTTGATGAAGAAATAGAAACAAACCATTTGCGTTTCCTAGTTTCATTGCCAGGTGAGTTTCTGTTTTTGTAATGTCTTAAACATACCTGCCAAGTCTCCTGTTTTTGAATGAAGACTTCTGTATTTTACGACTATCTCCTGTTTTACAGTATATTCTCTAATTTCTCCCTATTTGTTAAAGAAATTTAAGTAGAAAAAAAATGGAGATGAAATATCCACTGATGGCAAAAATATTTCTGTTATTCCTCAACAGATAGTGCTATTGTCAGTACTGCAATATGTTGAGTATTAATAGTTTAAAACGAGCCACGATGGCTCAGAGGGTAGAGTTTTCGTCTTCCAATGAGGTAAACCAGATTCGCAATGGCTGGTCGATACAAATCTGCATCCCGCTTGCACTGGCCACGATGCTGACAAGAAATATCCTCCTTTACACAGATCATGGGTTAGAATCCCTTTGCCATAAGGCTAAGCGTGGTCTTCCTCTCCATGTAATGCAAATGCGGGTTAGTTTCATCATAAAGTCCTCCATGAAGGTACATTTCTTCCAATACTTGATCCAGGAGTAAGAGACTCTTGTCATCTGGATTGGGTTTAAAATTACGAGGCTTTGGAGTTGAACAGTAGTACTTGTAAACCCAAAATTGGGTTGACTGTTCTACAACGGTTATAAAATAAAATAGGTTTTGTAATTATGAATAATGGTTTAAGAAAAGAGATTAAGATTTGTATGCATCACTAAATGTAAGTGCTTATTTCATTCCAATTTTGAATTTCTCTTTTTTTGACTTTCATCATTATGCATGATGTATCAAAACTTTACTCATAGTGTAAAAAATGTCACTAGTAAAATCTCCATTTTTTTATTTGTTGCCAATGTTGGCAGGTATGCTTAAATTTTTACAAATTTTTATTGCATTCTTCATTAAAATGTTATCTTTCTTTAGGCTATACGAAATAGATTTTTTACTGTGCAAAATCAAATCTTTGTGTGATTCTCATTGCAAACATGGTAGCTTTTTTAAAAGCCCTTAAGATGCTTTTTTCATTGGGTGTTTTTAAAAATTGCTTAATTTTCCCTATTCGAAAATTAGATTTTTTCTTTACCACATCAATTTTTGCCATGCATTATGCGAAAGCGTGGTTTTCAAATTGTTCTATTCACCGTTCTCACAATTCATTGAATCACAATCTATTTCAGTGTACCGTTGGTCCGTAGCGTATGAAAGCACCAATCATTTTACAGGTTTGATGAGATTATTGCACTCTCATGTGCATCTCTGTTGCATTTTGTAAGATATTCTCAATTTCAGGCTTCATTTTCCACCCACTGAAATCGTACCGAAAAATCTCTTTGATCTTTTTATGGTGGCTAATATAATTCAGTAAAGAGTTCTTTGTCAGAATAATTACTTTGTTAATGTATATCGTGCTTAAAAATATTCTTTGAGTGCTTAAAATAAGTACTTGAAAGTTGCTCATTTTTTGTTGAAAACTGGCTATGCACACTGACTTAGCTTGAATGTGTGTGACAATTATTCTGCATTTTGTTAATGTATATGGTTCATAAAAATATTTTGAGTTCTTAGGTACTTGAAAGGTGCTTATTTTTTGTTGAAAGTTTTGGCTACGCACCCTGACATTGAATACCAGAATAAGCTTTTTTTAAAGTTATATTGCAAACAAACTGAGATGTCATCGAGATTCTGACTTGAAACACAATACCTGTCCCAGTTATAAGTATTGGAACTCATTTTTGTGTTTGTAACATCTTGCAATCGAAATTTCGACCGTGTTCTGTCATGCTAAAATTTTAACTCTAAAATTACTTTTTTACAAAGAGACTAAAGAGATGATGGTGTCTCGTTTTGTTACATCTTTTATTATTATAGTGCTGTGGAAAAGTTCACTTAAAATATACAATTTGTCTGCCTCCAACTTATGGTATTTTTAAGTCATAGTGAGATATAATAGTAATTTTATGTTTAGCTATTGAAAATAAAACACTATATTATTACATATTATTTGCAAAATTTTTAAAATTTACAACAGTTTTATCTTTTTTGTAAATACATTCGTTTAATCTAATAAGGCTGATACTTATTAAAGTTAGTTGATTGACTAGTAAGAAGAAAGTTAGAATTTAATAGCTTTGGCTTAGCTAAATAAGAATTGTTTGGTCCCTTTAGTGATTCTTCCTCGGATTTCCGCTTTTTTACAGATTTTTCCATTTTCCCCGCTAATTTCCGCTGAAATTTTTTTTTGCACAAGTTAAAATATTTTATGAGGAATTTAATTTTCCTTGGAATAAAACTGGTTGACCTTTATACAGGGATAAGATTTTTGTCTTTTGAATTTCAGCCTTTTTATCAAAAACTCTGATTCTCTAAAAGTTTAGTTTTTTTTATTTATAAATATCCCGTTTTTTTAAAAAATTCAGTTGTTGAAATAAAATAATTATATTTATGTACAATTTTCAAAGATAAACAGAAAATTAAAACTACGCCATAGCTGCTAACCCTTCCACATTTGTACTTATTTTAACTATTTTCTCCGCTTTTACGCACAGAAAATAAGATTTTCCGTATTTTTATCCGTCCGCCGGATAGCTCGTATTTTCGTAATTCAGGCGTCGCTGATTCATGTTTTCTGGCGTGAAAGTGAACAAAAAAAAAGGTGGATTTGCGGTGAAAATATTTATTTACTCATTCAATTAATCTTGTATTTTGTATGTTTTGTATTTAATTTTCATTTATTATGTCTAAACAAAAACAGCCTTTTAGAAAACCGAAGTCCAGACTCTGCAAATATATCGAGTCTTATTTACGCAATTTTAATATCAATCATCAATATTCGTATTTACCTGATTTAAGAGTTGCACATTGAAATTGTTATTTGCGCTATTTAAATTTCGTATATTATGATTCTTATTTACGAGATTTAAAAATCCAATATTGCGTTTTGTATTTATGCATTTTTAAAATCTCTATTTTATTATCAAACATAGATTTTTGTATTTATCTGATTTAAAAGTTGAACGTTGCGATTCTTATTCAGGCGATTTAAATATTGTACATTGCGATTCTTATTTACGAGATTAAATTTACGAGATTTGTATTTATGCGAGCTTAAAATCCAATGTCATGACTCGTTTTTGTGGTTGTACTATCAAACATCGATTTTCATATTTATACGTGCTTTAAAAATTAGACATTGGGATTCGCACGATTTAAAAATTGGACATTGTGATTCGTATTTTCGTGATCTAAAACTTACGCATCATGATTTGTATTTTCGCATTTTTTAAATTCAATATAGTTTCATATTCAAGTGATTTAAGAGCTTCATATCAGGATTCTCTCAATTTAAAATCATGCATGTGATTCATATTAATACCTGTACAATTTTAAAATTAATCATCGGGATTGACAATCACATGGTTTACAAGTTTAAAAATAACACTTTTTTTGTCAATTTTTTGGATTTATATATATATATATATATATATTCATTCTTGGATTTCCTCTTTTTTACTTTCTGATTGACTACTCTCATCCCTGTTTTTTATTACCAAAAAATAAAATCTTAAATGCAATAACTACTGTATTTATAATTTTTACATACACATGAAAGTAATGGATTACACACGCATCTTATTCAATTATAGCAAATTAAACAAAATTTTGAAGCTGAATATAACTGGTATAATATAATATAAAAACAAAAAAATAAGATTTTCAATACATAAATTTTACAAATCTTTTCCCTCCCTCGACTGAAAAACTAAGACCACTAATACCATCTAGTAGGAAAGTAGTAAATTAAGTATCATAAAGTAGAAACAAACTCAGCCCGGGCCTCACAAAATAGAAACGTTAATTTTCTTCCTTCCTGAAGTCAGTTTGGGCATCACAAATACTGCACTTAGTAGTTGTCCGAGCTGGATTCGGGCGATACTGGCAAGGTGTTAAATAATTGTGTTTTAAGCAATGATTTTTATTGTTATTTCATCTATTTATATTCTAATAGTAATAATTTTTAAAAAACCTGGTTTTACTCTTCTATTTCAGTTCGCTGGGATTTTAGTAGAGCTGTTTTTCAATTTAACAACAATGTATCCTACAGAGGACTCATTAACTCAAACATTCAAGAAGTAAGAAAATATGTATATTGACGTTTATGAAAGTTAATTATTTTTATGGAGCTTTTAAAGACTTAATAAGATGTTTTAAAATCATAATTTACTATGATTTTTAAAGTTCTTCTTTTCAAAATATTATAAATTATATTAATTAATAATTATAATAGTAAATAGAATCTCTTAAAAAGAACAGAATTTTATTAGGAAGTAAGTTATTTTATTTTCCTGAATAATTTGAATAAAAATAAGGAACATAAGTTTTCATTGTTTTACTTATCTGGTGAGAAATAGATTGATAATTCTGACTGATTTAATTAGTTTTAATTTTAAATGGAAGAAAACATTTTAATTATTTAATAAAAAGTAAGTAAAATAAAAAAAAATTTGTTTACCTAAGTAGGAGTTGGCTTTAATTCTTTTTTATATTACTTCTTAATATTAAAAGTTTATTGTATTTGCTGGAAAAAAATATTCTAGTTATCAAGGAAAGAGTAAAACCTTAAGTAAATAGGAAATTTATTTTTTCAATTTACTGAAAAATTTGAGAAAGTGAGATTTAAGTTGGTGAGATGTGACTGCATTTTAAAATTTTCATTGTATTTACTTCAAACACTTGTTTAATGCAATATTAAGTTCCAGATAGTATACCAACTTTAAATTTTTTTAATCTGTTTTAAAATTAAAGGATTTGTCCTATTTCTATTACATGTTAATGCTGAAAGTATGCCCATAGATAAAGAATTATACTAAGCATAATATTTAATCTATTTCAATCACGAAGAATTATTCATGTGTGATCTATGTCTTTATCCCTGTGGCAGATTCGCAGCGACATGGCTACATTCTGAGTTATTGCAGAAACATTTTTCTTTTGTAAAGTAAAAATTTTTTTACTTTTCTTGTCTACAGAAATTTACACGTAATATTTTTATCATGCCTTCAGGTAATCACTTTTTGACACGCTTAATTTACGACGATAGTATCGGAAATTGACTTAATGTTTCGATTGTATTTTCGGCAGTTATTGATACTGATTTTCAAGTGGATATCAAATATTCCCATACATTTCAAACAATATGGAAAATTCGAATAGTGCATTTGAGTATTTACATTTTAAGCAGTAATTCTATCGAATTTTTGACAGTTATTGCTATTGATTTCTCTGTAGTTTTTAAATCAGACATTTTTTATACGATATTATTTATCACAACAACATAGCCTCGAAACGAAACACACATTTGAAGATTCATTTGATTTGGTTGTCGATCTTTTTTCGGCAATCACTTTCACTACGCATTTCATGATTTTTAATTATATTTTTTTATTGTGATGATTATTTACAAAATGCAAAGAAGGAAATAATTTGTCTGCCCCATAAAATGTGAGAATATCACTCATAATATTTGAATAAAAAATTATTGCTTGTTTTATAAAAAAAAATTATATATTTTTTTTTGTAAACGTAGTGCTTTTGATATTTTAAATTTGTTACATATATGTTTGTTATTATTAAAAGTATCATGCAGAAAGATATTAGTGCTAGCGAATTTTGTCGCAGATAGCTTGAAAAAATTCTGCCACAGGGGTCATTTCATTTTTATGTCTTGTTCTACGGATGGTTCACCTTGTAAATCTGAGCACAGATGGCGCTAGGAGGTTAACAATCGTCATACAACTTCCTATTGATTTTGACGCCTAAACTTGAAAAAGCGTGCCATCCAACATTATGATACTAATAGTGTTAACAATATAACACATTCTTTCAATTTAAAATCCAACTAATCAAACAACAAATGAATTTAGAAAACTTCACGAACATGCTATGACGCAACCTAGAAAATATCAAACGATGATATTTTATACAAATATAGGTATATAGTTTTTCTGTTGCAAGAACTCTCCCCACTCCACTTAGTCTGAGGCTGTCTGCTGCTATGAAAACAAGAATAATGCATTTCAGGGAGAGTAGTTTCTCTTCACTCTAGGGCTAACACAGTAGACCGAAGAAAAAGATTCCCTTTCTCTCACATCCAAGAGCCAAAACCTGTCCTAAACAATGACCCGACACCCCTATTTGAAATAGTTTTACCTCGTTTCAATAGTCACAGCCACAGGTCCAAACGAATGGCTAGGAGAGTTTTTACTTTAGACAAACTATAAGACTCAAAACCTGCACTTTATTTATGTTTTGATATTATTTTTCTTACATTTTGTTTTTGACTCACAACCAGTTAGAATTTGTAAATTACACGGAACTCTTATAAAGTTCTCCCTCTTAACATTAATTTTCTTCTAATTTTAGGAAATATGTTATTGTTTACGTTCAGTCAACCAGTCAGATTTCCCCCTCTATAAATAGTATCTTCCCTTTCACTCTTTGAAGTTATTCTAAAAGATTCATGTCTAATTGGAAGAAATATTTTTTTATTCTAGAATAAAGATAAACTCATCCAGCCAGCACTGATGGCCCTCTTAGAAAAAGATGGTGACTCAGAATCTTGCTCACCAGAAGTGTTGGAAGCTCAGTTTCAATGCATCAGGCGTTTAGTTGCATCAAAAGTAGGATTTGCCACTTTTACCATGGTCCCTACGTAAGCACTCATTTTTTTTTAAAAAAAAACCATATTTTGGGGATATCACAGTCATACATAAGCCATAAGCCCAATATTTTTTTCTAATAAATGGAAACGAATATAGTTATTTTCAGGATAGTAATAATAATAAAAATATGAGAAAACTACAGACGGACCTATATATAACGAGATTCCATTTTGCGAATTTCTCTATTTTGCGATTTTTCTTCTTCAAGGAACCAAGAACATTTTGGAAATTTCTTGGTAAAATAACTTCCTATTAGCGAAGTAATTTTTCTATTTAACACACTTTTATTTGAGATCCACTTTTCCTATTTCTCAAAATATTTCAGAACATTTCAAAATTGTTAACGCATTTTATGGAAGAAATGACCTTGAATTGATTTTCAGAGCCACTTTTAAATTTTAGAGAAAGCAGTAAAATCCCTTTCCCTTTTTGTTAACATCAAAAATCAATTTACGAGAAAGCATAACATGTTTTTCTAAAGCATGAAACTATGTTACCGATCATACTATTCATAACGCGGAGGACAAGGATGACATCCCTTTAGAAGAACTTTTAAAAAAATGTAGGTACAGCTAAGAGTGAGCCTCAAAATTACTGATGCATTGATTAGTGATTTTCTTTTTATTGATTCTGAAGCTGAAACCACAGAAACCTGAACTGAATCGGATATTTTGGACAGTGTGAAAAATGAAAATAATACAGCCCTAAATTGTGAGGAAGACAAAGACAGAAATAATGAAGAAATCACCAAACCTTCATATTATGAAATGTTAAAATCATTTGAAACAATTTGGTAGTAGATAATAATTAACAATATGAAGATGTATCAACTGTTATTTTAATTGTGTCTAGTGTTCATGAATATGTTTTGTGTTCATGAATAACCTGTTTTGTGTTGAAGAATTTCAAATGGTGATTTTCTATTTAACGAATTTTCCATACAGGGAACTTTTTATCGGGATTTAGCGACTTCTTTAAATAGAGGTCAGACTATTTTTCAGAGCTTGGAATATTGCATGTTAAGGCATGCCTAGCTTAGCACTTAAATCATTTATCAGATATACCATAAAATATCCATGAAGACCCTCCTTAATTTCTCACAGAAGGAAAATATTTCTTTTTTTTTTGTATACGTAATTTTGTATGCATGAAATACAATTAGTGTACACACTTTAATTTTTTCATTTTTCCCTAGAAGAACTTTTATTTGTGTTTAAACAATGTATTTAGGTACTTGATAATGTAAAACGTCTTTTGCTTAAAAAAATATCAAGATTTCAAAGAAATTTGAAATGTTTTGAATACTCAAAAAGGGGCTCCTATTCTTAAGGGTGAACATAAGAGCATGTTTTTTGCATAGTCTTAAGGAAAATTAGACTAGCTTTGCTCCAAGTGAAGGGAAAAAAAAAACATTTTAAACGAGCTGTAGCTAATCATGGTTCTCAAAGATGGCACTACCAGTCCCATTCTGTATTGCAATTTGCCATTTTAGTCACTTAAATATAGTTTTCATTAATGATGTTACTCGAAATTTTCAGGATTTTTTAGTTGTGCTCACAATCATCCCTGAAAAACCAATTATACAAATGTAATTCTAGAATCGTTTTTGAATGGAAAAAAAACACACACACACAAGAGGGAAAAAGTAAGAGCATGAAATGTTTTTACTTTACTTTTTATGATAGTCCTTGTTTTAATGAGCAGATCTAATTTTTCCGGACAAGCTTCAGTAGCTCTGCCTTTAAGAAGTCGCCAACTCTAAAGGCATCTTCTTCCATTCACCAATTGCTTACTTTTGTTACCATCTTTACTTACCGTTTTTAGCGACCATCTTAAAAGTGGTTTATATAATTGCTATTGTAGTGTATCTACCACTACAAAAATACTATTCCAATATAAGACATGTTAACTCAATTCTATGTTGGGGTACCTTTTCATAGATGAAGGTTGGCATTGCTGATAGCTACCCCCCCCCCACACACACATTGGTAACCTTCTGACAAGATGTGAATACGCCTACTTTGATGGATTGTTCACATAGAACTTGTGACTGTGACATTATTCACCACCTTGCGCTGTTGCTACCCGGTCACGCACAACGTCGGCCTGCATACTCTCGACTGCTAATGGCAACACAAGAGCAACTATGACAGTGTTCTTAATACAGCTCTCCCGGCTTCTCACAAAACAACAATGAACAACTGGTGGTATCCGTTCATCAAATTCTATCACAGATACAATTTTGGTAAGGGAGTACGGTAATGTATCGACCACTACAAAAATACAATTCCAATTCAGTAGTATATAAGACATGATAACTCAATTCTTTGTGGTACCTTTTCATAGATGAAGGTTGACATTGCCAATATCTACTCTCCCCACACTATCAATAATTGTTTTGTTTAGCAATGGCATAATTTGGTAATTTCTCGGATCATTTTAATGAAGTTGTTATATATTGATTCTGTGTTATATATTGATTCTGTTTTATATACCGAATCTGTGTTCATTTTATTGTTCACAGGTTTAGAGAAAAATTAGGAGTGAAAGTTGTTAAAGCTCTGAAGCGTGGTGATACCGGCGTAGCTCATGCCAGTGTTGATATGCTCTGTGCCCTTATGCAAGTAAAGATGCTTTTAACTGTTTAAATGGTTGGTACCAATATGGCCCTTATATAAACAATACTTATTTTCAATTGTAGCCCATGCATGATGATTATGATTTGAGACAAGAGCAGCTTAACAAAAGCTCTTTACTCTCTTCAAAAAAGTTCCTTGAAAGCTTGTTGGAAATGTTTGTGGAACACACTGTAAGTATTTTATACTGATTTCAGAAAAATCGATGTAACAATCAGTGTTGGAAAATCGCATCCATGTTGAGTTTCTTTTTTAAGAAAACTGTGAGAGAAAATTTTCTGTTTCTCCTTCATTACTAATTTAAATGAAAGAAAAATTAAGTTCAAACAAACCTAGAATTTGTCATGAAGTTTCAATTGCTGAAAGAAAGAAAACTTCAAAATATTTAAATGCAAACAAATCATTAGAAGAGAACTTCTCTGTTACGTAATCCTAAGTTATCTTCTCATATTTTATATTCATTTGTATATTTTAAAATTTTCTTTTCAGTCTTTGAAACTTCATGGCTTACTCAAGGATTGTCTGAACTCACTTTAAATTTTAAGTTAGTAATGTAAGAGAATTTGTGAGGAAAATTTTCTTCAGCGATGTGGCATCCTCTTGACTTTTAGGCATATCATATTTCCAGAATAAACTAGAAAATTGTTGAAAAATTTTCACTCCAAACATTTGTGTTTTATTTGCACTATTTATAGAGTTAATACAAACTGCTAAAAAAAGTATCAAAATTACCTTGATTTTTAGTGTGCCGAGATAGCCTGGTTGGTAGAGCCCTTGTCCGAGAGCTCGTGGGTTCGAACCCCGCGGCCGAAGACTCCCCGTGTAGTTGGTGACTAATGCACGTTAAAATTCTGTCAAGTTGCAAAGTCCGCCATGTTCCCATAACAAATCAATACCTCTGGGGGTACTGGATTGGAGATCGATCGTTCTCCGATTCAGGTAAAAAATTACGATCTGTGGATGAGTTAATGGATCCGCCTTATAAACAGGTGTGACGTATGATGTGGCAGAAGTCGAATTCTTGGCCATAGATGGTGCCACTGAAAAACAAGAATCGAACACCACTCTGCCTTAAATTTACTTGGTTTCACCAAGCAGACTTGCCCGTGTGGCAAGTGGCATTAGGACCAACCAATTTTTACTAACTAATAGAAAAATTTCTTTTAGACTGTGTGAAATATTGTTTTAGAGTGAGGCTTTAAAAGTTTTACAAAAAAGAGGGGCAAGGTAGTTACATAATCAACCATTTTCTTGGTGTGTTTGGTCATTAAATGAATCTATAGAAATGTTGAATTTTTCTTTAGAAACTGGAAAAATACAGGGAATTTTGGTGCTTATTTTTGTCGTTTAAAAAAAAGTAGTCACTCAAAGTGCAATCTATGGCTTGCACCAACCAATGCTGATGTGAAATTTCCTCAGTGTTAAACCGATCATGGGTTAGAGTCCCTTTGCCGTCAAGCTGACCGTGGTAGGTTCTCGTGGTCTTCCTCTCCATGTAACGCAAGTGCGGGTTAGTTCCATCAGAAAGTCCTTCACAAAGGCGAATTTTTCTTAATACTTGATCCAGGAGTTCCCTTGCCTTCTTTACTGGGTTCAAAATGGCAAGGCTACGGAGTTGACCATTAGTAGTCATAAATCCAAAAGAATTGGGTGGACTGTTCTATGACGGTTATGAAAAAAATAAATAAAAATTGAATCATGTAATAAAATTTTAGTCGTCAGTGTATTCATTGCAGAAAAAAAGTGGGAGAGAATTTCTCACCCTTTCTCAAAAACAGGGTGAGATTTCAAAAAGTTAAGTGAGATTTCTAAAAATTTAAAAAACACGAATAGACTTGAAAAAAAATTATTTCTTTAATTATAATACATTTTTCACATCTTCTAATTGAATATTTTTGCTGCATCATCATATGGAAAATGTTCTATATCTACTTTTTCATCGGCTATTATATTTATTTGGCTGAAAATATCCGTATTTGTTTCGTTTTGACCGTTTCTACCGNTGCCCGCAACGGAGTAGAAGATGTCGCCTTAACAAGGTATTTGTCCATCTTACATTCATGCACACAAATTGCAAACGTCTTACATGAAGAAACCTTACCTACGGTGAACACGTGGTTGCAGAGAAATGTGTTCTGAAAGGGATTCCGTGGTTCGGTGTGTGGTGTTCTGCTGTTCGCACCGGTTCTGAACAATACTGATAAATAGGGAAGCTAGATAGCAAGGACCGATGTTCAAAATAATGATAGATCAAGGAAGAAAAGTGAAACGGACGGCAAAAGACAAAATTTTTTCCAAAATTTGTGCATTTTGAAATTGATTAATAGAGTGCACGAACTTCTCGCGTTAATAATTTTTTATTGCGAGAAAAGAAAAAAATATGCGAGATTCTCGCGTTCTTGCGCTGTAGTGAAAGCACTGGTCGTATTTTTCAGGGGCTCGAAAGAACTCAGAAATTTTACGCGTCCCCGAGGATGACTTGTCCAACAATGTACCTGTCCTCCTTTGAAACTAACCCGTAGCTTCTAAATAAATAAAAATATAATTTTCTCTTATTTATTACAAACATTTATATAAATTGTGCAATGAATTAGTAGTTACTAGGATTACATTATACAGTAATAAAAGAAATTCTAGGTTACTAATAGTAACCTAGTATTTCTTTTATGAAATAATTTATTTCTTTTATGAAATAATTTAAATGACAGAGGTCAAGTTATCTGGAATGTCAATTCATCCGAGGGTACTGCGCTTTTTAAATGAATCAAATATGACGTTTTCCAGTTCCACAATCAAGCCAATGATTTACAGAGGTTTCTGTTTATTCCTTCGTTAGAAGTCCACATGCACAGAGCAACTTTTCTTTTGTTTACCAAGTACATGAGCATGCGCATTTGGTCTGACAAAGGAACTAGCAGGATTTCTAGATTCGAGGGTCATTTTAGAAATGAGGCGCTAGACTCTTGTAAGATAACAAAAATTGAAAATGTATCACTAACAGTAACAGGAAATGGCCGTTCGTACGGACGCCAGATTCGAGAAGGCGGACGGGCGGCTTTTTGAGCCCTGGTGTTTTTGATTCATTTTTGTTCTTATTTAGGCAACCATTTTCATATTTTTTTTTTCTGTGGCAACCCTGAAAATGACGATTTTAAGTTTGTTTAAATGAAACAATTATGAATTGATAACCCTGTTTTCTTCTTGCAGGCAAAAGGAACTGGTGCTCTTGTTGTATCATCTATGTTAGACTTTTTGACCTTTGCTCTCTGTGCCCCCTATAGCGAGACAACAGATGGGACTCACTTTGATACTCTTTTGACTCTAGTGGCTGATTATGGTAGACAGCTGTTTCGTCTATTCCAGGTTGTTCACTCAGTTTTTTTTAATTTTATGTGTCGCAATCTTCCGCATGAATTTGTTGTATGATACTTTGTACTTTCAAACATAAAATTACTGTGACAAATTTCTTTATGAAATGGTAGATAGAAAAATTAAAGTTAAAAACTATTTATGTTCGATAAGGCTACGGAAAATGAATGTCAAGGTTACAGGAACAAGCATTCGATTGAAAAGGGGTTCAATCCTGATATTTCTGATAATAAATATTTTGTCCTGAATTTTATTCTGAAATTCTTGATTTTTAAGTCAACTTAGAACACTATCCTAGCAACAAAATGACTTGGGGCCCCCCATCGGACCAATATTCACGAATCTCAGCTCAATAAGGGTTCGAAGGGCCGATATTTTTCTGATATGGCCCTATGGAATTGTCAGATTCACCTGATATTTTATAATCATTATTCAGCTAATATTAGCCCTATATAGGCTAATATTGTCACTGCATAGGACCAATATTAAAAAATGTAGATATCCCAATATTGGTCCCTCGGAGGATGTTCATATAGGATCCATATGGAGCCCAACTGGGGCCAAAGTATAATTGTTGCGGGAGTAATTTTCTATACAGTCGAACTCGTTTATAACGAGAACTCGGATTTAACGAGGGAAACGAAAATATTTGGTTGGATCAATGTTAAGTCTATGGAACAGAAGTCGCTTTTAACGAGCAAGACCCGGTTTTAGCGAGCAATATTTTTCTGTCTGGCAATCTTTTTTCTCATCTTTCTAGTCTTTCTGTCTTATCTTTTTTTCAAAATGATGTGAAATGAGCGAGTTCAAAGTAAGCTGACAGACTATTTTAAATATCTAAATTAATGAAAAAAATAAATGTTTTGGTAAGAATCTTTTCCTTTATTTTTCTTTCCGTTTATATATTCTTTCCTTTAAGACTGTAGCGCAACTAGAAATTTTTTTGCTGGTGGGGGGGATAGTTGTCATTAAATTAAGAAAAGTATTTAATTAAATTAATTAATGTAATTAAAGTAAGTATTAATTAAATTTTAAGTCAACTCAATCATTTGACCTCCCAAGCCCTCTTCTGGTTGCACGTCTTCCTTAAGGATCCGTTTATTACGAGCACTCGGATTTAACGAGTACATGTTACGGTCCCTTTGTGCTCGTTATAAACGAGTTCGACTGTACTTACAAATGTGGATCTTTTTATTTTAATTAATAATGCTAATAAAAATGTTAAAATTCAATAGTTTGAACTTAGAAACGATCCATTAATTATATGCATGGTTTAGGCATGTAGCCTTACCTGCAGAATTTATTGTTTTAAACTTCTTAAGAAGTGAATTAACATATGCGAAAACAGGGCCGGATTAAGCATACCTAGACCATAATAAAATTTTTTGGGGCCCTTAGATTAAATTTTTTTCTCATATAATTTTTTATTTATTCATATATAAAAGTATCTATATATCTTTTCATTTAATAAAGCATATTTAAAATAAAAATAAATAATAATTAAATTTTACTTTATTTTATTAAATTAGAACTAAAAAATAATCATAAGATTTTGAAAAATCATTGTTTTTTCTTAATTTTTTAAATTTTTTTCTTCAAAAAATCCATTTTAAGGGGGGTTTTAATTATTGGGGGGCCCCATGCCATGGCCTAATCGGTAATCCAACCCTGTATGAGAAAGAACTTGAATAATAATTTTACATTATAAAATATTATGAATTCACAGGGTTCATACGCTAATTTATTATTTTCAATAAATCTTGTTGGGAGGAATTTTGTAATCCACGATTCATATAATTTTAAAAATGATAGATTTTTAAGACTGTAACAACAATATAGTACTGATAGTCTAAATCACTAAAGATCAGTATTTTATCTTTTTTTTACTGCATCGATAGAGAAAAAAATATAATATATTTTGTGAGTTTTTTAAAAAAAATTTTATTAAAAATTATTGTTATGACTATAAGAATGGTTTTTCTCTCAATAATCAGCTGTTTTTCAAATCTTTTTATTTTTATTTTATTTACTTTTCAACACTATGGACTCGTTTCAAAGTCATTTTATAATAATTTAGGGGATCATTATCCCTATGGTTATTAAAGCTTTGGTTTTAAAATTGGTTTTACAACAATTAACAATTATTAAAATTACTCTAGTCTTAAAGATATCTAAAATTTTGCTTACTTAAAAATTATACTTTTATTTCAGCATACTTCTTTGGCTATAGTGAAAGGTGCTGGATTGCTGATGAAAGCTATAATTGAGGTATGAAAGTCTCTAGCGGTTGATTCAAGGACAACTTTTCTGTATCTTGTTCATTAATGTAGGGATATTTTTAAGGTTTTTTTTATTAAATATGGTAGAATATTAAATAGGTTCTTGATTTCTTTTCTTTTTTTTAATAATTTCTTTAACTTAATAATTTCATAGCTATTATTCTATCTGATCAAATTTTATTTCATTCAATTAAGTGTAAAAAAATACATCGGAAAGTATTGCATGCTCAGATAGGCCCAGGATAGCAATAAAATTTGTAAACATAAGATACACATCAAATGTACTTGAGATGTTTAATTGGCTTGTGGATAGTCTTATTCACTGCAGTAATAAAGTGCATAGTAAACAATATCACTCTTGTTTAGATAGTCTTGGAATGTAATATGTACAAAAAGTACAAATTTGTACTTTTTGTACATATTACATTCCTCCCCCTTCAATCACACCATTTTCATTAAAAAAAAGAGGGAATTATACAGAAACAAGTAGATGAGCTTTCGGATATCATTTACAAATTTGTACTTTCTGTATATGTAACTTCTGAACTGTCGATCCAGTCGTCTCGAGATTGGTCTCATTCAATTTATAAAGGCAAAATACATCACATGGAATGCAATTTTTCCATATTCCAAATTTAGTGCCTTTTTTTTACGAAATACTATTGAACAAAGTTTAAGTTGTGAATTTATTATTTTTATAATATTGTTTTTAGGAAGGTGATGCAGAAATATCGGCTAAAATGCAAGATTTGTCATTGGCTGAAGGAGCGTTACCTCGCCATCTACATATTGCTATGTTTACTAATAGCACAGACACGCGGCTACTAACAATGCAACAGCTTTCGCGCCATTTAGTCGGATTGTGGGTAACTGGCCACCCCACAGCCATTGGATTATTAAAAAGAATATTAGTAAGCATTCATTTGTTTATAAAGTAATTTACAGCATTTTTATCATAATTTAGCTTTTAATGTAGGGAATGACCACCCTTCAATGTAAATTTGATTAATCTTGAAGTTATTGGATTGGAAGGAAGGAATTTTTTTTTTTTTTTAGTGTGAAACTCAATTTTTTCTATACAAAAATGAACTTAATTCTGTCAAATATCTTTCACAATGTTTGTCTGTCCATTTCGCTATCAGGGATGTGATTCTTCCGCGGATCCGCTGATTTCCGCTTTTTTCAGATTTTTCCATATATTCCGCTCTTTTTTCATAAATTTCCGCGCGGATAAAATTTTTAGCCAGTAAATGATATTTAGTTGAAATTTTTTTTCTTCCACGGAGCGAAAGTATTGAAGCCCCCAATAAACCTTTCTTCACATGTCAATCTGCTGGCTGGGGTAAAAGTGGTTGACCTTGGTAAAACAATGCCGTCTCCTACTCCACAACTCTCTTATCTTTTCAGGAATGAAAGACTCTTTAAAATATCTGACCATGTTCCAAAAACTTTAGGGGAGTCGAACGAACGATATAGTCGAACTTGCGACTTGTTGCCTTGACAACCGCGACTTCCGCTATAGATTGGAAAAAAGAAAAAAAGTCCTAAGCGGTTTCGTTTCGGCCGCTGATATTTGATTTCTTTTGATTGGCTGATTTACAGAATTTTAAATATTAGGAACTGGGCCAGAATCTGCTAAAATTGCGATTCTTATTTAGATGATTTTTATGTAAATCATCGATTTTTGTATTTAACTGATTTAAAAGTTACTTGTTGAGATTCGTTTTTACACGATTTAAAAATCATTACTCGCAATTCCCATTCACACAATTTAAAAATTCAATATCGCGATTTGTATTTAAGCGTTTTTAAAACCCAATATCACGATATGTATTTAAACGTTTTTAAAACCCAATATCGCGATTCATATTCCCGCTAGTTTAAAATCCAATGTCACGATTTGTATTCATATATATTTTTAGATTTCAATATTGCGACTCGTTATCATGCGGTTGTAATGTCAAACATCGATTTTCGTATTTATACGCGGTTTAAACATTACTCAGTGCGATAAGTATTCACGGACTCTAAAAATTATGCATCGTGATTCTTATTTACGCGATTTAAAAATTCAATACCGCGATTTTTATTTTCGTGCTTTTAAAATCCAATATCGTGATTCTTATTCACGTGATTTTAAAATTCAATATCGTGATTCTTATTCACGCTATTGTAAAATTGAACATCGCGATTCTTATTTACGCGATTTTAAAATCAAACATTGTGGTTCTTATTCAAGCGATTTTAAAATCCAACATCGCTATTCTTATTCACCCTAATTTAAAATCGAACATCGCGATTCTTATTCACGCAATCTTCAAATCCAACATCGCGATTTTAAAATCCGATATCGCCTTATTCACGCGATTTTCAAATCCGGCATCGCGATTCTTTTTCACGCGATTTTAAAATCAAGCATGACGATTCTTATTAACGCGATTTTGAAATCCAACATCGCGATTCTTAATCTAAGGCCTCTAAAAATTGTGTACGAAATGAACTTTCTTGTCCTATCAACAGTCTACAGATCAGTCATGTTAATAAAAGACCATCGAAAAAACAAAGAACTCATGACAAAGTCCATAAAGGTCCTTTGACCATTAAAGAAATGTTTTTTTAAAATGATGTGATACATAAAATCGTGCTTATGCATAATTACTCAAAGTTATCTAAATTATTAAAAAAAATTTATTTTAATCAAGATTTTGTTTAAGAACATAATTACCATTTATTTATATTTATTTGAATAGATAATAATCTAATCATTATCAGATTGGCTATTGAATTCATATAATTTTTTCTTTTGCATGTTCAATGCTGCAGTTATAAACTTCCTCTTTTTTGTGTTTTTGTCAATCACATCCCTGCGTTATGTTATCTTCTATTATAACCTTTTTCCATTTTTCTGGCAACTTCAAGATAATGTAGTGTGTCTACCACTACAAAATTACAATTCTAAATCACTAGTATATTAGACATGTTAACTTTATTCTATGTACCTCTTCATAGATGAAGGTTGACATTGTCTATAATTTCTCACCCCACAATCCTATGCTTCAACGAAATTCTGGTTTTTATCAGCAAAAAATTCAAATAAGGGTGATTTGATGTCATTGCTGAAATTTGTATGATTTTTGTTATCTTAGCAATAAATTATTATACAAAACTGTTGATGCCAGGTCAGGGCTATATGGAGGATGTAACATCATTTCTCAACCAGTTATTTTTTTCGTGTTGATTATGTTTGCAGTGAAACACGATCCCTCAAATAGACTCACTTTTACACTATTGGATTATCATTTATTTAAACATGGTGCATAGCATTTCTGAAAGTGGTTAAAGGTGCTTATTTTCCAGGGTTCCTACATGGTCAGGAAAACCTGAAAAAGTCAGGCTATTCTAAAATTAAGCTAAAAAGTCAGGATTATTCTTACATATTCATAAAATCAGGAAAAAGTCAGGATTTTTCTTACTTATTCATAAAGTTAGGAAAATAAAAAAAACTATAGTTCATTCAAAGACTGACAGGCAAAAATAAAGTTTCAAGGAAAAATTCTGTAATTCAAAATATGTAATTTCCTCATAATAACATTCCTCTTTCCCTGGTAGAACCTGTCCTGTTAGCAATTTTCCTCCTGTTTATCCAATGATAAGGAATTTTTGATAGGGTTGCTTGGTTTATTGCTCTTTGTGTGAATAACTGGTTTACAGACAATAGTAGCTGAAACAACAGCTGAAAAATCAAAAAAGGAATTTTTACTGTTTTGTGATGCTGCCAAAAAAAAAGAGCAAAAGAGTTTCTTAGAGTTTAATCCACAGCAAAAGATATTAGATAATTTTTTTTGAAGTATTTGCAGGGAGAAAAAAAAAAGTGAAAATTTGTGGGAGGTTATAAAAAATTTTCTTATCCTCTCTCATGGTAACGCAACAGTTGAAGGGGGGTTTTCAATCAATAAAAGCTTATTGGTTGAAAACCTCAATGAAGACTCTATTATTTCACAAAGGCGTGTGTATGATTATGTTTCGTTTATAAATGGACTAAAAAACATTTACATTAATGAAAAAATGCTAGATGCTGTAAAAGGATCTAGAACAAGAAAGATGGAGACATGCATTAGAAGCCAAAAAAAAAAAATAAATAAATCATAAAGAATGAAAAAGCTGAAATTTCTAGAAAACTAATAAAAGAAAAGATAGATGATTTGAAATTTAGAAAATCTAAATTGGTGAAAACTGCTGCAACAGAACTGGATGTTCTTGATTCAGAAATTGTCAAACAACAAAATATGTTGAGAAATATTATATAACATAGGAACCCCTGAGTTTCTCCTGAAGCTTACAGTATTACAGAAATAAATTTAAAAATACTGAGAAAAAAAAAGACATTTTTGATTTTATTTTTCTCACAAGTTGCATAATTTTTCTATCTGAATTTTTATTTGTATATAATTAACTTTTTTTGACTTTTTCCCCCTTTTTTATTTCAATATTATCTTTTAAAAGAAAAGTCAGTTTTAAGTGAAATTGTGATTTTTAAAAATTAATACAGTGCACTCCCGATTATCCGAGTTAATCACCGGGACAGGGAGCACGGAGAATCGAAAAATACGGATAATCCGAAAACTCTTTTAATTACAGAAAAAATCAATATCAGTACAAAAAATTTGAAAATTACTGACATTTGCATGCTGTATAACATCAAACTAGGAATTTTCATTTTAAAAAATTGTGTAATGCGTCTTCGTCATATGTTTTACGAACTGCAGTAATGTCACCGTAATCAAATCCTCCCATATAATCTAATAAAATTTCCACAGAGCAGCAGAAATAGAAATTGTATTTCCCTCATTTACTACATCTTCTGCATCAGTTACTATAATCACTATTTGATTTAACAACATAACGATGTCTTCATCTGTCAAATACTGGAAGTCAGGCTCACATGCATAACTTTGAAACCAATCTTCAAAATTTTCTTCGTTAAGAATTTCGAAACCTCAGATTTCTTTTGCTTGTTCGAGAATACTGTTATCTTATTTTTCTTGAACATCTGAAGAAGATTGCTCATCAAGCGATATTATCTTTCTCCTAGATCGTGATAAAGTAGACGATTTTACCTTTGACCATGCTGCTGATATTCGATATACTTCAATCCACTGACAAATATTGCTTCCAAAAATTTGGTAGTGTTATAACTTCATGAATAAAAATTTTTGTTAATCTTTAAAATGTTTATCTTTATATTTTTCGTGTGACTCCGGAATGAGCACGGATAATCCGCAAACCAGATTATCCGTGCACGAATAATCGAGAGTGTACTGTATTTTAATGTAACAAATGTTCTAGTATGTTTTAAGAGTGAATATTATCTAAGGATACTGATACATATCTCGCAGATTTGATTAACCCTTTATATCCTGACGACACTCATGCATTTGGTTCTTCTTAACATTAAATAAAATAATATTTCCATAATCCAACAGATTTTCTTGATCTTTTTATTCAAATAGTTTTCGTATCTAACTACAAAAACACACTAAAAGTTTAATCTAATCATGATTATTAAAAATATGTTCCACAAGTTTTCTGAAAATATAATTTGGGATGTAAAGTGCTATTACGCAATTCCACTTTAATATATAAGTGTTTATCCTATTCAATCTATAATACTTATGACTAAGTAGCATATTATTACTAATTGAAACTGCAATGTTAAATGTTTTGTTGGAGTGGGAAACGGCGGGTCAGGAATTTTACTGTAAAAGATCAGGAAAAACCTGCAAAAGTCAGGATATTGTTTTCTCAAAATAGTGTAGGAACCCTGTTTTCGTTTTCTGAAAGCCCTTAAAGGTGCTTTTTTCATTGGGTGTTTTAAATTGTGGTTAATTTTCCCTTTCTGAAAATTATATTTTGTTTCGTTACCATGTCGATTTTCGCTGCGTATTATGCAAAAGTGTGGTTTTCACATTGTTCTATTCATCATTTTCACAATTCATTCATTCACAATCCATTTTGGTGTACCGTTTGTCCGTAACGTATGATTGCGCCAATCATGTTACGTGTTTGATGAAATACTTGGGAGTCCGCCTATGCATCTACTGAGCTATATTCGATGAGATTCTTCCACTCTCATGTGCAACTCTGCTGTATTTTGCAAGATATTCTCAATGTCAGGCTTCATTTTCTACCCTCTAAAATCTAATCGAAAAATCTCTGGATCTTTTTATGGTGGCTTAATCTAATCAAGAACAGAGTTCTTTGTCAGAAACTAGTTATTTTATCATGAGCATGCCAAGTTATTTGCATTTTGTAGTGCTTAAAAATATTTTTTGAGTGCTTCAAAAGTACTTTAAAGGTGCTTATTTTTTGTTGCAAGATTTGACTATGCACCCTGTTAAAAATTTATGAAACTTTTAAAATCCTAAAAATTTTAGTAGCAATGATTACAACAAATTGTTCTTGGTTGAGTTTTTTTTTCTGATAAAGACCCTATGAGGGGTGGATCATGAGGTTGTCAAAAGAAATTTATTATAGTTTTTTTCTTCAATTAGTGTACTTCTAATGCTGATTGACTGATTCAATTCTTAACACGTTTGAAACAAAATTTCGGGCATTCAAAAGCCTGAATCTTGCAATCTAAATAACCAATTTGTTTGATTTTTTTTCCATACTGTATGGTAGAAATACTTATTAAAATCAACTCATAAAAGGCAATTTTAAGTGACCCTACATAAAATGTGATCCACAGTTACCAATTTTGTCTAGGAGAATTTTTTTGAAAATATGTAAAAATTTATTTCTTGTCTGGCTACAGAACAGGGAATTTTATCAATTGGGAATGTCTGGTAGTTAAAGTACCGTTGAAGTCGGGGGAGATTGAGGTACCTAAAATCTGGTATTTTTTCCAAAAATATTGAGCTTGCAATCATTTTTTTAAAGCAGTTGTTTATTTTTGAACCTTAATAGCAAGCGGTTTTTAATATATTTTATATATAAGAATAATGCATGATAAAAAACATTTACAAACAAATTTAAGACGTTGGTTATCAAAATCACTGAAATTCAATAGAATCAATTACCAAAAAAACAAGGAATTATCAGATATTTTTTTAAAATTTTTTTTTTTTTTAATATTTGAGACCAGCCTGGTTTAGCTTATTATGCACACTAAATAAATTGTATTTTTAATTATGTATTTTAAATGTGTTTTTAATTATATATAGTTATTATCCATTTTTAACTTCAATAATATGTCATTTCTCTTGACTTGTGATTTGTCTTTATTTTAATTCTGGAAATATATTAAATGTCATTGATTTACATACATAAGCTTGCAACCTAAAAATTACAGCTACAGAAAAAAAATATTTCAAAAATATCTTTTTGAATTTAATTGAAACGTTAACATGTAATTTTTAAGCTAAAATTTATTGTTTACTTAGATTAAATATGTGATTTTAAACAGAAACTTACCAACCATATAGCTTTTTTATTCAAAATGAATTCTTTTATCTGTACTTAATTTATTTGTTTAAAGACTATTTAAAACAAGGTTGTTATAATATTACCCAACCTGGAAAAACGTAAGTGAGTTTTTTTCTTATTTGCATTTTATTAATAACTTATCAGGTCTAGATATTAAATTTTTAATGGATAAAATACAAATTACAAACATTTAAATATTTGCTACTACTTCTACTACTCTTCAACTACTACTTCCATGTTTTTTGCTTTAAAACTTTAACTTTTTTTAAGGTGTTTTCAAAAAAATTTGAGATACTAATTCACAATATATTGAAACTAATGATATAATAAGATACAACATATAATATTTTAGAAATCACAATTCAATGTTCCTGTTCTCATGTACTACTTGTTGAAATACTAGAGCTTATTCTAAAAGCATAGGACACAATAATACTATTGGAAAAGTATTACACTGATACATTTTTCATGTTAAAAATCAATTTGAATTTTTTTTTATTTCATTTAAATTAAAATAAATAGCTTGAATTCTGCACTTGAACATTTAGTGGTTATGATTTTCACAATTCTGAAAACAGAATAGGTAAATCCTGCAAAGGTAATTTGATCCTATTAAAATATTATGAATTAAAAATATTGATATTATCCTTTAAAAATATTATTGCTCACTTATCAATGTAAATGACATTGATAATAAAATATGTTAATATTTATGTTTATTAATGTCTTAATGAAATAATGGCATTTATTAATACAGCAAGACTTACTCTAAAACTATAAAGAATAAAAAATCAAGAAAAACTAAAGTTTAAAAATAAAAAAAAACTAACCCTGAAAAACCCATGGGTTGGCTTTCTTATTTAAAAAAAAAAACTGGATTTTTTGCAGTTCTGATTTAAAATGAGTTGATATTTAAGTTTATTTTTAACTTTATGTAATTGAAGCTTATGATAACTGAATTTATGTTGTAATATTTTATAGTTGTGTACATTAATTAGGAATACTAAGTCTTAACATAAGTGATAAGTATTAATTAATTATAAATATTTAATAGCATGCTTTTGTTGACTTCATTCTAAATTATGTTGCAATCAAACTAAAATTTATAGCTTTTAGTTTGTGAAAAACGTTATTTTTTCAAAAAATAAAAAAACTAAATTAAATACTTAGTAAAAAAACTTTTTAATGTCTTACAACGATGCAACTTTGGTGATTAAAATCAAAATCTTTCCATAGAATGCTAATTGGACAGCAGTTTCTCATACGAAAACATGTTCAAATGTTTCACGCTAATAATTATAATATAAAAACTCAATTATTTAGAAATTCATCATAAGGTAAAGAAGAATTATGTATGCAGGAAGACCAGTGTCGCAGTTTTGGATCTAAAATAAATTACCTGAATAGATTTTTATGCTTCAATTTCAGGTAAAAATTTTTTAGTATAATCGCTAGTTTAAAGACTGCAAACTGTTTTTGCAGAAAATAATATTAGAAACTAAAATATATTGGTTTAAACCATATTCAGATAAAGAAAAATAAATAATAATTTACATGCTCACTTGAATAAGTTTATTTGCTTAGTAAATAACAATTAAAATATTGTAATTGTATTTAAATGTAAGCATTGAATTTTCAATTAAGTTTATAAATCCCAGATATTTTACATCCCCCATGGCAGAATCACAGTGACATTGTCGCAGAATGTTAGTTTCTTGCGGAAAGAATTTTCTTTTAGGAAGTAAAGAATTTTGGTTTGCTTTTTTGCAGAAATTTTTTATCTCTAAAATTATATTTAAAGGATGCTTTTTTCGCACATAGGAGGGAAAAGAAATGTTCGTGATCTTTCTATTCTTATTTGAGAGGAATGAAAAATATAGAATAATGAAGTAAAAAAATTCTTTTCTGCTGAAATATTGAAAGATTTTTTCTCTCCAGAAATCATTCTTTGACACTATCATTTTGCTCTGATATTCTCGTTATTCCATGAGGTATTTCAATGATTTCTAAGACAGTTATTGCTACAAATTTTTGCTTTTTTTTTTAAAAAATCTTGATGTCTTTTGTTGCTCACTTATTTATATTTTCGTGAATTTTTGAAATATACCAATATTATTATGGCATGTGAAATTCTAATTGCGGATTCAAGAAATCATTCTTTGACCCTCCCGTTTTGCCGCAAAATTCTCTTTAATCCTCGCTGTTCAGTGTTAAAGAGATTATTGTGTTACAGCACCCAGTGGAGGGAGAAAAATTCGTGTAACGAGAAGGCGTTGTGCCTATGTGAGAGTTTTGTGTAATGAGTGAAGAGATTTCAAAAATAAAGTAATGTTGTTCTAGGGTTCCGATTATCCTTGTGTTGTGGATATTTTATGAACTAGCCAATAAACTCTTGCAGTATATTTAATTCGCATGATTTTGTCGCTGATCTTCTTATCCGTAGTCACTGCTACGGATTACATGATTTTTCTTTTTTTCCCCCCAGGTTCTGATGATTTACAAAAGTGTTTTCTTGTTCAGTAAACTGTGAGAATCTCTCCCATGATATTAGAATAAAAAAATATTACATATTCATATAAAAATTAAATACAATTTTATTTTATTCAAATAGTTTTTTTTTGTTTGTTGTTAAGCACAACGTTTTTGTAACTTTAAATTTAATTAGTAACTTCTATTATTAGAAGCATCTTTTAGAAAGATATTAGTGCTAGAGAGATTTGTTGCAGAAAGCCCGAAAAATTCTGCCACAGGGTTTACATCCATAACTGTACCTTTTTAAAATCTTGTTTTTTTTCCCCAGCCTGCTGGATTACTCTCTTATTTGGATTCTGCAGAAAAGGTTCCATTCAAATCAACTGACTATATAAACATCAGAGATAATTTGCAAATAGCTAATGCAAGTATTTTTTATTTGATTTTTTTCCATATCAATTTAAACAATAATAACATTTTAAGATATCTCATTGAAATACATTTTATAGGATCAAAGCCAAAACGAGAAGAAAAATATTCCACAAACTTTGCAAGAGTTGGAAAAAATAATCGAAAAACAATTACAGTTTGTATTAGAACATTGGCGAACAAAAATGGGCTTGCCAAAAAAGGAGGTACTCATTTTTTTCCTGGTTCTTTTAATTTATCCTCTTCACCACTGAAGTATAACGGAATATAGCAAAAAAGTATTTTATAGTTCTGAATTTCTATTTTACTCCCATTAGTCCAAATAGGACAAACAACATATGAATCATATCTGCCAGGGGCCAATAATTTTAGGTATAGTTTGTCTACGGTAAGAACTCCTCCCGCTACAAAATCTGAGGCCGCCTGCTGCTATGGAAACAAGAATAGTGCATTTCAGGGAGGGTAGCTTCTATTCACTCTAGGGCTTACACGATGGACCGAAGAAAAACTTTCTTTCACCGACCTGAGCCGAAACCTGTCCTAAACAATAAACCCTTCTTAAAATAGGTGTACCTCTTTACTTTAGCCTCCGCCACGGGTCCAGACAAATGTCATGGGGAGTTTTGATGATCTACGCACATGTGTTGACCGCAGGAAGTAAAAGAATACAATATTTTAAATTAAACCTTAAGTGAAAACAAACATGTATGCTCTTATAGTATTTTAATACAATAATGAATAGATTAAATAATTCTTTTTTTAAAAGTTTTATCTAAGTACAATGCATAATAAATCAGTTTCATTTTAATTATGCAAACTACACGAAATAAATATTAAATATTTTTTTTAAACGCTGGCACTGAATTTATCGTTCTTCAGCATGAAAGGCGCTGGAAGTGTTGCTCATTTTGAGTTGCCCAGCCAGCACTTTGTGATCAAAGAGGCAAGAAATATTACCACACTACCGCAGATACCCGCTCGTAGGGTGGGCCACATTCATGCATCACATACAACTGAAAAGAATACACAACGAGAAACATCCATGCCCTGAGTGGGATTCGAACCTGCAGCCAGACACGCTAACCACTTATACTCCTGGCTGGCAAATAAATAGTGAAAAGAATTTTAACATTAATTATAAAAAAAATATTTTATTCTTGTGGTAAAATATCAAAATTATGGAGAAAAAAAACACAATACTATATGTATGTACCTTAATGTAAGACAATTAAAATGCACATAATATTACTAAATAGAAATAAAATTATAATGTTATGATATTTCACATGACTACTACCCTGTTATAAATTTTGTCATACATACCAACCTGCATGTTCATGATTGTATTATTATGTAAATATAAATTTAAAACTTCATACAGATTACAGAATAACAAAGTCCAGAGAAAAATATTGTTTTCAAAGTAAATAAATTATATAATGTTTAAAAATACTTAAATTTTCGAGTACGCAGATTTAGCGTCAATTTTCTCTGATTACTTCTGTTTATATGAAATTCTACCCAAATAACTTGCATGCTCTGCATCTATTGGAATCTTCAGAAAGCTTAAACATCCACAAATCTTTCAACTACGGTAAAGCTATATATTTTCTTAAAGCGTGTTTATAGAAGTTAATATCCATACATGTGGACCTTTGCTTTACTGTTTAATTTCAATAATGTCAAATCCCAGCAAAGGCTGGTCAACACGAATTATGCATCTGGCTTGCACCGAAAACAGTGCTGACGTGAAATATTTTCAGTGGTAGATGGATAATGGGCTAGAGCCTCTTGCCATCAAGCTAACCGTGGGAGGTTTTCTTCTCTATGTAATGCAAATGCGGGATAGTTCCATCAAAAATTCCTCCACCAAGGCAAATTTCTCCTAATACTTGATCCAGGAGTTCCCTTGTCTTCCGAATTGGATACAAAATTACAAGGCTACGGAGTTGAGCATTAGTAACCATGAACCCAAAAAATTGGGTCTGCTGTTTAACGACTGTTGTAAAATAAAATAGTGACTGTTTAGTTTTATGTAATAATGTGTTATTTTAACAGAAATATTTGAAATTATGAATGTTAAAATGAGTTTATTTTTACTTTTTCAAGCTGAATATTGGAACATCTTGTGTTCCAGAGGTGAGAACTTTTCATTAACTCTCATACAATCTGGGTAATTGGTTCTCCACTGTATTACATTTTGTCTACAACTATTACTATTCCATAATTTCGAGATTTACAGTTTTTCAGAATTTTCATAATTTGTTTGAAAGGAGTTTTTTTCCCCTTATCTACGAAAACTCATGAAATTTTATTGCTTGCAATTAAGATACTTTATTTTTTATTCTTTAACAGGGTGCGTAGTGTTTTTAAAAAGTGCTTAAAGGTACTTATTTTTGATTTATGTTTTTAAAAAGCCCTTAAAGGTGCTTTTTTTTATTCGCGGTTTGTAGAAAGTGCTTAATTTTCCATCTTTTAGAAAGAGATTTTTTATTTGCCGTATCGATTGTCGTTCTATATTACAAAAAATGTGTGATTTTCACAATTTTCTCTGCAATATTTATCAGAAACTTGTTCTTTTATCATGATCATGTAAAGTTTTTGAAAAGGTTTATAAATTTTATTGATTTTATGTTTATAAATTAAGAACTGTAAGCAATAGGAATTTTTTTTTATTACTACGCAGATCCTAATTATGATTTATTTATTTATTTTTTTGGAAAGGGATTAAAAATACTTTTTGAGTATTTAAAAAGTATTTAAAAGATGCTTATTTTTTGTTGAAAAAATCTGACTATGCACCCTGTTTGAACAATTCTCAAAATAACAAATAAAAAAACAAAAAGGATTTGATAGAATCAGGAAATAACAAAAGCGAATAAATCTCATTTTTCTCCCATCCAACAAGATATTCTTAAACTTTATCTTCTCTCGTTGTAGAAAAAATAAATATAAATTAAACTGAAATGCAGCGAGTAAAAATTTTGATTCGTTCGAATGCAAGATGGTAATGAGTTCTAATTTAACCAAAAACTGGAACATTGATTCCAAATAATCAGTTTCATTTTATAATAACCCTAGCAACAATTTTTACATTGACCTCAGTTGGGCTCTAAATTGGCTCAATATGGATCCCATAAGAGCATGCAACAACATGTCTAGATTTTTCTAATATTGATCCTAGGATGACTTACAATATTGCAACATGATTCATTTCTATCTAGGATCAATATTGAAAGCCATTCTAGGACCAATATTAGAAAATATAGGCACCCCAAAATTGGTTGTATATTCAGGGTATCCTCGCGCCTGGAAAGTCATGGAAAGTCATGAATTTCGGTATTGAACAGAATTTGTCATGAAATGTCATAATTTTAACTATTTTTTTAAAAAAAATTATGAAAAGTCATGGATTTAGGTTGTTGAAAAATCTAATTTTTGAAGTGGAATTTACCCCCCTCCTCCAATTTCATGGTGTTTTGAATATCTGAATTTGTAACAAAATCCCCACTCACAGTCATATTTGATTGAAATATAAAATGTTTTTATCGTGTTCTTTAAAAATTATGGTGTTCTTTCAAAAATTGAAAGAAAAAACATCATTTCTAGAGCGAATTATCTTTTAAACTTCTATGATTTCAGATTTTTTGCTATTTATTTTTATTTTATTTTTTTTATCAATTTAAAATTTTAGTTGAAGCAAGTCAGTCAGTGGCGATTTTTTTAAAATCCGAAATGAGAACAGAAAAATCAGGAGTATTCCTTTCCGATGAACAAGAAAAGTATCTTTAGAATGTAATTCTGCAGAAAAAAAGAAAAAATATATATTTGCTTTTGTATTTTTTTTCCAGCTATTTTATTGCTTCAACTCTTTCTTTACTCTGTTTTTTAAATTTAAAATCTGTAAATATGAAGATGTAGAGTATAACAGTTTTGGTTATACCTGTCATTTCAATAAATGTTGTTATAATGCTTTTTTAAATTTATTGTAGTTTTTGTCGGAGAAAATAGTAACTTCGTTAAGTCATGAAAAAATCTTGGAATTAGTCATGGAAAGTCGTGAAAAGTCATAAATTTGAAAATCTAAAGTGTAGCAGATACCCTGTATATTTTTGTGTACCCTGTATTGTATTTTTTAAAATTTAGTACCTTTATATAAGTGTTACTTTTCAGTAAATTCATAGATAATTGTATTAATATAATATATATAGAATTAGGTTGCATATACACCTTAAAAGTGAGCTAATTTGAATTTCATAAATATTAACTACTTACATACTTCTAATAGCTAGTTTTGCACCTCTGTTTATTAATTAGTTCAACTATTGTAGCTTACATAACTGTTTCATAACCTTTTGGAAAGTTCTGATGTTTTATTATGTGTATTCTTAAAATGTTGTGTAGGGTATCACTGTCTATTTTTTTTAAAAAAATTATACTTTTCCTAAAATTGTTTGCAACTGCAATTTAATTCAGAAACATTTTGATTTAAAATTTTGGTTAATAAGTTTTTAACTTTTCAAGATCTATGTTTAAAAATGTAGCCATAATATTTCATTAGAAAATTTTTGTCAAGAATTTATTTTCCTCTGCGTATCTTTTATTCTTACTAAAGTAAATAAAAGAGTATGAGTTGACATTTATTACTTTAATTTAGGATAGAATTCAGCGGCCTATCGTTCTAAGAAAAAGACGGGAGAGAGTAAAAAATGAAGCTAACTGGCAAATGTTTTATCATCAATTTAATCAAGATCATATAAAACCTGATTTAATATGGAATTATAAAGTAAGATAATTTATATTTTTATGCATCATTATAATGTATCATATTATCAGTGTTAGTAAACGGGCTCTTCTGAGTTAGTGATGCCTCACTTATAGCTCTTTCAGACTGTACAATATCATTAAGCTTATAGATTATTCCTTACAAGTCTCATATTTTGTTTTGTCTTATAATTCATTCTAAATATAAGTTGACTAATCAGATAAAATTTATTTAAATTTTCATACATCTCTATTAAAAATATAAATATTTTTGCAGTACCAAGTCCCATATCTGAATGTCCATTTAACAAAAGGGTCTATTTTCCGGACACTTTTTAATGATAAAAACAAATAATTCTCTTCTTTTTTCTTTTTTTTCTCAAAAAAAACTTTTTTCTACGTTTGTGATCTGTTAAAAAAAAGTATGAATGGAGAAATCATCCGCTTTTTATGATTCTTACTCAAATTCAGATTTTTGTTTGATTTTGATCCGAATTCTGCTAAAATATGATTAAAAAAATTTTCCAATATGGAAACAAGGAATATCTTTAGTTTTATGATTTCAGAAGCATTTCTTTACAGCGTGAAAAAAAGACACATTTTTCTCTTGTTTTGCATAAAATGATTACTACTGCCAAATGCACTTAGTTTAAGAATGTGCATAGCTCTTTCATTTTGTAAATATTGTAGATTTAAGTAGGAATTGTTATTACAAGAGTGTGTCAGAAAGTTATTATTTAAAAGCGCAATTTGAAATGCGCAGATCGTAATAGTATTAGTATACCAAAAAAGAAATAGACATATTGAACACTATATGAAGATCCTAAACTGCTGAAAATGCAATCAACAAAACCACATAAAGAATAAAATCATCACAAATCTAGTGCCTCAAGAAATTTCTTCAAATGCGTGATTTAGGAATCTCATTACAAAACCATATAGTATTTTAAAAAAATCAAGTTATTTAAAAATCCATGTCAATAATGAAAATGCCATCGGTGAAAGTACGTGGTTTTACTGGTAAAATCTCAATAATCCAGTCCACTTTAAAATTGATTTTAAAAATGTGCCATTTGAAATTTCTTGTGTGTGATAATGTAGCATTAAAAAATCTATAAAAATTCTGATGCAATAACTGACAGAAATGCAATCCTCAATCCTTGTGTAAAGGTGAATCACGCAAAAAAGTGATTATTTAAACGTGCGATTTGAAGCTTGCAGAACACGATAACATCATTGAGATTTTAATAACCATGTAAAAATCAGATGTAAAAATTATGAAGAAAACTATGCAAATTCACGATAGAATCATTGCTAATCGGGTGGATCGAGAAATAATTACATAAAATGCTTGATTCAGAATTCGGAGCATGTTTTAATGACTTATTAAAAAAATATTGAGATTTAAAAAACTAGGTGGAAATCTGCAACAATAGCTGCTAAAATTGTGATAGGGGAACCACTCGATGTATATGTTGTTGATTGAAATTGATGTTGCATTTTGATATTTTTTTTTAATACTTAATTGAAAGCTTATTATGAAGTGATAGCTGAGATTGTCACAAGAATATCATTGTAACTATGTGTTAACAAGACAAATAAAAGACAAAGTTTCCATTGTAAACAATTTATTTTAAAAGCATACAATTATAACGTACTCTCCCAAACAAAGTGACAAAAGAGCAACGAAAAGAAAGAATGCAAAATAATCTGTTTCAACAGAAGCTTAGATACTCTTGTTGAACAGATGTGGGATTCACTCATGAACGACCAACAGGAAATGAAAAGAAGTCAGCCGAGCCCCTCAGACCATGACATTACTGCTACAACTTGAATCGAAACTTCGAAGATCGAAACTTTTCTTTTTTTATTTTATTTTACAATCAATCAAAATAGAAAAACCTTTTTAGCATTTATTTATCTTACAATAAGTGTGATTTATCTGATTATAAGGTTGATTACTTAATAGAAGGCTTATTATGAAGTAGGGGCTTAGGTGCAGCTCTTAGCTAATTCTGACTTGAAGGAGGGACTTCATTCAGACTAAATTTGTGTAGGTGGCTGTGCAGGCAAGTTTGATAAGAGGATTTCTGATTAGCAGTTAAAGTGTGAATTTAGAGGATTGTTAATAAAAAGGAAGTCTTGCATGTAAAGGAATGAAGCTTAAAATGACAGACAGACCAGTTTTTTTAGTGGCAGGGGCTTAGTTTATCGATGAAAATATTGCTAGAAAAATTCATAATTAACTTAAAATTTGAAATCCCAACAGTTTTGCCATTTATATGCATGTAGATGCAAAGTTATCAAAAGAGAAGACACCTTTTTTTCGAAATAAGTGTGCATTAAATTGTGTTAATATCAGTGTTCGGAAAAACTACATTATTTTTGTAGTTTTCTACTGCTACTTTGTTACAAATGCAGTTGGCTACAACTACTTTTTTTTAAATATAGTGACTACAAATTACTTTAGAATTGTAGTAACTACTTTAAGAACAAGAACTTTGCTGGAGAACTTAATTTACACTTATGTTCATAATGGTTTTGAATGATAAAATTGGCTTACATTAAATATCGGGGAATAATTAAGAAATATTTATTCACATTTAAATGAGCCAGTTATCATTCCAAAATTGTTTTTTTCCAGATTTGTTAATTTACTTTCAACTTTTTATGCTTTTTCCATTTTGTGAATATTTAATTTTTAAGAAATGCTAAATTGTCAAATACTTGAAACTTTTTCATTGTTTAATGATTTCCTCTAAGAAATTATGTACATCGAAAGAACGTTCCTTTTAAATAACATCAATGTTTCTCAAGTGTACAGTCACGTATGAAAGTGGGATCAAAGTGATTAATTATCTGTTTCTTTGTAATGGGTAGTTTAAGTATTAGATATTTGTGATTTTAAATGCATAATTTTTGTTAACGCTCAGATACAGCTATAGAGTCATTTTCATTGCATCCATCGACAAACCCATGAGGATTTGTACCGCTCAAATTCGAAGAAAGTTGTTCGAAGAATTAGTTTACAACTGTGTTTCTTTTCTAACTTAATGTTAATTAAAATTCTCGTTTTCGTGCATTTTAGAAAATTCCCTTAAATTGAGTAAAGTTTCTTAAAAAATTCCCTATTAAAATGGAATTTTTGTACACATTATTGCTTGCTTGAATATATAAATAAGTATGAATAATACAAAATAAAGCCAGTCTCATTTATAGAAATCAGTGCAAAAACTTTTTTTGTTCTGAAATGTTCAATTTATTTCTATTCGGAACTTTCTTTTTAAATTAATTTGAAAAGCACTTTTTACTGTCTTTGATGAATTAAATGCCTATTGATATTAGAAATAATGAATAAACATATAACATAACATTTCAAGTAAGTTTAATGTTAATCATAACTGAAAAATATTGCAGTTTATTTATTCCAATGACTATATAAAATCCTTAAAATTCCCTATGTGTAAAATATTTAGTATATTTCATGCAAAAATTATCATGAATTTTGTATTTCGTAGGATCTACTGGATTTTTTTCCTATCCATATTAGCAGCTATGACACTGTTTTTTTTTTCTGTATTGCACTACTCACTATGCTTCTTTTTATTTAAAAAAAAAGTTGCACCCTATACTAGAAAATACAAAAGAAAGAGTAGCGACAACAGTAGTTTCACTACTTGTTGTGCACTGTATATAAAATGTTCTTCTCTTAAAGTTGAATTTCTTATAAAAGAGTATCTATTATTTAGACGAGAGAAGAGTTGAAAGATGCTCTAGAAAAAGAGATGAGAGATTTCAATTCCTGTCGTGAGCTTGGACGAACCGTTACAATTTCATGGAATCATGTGGAGTTTGAAGTGCAGTACCCCTCTTTGATGGAAGAGGTCAAAATTGGTGATTATTATTTGAGACTTCTTCTTGAGGAGGATGAGAAAGACACATCAGGATCTTCTTACATCAAGAAATCGTAAGTTTTATACTCAACCCCCAGCTTTACGTTTTATGGGTAAAAAAATCAAATTCAAAAAGATATAAACCTTTAAGAGAATTCTTAACTCAGTCTCAAATCATTTTAAGATAGATATTTCTTAGGAATATATTTTTCATTCAGAAAATTTTTTTTTGTATTTTTTTTTTTAATTAAACATTTTTTGTCTGCGAGTATACTGTTTTTATAGATATCATTTTTCTTGTTTGCATTTAAAAATGAACAAATTTATTGACTTTCAGCTTCATGTTCAGGAGAAAATATTCTGGTTTACTTTTCAAAAGAAAAAAAAAAATTTCCGTAGGGTTGTAATCTTAAATTGAATTTATTTAAGGAAGTAAATAATTCAGAGAAATTTCATTTCGAGTTGATTTTGAAGAGTATAAATTTCAGGATGTATTTTTTAATATTATTAAATGAATTATTTACATGGTTAAATAATTTAAGCATTTATGATAAACTACTTAGTAAGCGTATAACTTTTTTAAATCATTCTGTGATTAAATAAGTTAGAATAAATACCTCAGAAAGGACTTAATGTTTGATTTCATTACGTGAGTGTTGTTTAACATAGCAACTCCATTCAACTCTTCATCCACTCAATTTTGAACGATTCAATTTGGAATATTTTATTTATTTATTTTTTTGGAATCTGAAAGCATATCTCCCAAGTCTCCTGTTTTTTCACAACGAATCCTGTATTTTATGACTATCTCCTGTTTACCCGTATATTCTCAAATTTAGCATTATTTAGCATTAAAACTAGCATCTGTCACCTTATATGTGGAAGAAATTTTTTTTAAAGAAATAGTGATAAAATATCCACTGATGGCAAAAATACTTCTCTTATTCCTCAACAGATGGTGCATCGCCAGTACTGCAGTATGTTCAGTGTTAATAGTTTAAGTCGAGCTATGATGGCTCAGGGGATAGAGTGTTCTCCTTCCAATGAGGTGAGCCGGGTTCAAATCCCAGCAATGACTTGTTAATACAAATTCCACTTTCAGCTTGCACCGACCACGGTGTTGACACAAAATATCCTCAGTGGTAGACAGACCACGAGTTAGTCCTCTTGATGTCATGCTAACTGTGGGAGGTTTTCCTCTCATGTAATGTAAATGTTGTATGGTTCCAACAAAAAGTCCACCTCTAAGGCAAATTTCTTCCAATACTTGATTCAGCGGTTCCATTGTCATCTTGGATTGGATTGGGTTCAAAATTACGAGGCTATGGCTTCAACATTAGTAAGTGGTCGTAAACCACAAAATTGGGTAGGCTGTTCAAAGACGGTTAGAAAGTAGAATAGTTTAAGTAATTATAAATAATGGTTTAAAAAATCTTCTTTAGATTAGGATTTATATACATATTTTTACATCACTAAATGTAAGTGCTTATATAATTTATAATTTTGAATTTCTCTTTTTGACTTACATAATTATGCATGATGTATCAAAACTTTACTCTTAGTCTAAAAAATGTGTGAAGTAAAATTTCCGTTATTTTATTTCTCCAATGTTGGCAGGTATGTGAAAGCATTTAACTTTCTCAACATATACTGATCACAGCCACCGTGTAGTAATGCATGAAAGATACATCAAAAGGTTTAACTCGAATAAATAAGCATAACGAATAAATGATCAAGCATTCAGGGGTCATAAAAATTACCAAAGTATTAAAAAATAGCATAACAATTGAAGTATGAGTTACAGGTTTATTTGTACACGTTTCTGATTTGTATAAAGTTGATGCCAATGCCATCTAAACAAAAGCAAACTCTAAACTTGAAAATAATGTTAATTCTTGTCTATGGCATTAAATGACAATGCATTCTATAACTTTGCTCCCTGGTGGCAATACCATGCACAAACTACTGTAAACATAGAAATTCCAAATGTAAACAAACGTAAAAACTTCCATAGATCAGGATATTTGATATTATTGATTGACAGAATATTGCAATCATGCATTTTTTTTTATTATTTTGAATAATTACTGGATTAGTTGTAGAAAGAATCTGTGATTACACATTATTTACACATACAACCCAATGTGTAAATTAATGTAGCAGATTCATTTTGCCAATTATTTCAGCCTCTGACTGCATGAGCTTAAAACAATGTTTGACTCTTAATGGGTAGTCTTTATAGGTTACTGAAGCTATGATATTTTATAGGTATGAATTTTTCAACGACTTGTATCATCGATTTTTGCTATCGCCCAAGCCAGCTATGAAGTCCATGTGTTTACAAGCCATGGCCATAGTATATGGACGTCATTTTGACGATATTGGTTGCTTTAATGATACTAAGTTTATCATTAACATGCTAGATCGGGTAAGTTATGGGGTTCATTACACCTTCTATGTGTAGATAAAGTTGACGCTTAATATAATGACTAATCATGTGGCATTATAATGTGAGGTTGTTATAGTGAGGGCACAAAAATACTGTGAGAACTAACTCGTAGGTAAAAAGAAAAAAAAATGAGTTAAAGATTTTCCTACAAAAAGATTTTTTATACTTTTTATTTCAAGAAATAGCTTGTCTTATAAGTAGAGCCCGGATTTTGATGACCTAAAAAATCTCAACTAATGCCCTTAAAAAGTGCAAAAAATGCCCTTAAAAATGCAAAAATTGCGCAAAAAATGCCTTAAATAAAGTAAAAATATTGAATTAAAAAAATGTTTTGCTCTTTAAAATTATTATGAGTCATTTAAAAAATATAAAGCAATGCAATACTTGTTCTACGTTCATTAAAGTTTGAAAAATATGTTTTATATCCTAAAATAACAAAAAAAGGAAAATATATTGACACCAAAATATTTTTATTTTGTATAGAAACTTTAATGGATATAACAACTTCCATCTCATAATATTACTAAATATCAGAATTACATTGGATTATTAAATGTTTTTTGATAATTTGAAATGTAAACGAGCGTCTCTTGTCTGAAAGTAAATTTTCATTCCTGCAGAAGCTTCTTTCAACGTCTACTGATGTTATAGGTGTGTACTTGAAAAAGACGGTCTCACTTTCTGACAATTCTTCTTCAATTTGAAAAGATTTTGCTTCACCTGTTAATATCCTATAGATTTTCTTCATTGTTTGGAAGCCATTGTTTGGCAGTGTAATAATGAAAATTGATAAAAAATAATAATAATTGGAAAAAATTAACAGAAAACTTTTAAAAATGCATTAAAATGCAAAATACGCCCCAAAATTTAAAGAAAAATGCCCTATAAATCTAAAAAAATGCTCTAAAAGACAAAAAATGTCCAAAAATGCAAAAAAATGCAAATGTCATCAAAATCCGGGCCTTACTTATAAGTAATTGCTTATTAAAAATTACTTTATAATTATGCCTCCATAATACACAAATATCTTTAACAATAATCAATCTTTTCTTTTTTTCTTAGTTTAGTTTATTTTGAAGGTTTTAAATTCAATGCTTTAAAAGTCAAGTTTTTAAATAAATTGATGAAAATTAGGTTTTTTTTTTCAAAATAAAGGAAATAAATTCAGTTATTTTATTTATTTATTGACTTTTTTTATATTTATTTTTTTATTGACAATTTTATCGCCTTCACAAGCAAATTGGAAGAATACTGAAATAAATTGTCATTGTTTATTTCTTTGAATTAAATTGAAATTCCAGTTATTTCCTTACGAGTGTTTTTTTTTATTATTATTATAGAAAAATTATTTTTTAGTTTAGTGCTTTATTACCCTTGATGGAAATAATCAGGGCTGATAAAGGCTTTATTTGACATTTATTCAGCATGATCCTTCTTACTAAATCTCGATAGAAATGGAACCCACTAAGTGTCCTTTGCATGAAACTAATGCGAATTAGATTAAATATTAAAAATTTTAATTTAAATTGAAGATGAATTGAAAGTCATTTAAAAATAAAATTATAGTTTAAGGGTATTCAGTGTTGAAGAAACATAAAGACTTAAATTAAAACTATTTGTTTCTTAAAAATAAACTTTTTTCTTGAAACTATTTTGAATTAAAGAACTGTGTGAAGAGACTTTCAGCATGCTTTTCTTTTTCAGAGTACGGATAAACTAGAAAGAGACAGGCTTGTGCTATTCATAGGAAAACTAATACATGACAAGGTAAGTGCTTTTTTAAAAAAAAATTTTTTAGCATTTATACATAGATTATAAATACTCTGCTATTTTCTGCTCTGAAAAGTTCCTACATAACTGCCAACTCTACTGGATTTTCCAGTAGACTACTGGATTTTGCCTGTTTCTCCTGGTCTTCTGGTTTATTTAAAATTCTCCTGGTTTTTTACATTTTAGAAAATTCCCTAAAATTGATTAGTTTCTTAAATAAATCCCTATTGAAATAGAAATTTTGTACAGATTATTGCTTGCTTGCTTGAAAAATTAAATAAGTTTTACTAATGCAAAATGAAGTGAACCTTATTTATAGAAATCAGTTCAAAACTTTTTTTATTCTGAAATCTTCAGTTTGTTTTTTCTCTGAGCTTTTTTTAAAATTAATTTAAAAAAATGTTTTAACTATCTTTGAAGAATTAAATGCCTATTAATATTCAAAATAATGAGTAAACATAATACAAAAAATTTTAAGTATGTTTAATGTCTATCATAACTGGAAAATATTGCAGTTTTTATGTTTTGATGACTATAAAAATCCCTAATATTTTTTATGTCTAAAATATTTAGCCCATTATGCAACAATTATCATGAAATTTATATTGTGTAAAATCTACTGGATTTTTTCCTGTTCTTGTTGGCAGCTATGTTCCTATAAGGGCAACAATTTAAATTAAAGAAATCTCGTTTGACTTTTGAAATATTGTTGTTAAGTATCGATGCATTATAGACAATAAGATAGATATGAATAACTAAGCATCCATTTACTCCTGTCAAAAACTATTTTCAATACATTACATACAACTGATTTTGAATTTTCTTTCAGATTTTCTTTACATAGAAATGCTTTTTTTTCTAAAAAATATTTTAAATTACGTTCAGAAAAGAAATTAAAGAAAAAAGATAATTGTTTTAAGAGTATTTCAGGGGGAAAAAATAAAGAAACAAGTTTTAAAATTTGTCGGGGTTGACTTATTTTCAAACATACAATGAATCCCCATGGCAGAATCACTGTGACATTGTCGCAGAACATTATAGTCTTGCGGAAAGATTTTTTTTTTTGAAAAGTAAAAAAAAAAAAATTTCTACAGAAGTTAACATGTAATATTTGAATCATGCATTTCACTTTTTGATGCGCTCAATTTATGACGATAATATCATATACCGATGTTATGTTTTGATTGCATTTTCGGCAGTTATTGATATTGATTTTCACCTTATTCTTAAATATCCCGATATATTTGAAACAATATAGAAAATTCGAATTGTGCATTTTAGTATTTACTTTTTAAGGCAATAATTCTATTGAATTTTTTGCAGTTATTCCTATAGTTTTCTCCGTAATTTTTTATTTTATTTTTTAGTTTAATCAGATATTTTTTGATCCGATATTTCTAATTAATAACAAATGCATAGACAATAAACTATTGTTGTCTGTTATAAGAAATGATGGACCATGTCTCTTTTCAATTATTTATTTACAGACACAAACATGAAATAAGATAGATATGGTGGAGAAATTCCTGCAGAGAGAATCTAAACTGTTCTCTTCAACGCATAAACTTCTTCTGCTGATACCATGTGACTATGCACATTGCAAGTCACATCGCAAGTCCACAACCTAATCTTGAAATTAAACACACATTTGAGGAGTCCGATTCACGTCATTTCGTCCGCGATCTTTTTTTTAATTTTTTATTTTGCAATCGCTACTATGAATTTCATGATTTTTTTATTATGATGATTATTGACAAAATGCGAAGAAGGATATAATTTGTGTGTTCCCCCCAACAAAATGCGTGAATGTCACCCTTAATATTAGAATAAAAAATTATTACATGTTCAATTAAGAAAATTATATAATTATTATTATATTTGTAAACACATCGTATTTGTTATTTTAAATTAGTAACTTATATGTTTGTTATTATTAAAAGTATCTTGCAGAAAGATATTAGTACTAGAGAGCTTTGTCGCAAATAGTATGAAAAAATTCTGCCTCAGGGCCATGAAGCTACAAATTTAAAGATTCCAGAATGTCATCAACGTCGGGTTCGTTAATATTAGCAGTGAGTGTTGTCATAGAGATCGCACTTTGCTTCATCTTAACCTTCTGAGTCCTGCAAAAACACCCCCACCAGAAGAACGCTTTTGACAAGATTTTACGATAACATTTGAATTCACATTTTGCTGCACTTCATGTATTCCTTTAACATGTATTCTTGGACATTCATAGGAGTAATGATGGACACCAGAAATTAGGCATCTCATAATCATGAATAGTAGGTCGACACTGAGATATATGGTATTTTAATTTTAAAGAAATTACATACCTATTATCTTAAAACTAAAGACAATTCTTGAATTATAAATTACAAAAAAATGGAAAAAAATTTCAAATAAGATTTTTCTAAAATTTAAAAGGAAACTTTAAGTATCTCAGATTGTTATTTTCATTATATGCTTGAAAAACCAATAATATTTTTTTAGCAGTAATACTGTATTAGGAAATGTATATGTTGACACTTGGTTTTAAATGATTTTACTGCCATAACATTTAAGCAATTCAAACATACATACCAAAACTCTGACAAGCATATTGTAATGTTTTTAAATGTTGACATTATTTTTAAAACTTTCGCTTATTTAATTGTAATTTCACTACCACTTTAAATATTGTGGATTGGTTAAATTTCCAGGATTAGCCGGGAAAACTGTGAAGTGGCAGTAATTGTAATTATTATAGTAAATTTGACCACAAAAATAAATTTATTTTTATTTAATGTCCATAAATAATACATAATTTTTTTGGAATTAAATTAAAAATTCTCTCTCAGCACTCATTTTAAATAAAAATTTAATTTTAAAGCTTATATTGACTTTATTTTTTAGGAACAGTGTGCACCTTGGAATTTATCTTGTATCTTAGAAATATTTTTAGTGCTTAAAAAGTGCTTATTTTTTGTTGAAAGATTTGGCTACTCAGACAGTATAATATTAGCTCTATTATTAAAAGACAGGATTCAAGATTCCAGCCTGGCAGTATTATATTGCACTGTCTTATGTTAAATAATATTGTTTTGCTACCAAGATAAGCATAAAAAGAAAAACCAGTCCTACTTGTACTGTGCATAAAGGGCTCTAGTTATTACTCTAATTAAAGTATATTTTGACATCACTGAGCGTAACAGGTCCAATCACGGGAACTAACATCTTTACTGCTTGTTTTGGAGTTGTCTGTTAAGATTTTGGAGAAAATTATCTGTTGTTTTATAGGGGTTCTTTGTAATTATAATTCCATCCCTTTATTTTAGAGAAATGTGAAGGAAATAATGGATTCTAATGGTTTGAGAATATTAGTTGACCTTTTGACCCTTGCTCACCTGCATACAAGTCGTGCGACTGTGCCCACTCAGGTGACTACTCTTTCTATCATGACTTTTTAATTTAGTGTGATAATTTAAAAAGATACAAGGTAACAAACTACTGAAAAACTGTGAATGACAATTAGTTACATATTGAATTTTTTAAAAAAAGAAAATTTCATTCAGAATTGCGTTATGAGTAGAGTTCATTCACCAGGAGTATGCACTTGGCTCCACCTCCTCCGACGCAGATTTTGTTTCAACTCGGAATTAAGAAGAGAAACATCTCCGCTCTTGAAATTGGGACAACCCTTATTGCGCACCAAACGCAAACAGTGAATTCTTTTTCATTAACTTACTTCACTTTATCATCTGCTATTATATCTTTCGTTACTCTGGCTAATTAAATATATTTTTAATTTAAAAACTGCTGTTTTCCCTGCAAAATGTCTCAAAAAGAACAGACTATTCGCTGAAAAGAGAGAAAATCATAAAAAATGGCTCGAAGTATCAAATTTACGAAGTATTTAATGTTAAAAAACTTCACGCAAACTTTACGGAATACATAATTTTGGCGTACGATCGCAAAATAGCAACCTTGTTTAGGATTGTTCACATCCTTCTCCCAAAAATAGCGAAATAATATTGTCGCATACCACGTAATGAAGGCGGAGCCAACTGTGAACACCTGGTTAACGAACTTTAGATGCAAGCTGGATGCTTCGAAATTTAAAGGGGGGAACAAAAATTGCAGGTTTTGTCACGAAACAAGTGTCTGAGAAAACTACACTTTATGCTGTAGCTGCCGCTGTAGATTATTTAAATCTATGTTATTTGAGAGTAAAAGTGCTCGTATTGCTTTATAAACTCAGAACTATCTATATTGACTTTACCGGAATCTGAAAAAAAGTGTTCTGTCCTATGCCTCATTGAACGTGCTTGAAACTTTAGTAGTCATTTATTTAAATATTGTTGTGGGAGTAGATAAAAGTGTTATTTCATCCATCAGTTCTGCATTTGTAAAAGAATGCAGATAATTCTAAATATCTAGTGGATATCCCAAATGACATTTACTGGCATAACCTGCAATATTTATTGGAAGTTAAGTGCACTACATTTCTTTAGGTATGTTTTATAAAGAAACTTCTAACATTGATCCTCTCTACATAATCTTAAATTTTTTACTTGATTGCTGAACAGCCGACCCAATTTTTGTGTTTACAGCTATTGCTGTTTAACACGGTATCCTTGTAACTTTGAACCTAATCCAGAAGACAAGGGAATTCCTGTATAAAGTATTAGACGAAATTTGCCTATATGAAAACTTTTTGATGGAACTAATCCGCATTTGCGTTACACGATGAGGAAAACCATTAAAACCTTCCATGGTTAGCCTGACTGCATGGAGACTCTAACCCGTAATCCTTGTCAGCACTGTGGTCGGTTCGAACGGAGTGTGGAATTCGTATTGTCTAGTAATCGCTCTATTCACTAAGCCACCCTGGCTCTTTTTAAATTTTTTGAGACTTTCTGAGCATTCTTTATCTCATATACTCTAAGTGAAGGGTGTCCAAAATGTATGGAAAACAATCAAATACAGTAGAGCACCAATTATCCATACCGATCAGGCCCTGAGCCAATCTGGATGAAGAAAAATCATAATAATGGAACAACTTTAAAATACGGCTATGAGAATGTTCGTAAACCAAAAAAATTGGGTCGGCTATTCAACGAGGGTTATTAAATAAATTAAAACCACATTTAAATCATTATATTGTTTAAAAAAGAATATTTATTTAAAATACCGAAATTTTTTTAAAAATTAAACATTAAGTCAAAACATTTTTATACAGATATTAAATTTATAAATAAATTTTTATGGTTGCGATTTCTTTTTTTTTTTTAACAAAAAATATTTTCTGATTTCATTGGTATTAAAGTTTTTTTTCTCCAAAATAATGAGATGTAATCATGCATGTAAATTACTTACTAATCAATGGTCCAAATAGAAAGGAAAAATTATTAAATGGGAAAAAAAGAAACTTTTAAGTAATAACTGCGTGTAAAATAATTTGTCATTTGGTAAACATATTTCTATTGTACCCATTTAGTTTTCTATTTATTTAAATACAAGTACTTTTAAAACTTATCAAATATTTTTTTTGTGTATATTAATAATGAAGAAAGTCTTATTCTATCAAGAGTAATTTGTAAAAAAAAATATGTTTCTGGATCTGAATGTTCTTTTATTTGATATCTAACTGACAAATTGAGTCATTGCTTTCATAAAATCACGAGGATGATGAGTTAGAATAAAAACAACTATGTTTTCATTTATTTATTGGTTACAGGGGTCTGTCTAGAGTTTTTAAGAGGTTCCTATTTTGTGAAAATTTAAACATACTTTGTGAAAATTGAAAATTATATTAAAAAATAAACACAAAAGTATGGTAAAATAAAATATTTTCAAAAATTGTCACTACAAATAAAAATCATTCATTGGTAAATTTATATATATTTGTCCCCATATGTTCAATAACAATTTTTGCTATTGTAAAATTTTGGGCTTAAAATTGTACCGAAATTTAAAAATTCATAAAAATTACTGTCCATAGTCAAATTTTAACTTGAATTTTTTAAAAATATACATTTAACAGTACCAGAACTAAAAGTTATTTTCATTACGAGAACATTTTTGACTGGATCATATACAGAAAACTTTCACAGAGAAAAAATGTTTCATAAAAAATAAAGGGTCTATTACAATCAAATTAGAATAATGTTTAAAATAATAGTTCGAATTTAGAGTTCCTGTAAACTTTAAAGAAGGACAGCTTCGTCATTTCATTAAAAAAAATAAATAAATAAAGGAACTCTAAATAAAAGCTTGCTAACTGTTAGGCTAACTGTTAAGCGTAAGCAAACTGTTAGGCTTACCACATCACAACATTTAGGGGAAATTACTTTGGCTACATAAGATCTTGGTGTAGGACAAATAAACAAAAACAAATTATAAAAGAAATTATTAAGCGCACCTTGGAGGATGCACTCGCATCTGATGATCTCTTGGATCCACTCTTTAGGAGTTAATTTCAATTTCCGGTTGTTGATTTGCCCGCCTGTTCAGTCTTTGTCAATTCTGTTTTAATTGTTTTTATGCTATAACTTTTACTTCTCTTTGCTTTTGCAATTTTTACTGCTGTTGCTTTTACTACTTTGTAACTTTTGACTTTTGTCATTTTATGTGTTCTCTATTGTGATTTTATTGGCTCCCTTGTTTTTATTGCACCTTTCTTTTGTCACATTTTGTCATCGATTTTTAAACCCAATTGCTTATAATGAACTCATATGTTTATTGTCATTGTACAACCTGCACCTTGTGCATAGTTTATTTTGTGATTTTACTTTTTCGTTGCTTTGATGTTTTTAATTTTACTATTTTGTATTACGTATGGCTCACTATAAGGGAGGTCCTGTCGGCATTATAAAACGGGCCTCTCGGAGCACTTTTATTGCTGTTGCCATCAGCCTCTGTAATGTTTTCTTGTTGTTTTAGTAAATGCCACGAATGTAGTCTGGCCGGGCACATGTACTGGTGGACGGATCGCGGTTCCCTCTTAAGAACTGTCGTGGCGACGGGTCGTTTCACCGTATGCCCAAATGAGGGCGGGTCGGATATTTCACACTTACCACATTGCACTATCTGACCAAACAAGTGCTACATATTCATAGAAGAGCTCTTTTTCCAACTGAAAACCTTTTTTTTTCTTCATAGATTCGAGAACGGAGTTTGCATGGTACTAGCACTTTTTCTTCCTTTTCAATTAAGAAACGGAGTGGCTGACACTTCTTTTCTCCCACAGTGTTTCATGATCCCGGCATGCTTTCAGTGAAGCATGGGGAGGAAAAGTACTTTTCTTACAAACCGTGTGGGAAGCAAATTCTTCTGCTACGTCATAATAGTAATCAATGGGAAAATTCCATTTCAAAGCGAAATGCATAATTAACCCAGGGTTTATTGTTTTTACGGGAATACAATAAAAAAATTTACGAAGCAGGGGGGAAGAATCTTAGAACGTGCTTTTTTAAAAGTATTCTGTGAAACTGCCGTTTCTCCTTAAGTTGAATTTATGAAGGTGCGGCTAAGCGGTAGTAAATTTGCCCTGAACAGACCTTGAGTTTGTTAATAACCTTAACAATTTTAAGTCAGACATATTAATGACTTGAAGATATTGTTTGTAAATAATACTAAGCAATATTGATGTATTTCATCAGAGATTTGATTGGTAAACGTAATTAATCTGTTTAAAATATAAAATTTTGCAGAGCAAATAATTTTCTTTTTTAAAATCGCAGAAGTAATGTTTGTGTTAATTAAAAAAAAACTTTTTGTCTTTGATGTATTTTAAAAAAGTAAAAAAAAAAGTCTTATTGTTCTTTAAAGCAAAAATCACTATGTAATTGCTAAAATGTCACACTTTTTATGATATTTCTTTTAAATTCTAGACAAATGTAATTGAAGCTTCTCCTGAGCAAATGCAAATGACTGAAAAAGAATGGTATTACCGAAATGCTGAAAAAGAAAGGCATGGTCCCTTTGGATTCAACGAGGTATTTCTTTTTAATGTATAATGTATTGTATGCAGTGTTTTACTTTTTTTACGAAAAAAAACATTAATGTAATTAATACAAATTGTGTGATTTGGAGGGTGAAGGTGCTCTCCACATCACCTAACCAAGGTTAAAATTATGTGATGTAATTAGAGTTAGAGGTTAGGTACCAGAATTGTCTTGCAGTTCCCAGGCCTTATTGCAATGTTGCCCTAAATGCTCTAATCTTTTAGCAGAATAGCCCTCACAATCACAAAGTATGTGTCATGAAGTCTCCTCATCAAGATGACAACCTTGACAAAGAGAATTAGATTCAATACCTATTGGTGTCTCCTGAGGGTGCAGTGAGAAGACTCATGATCTTCCTCAAACTTTTCCTGTTTTGCTTAAGAAGCTCATTTTGACATTCAGCTCTTTAGCTTGTCTCTGACCATCCGAGTTGCGCCGTTACTCATGGGCAATTTTCCCTTAGAGCTTGAATATAGATGCCCTGAATGATGTGGGAGAAAGTCTGGTTCAGGAAATAATAGCATTGTAGTATCTATAGAATTGTTTTTTTTCATTCATATTGATTTATTTTTATATAAATTCGAATGACATTTATTTTGCAAACAGGTCTAATTATAAGTGTTATGCTTTGAGGCCAATGTTTCATTTTTCAATGTAAAATTTCATAAAAACATCTAAGAGTGACTCCCCTTATAATCAAATCAATGGTAAGCAGTTACAAATTAGCCTCTCTTTTTTTTGGCAGATGAAAGAGCTCTATGCAGATGAAGTTATTACACCCAAGACAAGGTGTTGGGCCCAGGGAATGGAAGGCTGGAAACCTGTTCATGCTATTCCGCAACTGAAGTGGTGTCTGATGGCAACAGGAACAGCGCTCATGAATGAAAGTGATCTAGCCAATGAGATTCTAAGAATGCTGATCAAAATTTGTGAATATTTTCCCAGTCGGTAAGTGCTCTGATATGCAGTTCAAGTGGAAAAAACCACAGCGGAAGAATTTGAAATTGTTTTGTTGTACTTTTCGCTTTTATCTTGCAGTGATTTAGATGAGGCAATAATACGTCCTCTGCCTAAAGCTAAACGTCAGCTCTCTGATGCTACTTGTTTGCCTCACATTGTACAGGTAAAACATTTTTTTTAGAAATTCATTTAAAACTCATTGAAAAAAAAATTTATTTAATTAATTTACACCTCAGGCTAAACCTGAAGAACTAAGGAAATTTAAAATTATTTTCAAAAAACCTGTGGAATACTTTGAGAAAATAAATTTTTTTCCTAATAACAGGTTATCTGCGCACCTGGGATAATCTCTTTGAATTATGTATTAAAGTTCCAAATGCTGACAGTGTTAGTTGTTTCAGGATTGTTGCAGCCTGAGTTGTTTATGGCAGGGATAAATCCAACCAGCATTTTTGTATTCAGAATTTCAAAAAGTGGAAGAATTGGAAATAATTTTTTTTTCTTTATAAATTAGGATTTTAATTGATTTTGTTTTTATAGTCAATTTATAAACCTTAATGTGGCAACTGACTTTTTTTTTCTTTTTTCTTGGAAAATAGGATTAAGTATGAAGATTTTTGAAGCTTAAGATTCCAATCCACCTATCAAATGTTTGCTAATTCCTGCACCATTCGAATAGTTCATCTTTTACTTTATTTGAAAATTTAAATGTTCACCTTGTCTTTAAAAATTCTTTTTTTTCCCTCTTAATTTGCATCCTTTTAATGTAAGTTCCCATTTGTTTCTTTTGAGGTTTTATTTAATCAAATAGAAAAGGTGCCGCTTGTCATTGAGCAGGGACTCCACAATTTCTTAACCATCAATGGGAAGATGGTCATTGGGGGTTCTTCCCAGGGTTGGGGTTTTGGACATCCGGTTTGAGACAGGACATGTGGGCTACTAAAGTGTCCAAAACCTTGAACATTGGTAAAAATTCTATGTGTGTAACTATTAAGCACATAATAATTACATAGATTAGTAAATATTTGATACTTTTTATACTATTTGCTTTAACTTATTAAAGGAATATAATAAGAAAAGATTTATAACTTTTGAAGCTCAACAATTCATTGAACAACAAAAAAATATGAATAAATATGCTTTTAATACTGATATATAATTTTTTTGCATAAAGATAAATAATGCAATGTTAAAAATAATAATAAACTTTTTTAATAAAACAAAAACTTGTCTTCATTTTTTTTTCTTGTTCAAAAATTAACCTTTCATTTTTCACAATATTTTGTTTTTCAAAATGGTGACATAATTGGAATAAAAGGGTTTTGGACAGTTTAAAACAGTTTTGGGCAGGACGGCTTAAACCGCGATCCATTATGTCCTAAACCTTGCCAATTTTGGTTCTTTCTGATGGTTCTAGGAAAGAACAGATTTAAAAAATTATTGTTGGAGAGTATTGTTTCATAAAATGTGTCAATTCATTTCAGCTGCTGCTGACTTTCGATCCCCTTTTAGTTGAGAAATGTGCCGTTCTTTTGACTCATGTTATGCAACACAATACTGACATATCAAAACTCTACCAAACTGGATTCTTCTTCTTCATCCTCATGTACACCGGATCCAATCTGTTGCAGATCGGTTCCCTTCTCCAGATGTCACACTCCTGCCAATCTTTCCGCTGCGAGGAGGTAACTTCATTTTTTGAATTTTTTTTATAACTGTTGTTCAACAGCCGACCCAATACTGGGTTTACGACTACCAATCTTCAACTCCATATCCTTGTAATTTTGATCTCAATCCTGAAGACAAGGGAGCTCCGGACCAGTACCCCCAGAGGTATTGATTTGTTATGGGAACATAGGGGACTTTGTGACCTGACAGATTTAAGGTGCACCAGTCATCATTTACTACACGAGGAGCCTTCTGCCGGCTGGGATCAAACCCATAATTTCTTCGACTTGGGCCCAGTGCCCTATCAACCAGGCCATTCCGGCCCTAGATATCTTCATTTGGAAAACTTATCTCCATAATTTGTCTAAAGTAAGAACTCCCCTAGCCATTTGCCTGAACCTGTGGCGGTGACTATGATATACCGGCCAAATCTCTTGTTTTTTAACGAAGACTCCTGTATTCTATGACTATTTACCTGTATATTCTCTGATCTCTCTGTATTTGTTGAGGAAATTAAAAAAAGAAAATGGTGATAAAATATTCACTGAAGGCAAAAATACTTCTGTTATTCCTCAACAGATGGTGTTGTTGCCAGTACCGTTTGAATGAGGTAAACCAGATTCGAATCCCAGCAATTCCTGCTCGATACAAATTCCGCATTCGACTTGCACCGACCAAAATGCTGACACATAATAAATATCCTCTGTGGTAGGCGAATAACGGGTTAGAGGCCCCTTGCCGTTTGGCTAACCAACGGCAACGAAAACCCCCATGGTTTTCGTCTCATGCAACCCAAGTGTGAGTTAGTTTCATCAAAAAGTCCTTTACGAAGGCAAATTTCTCCCTATACTTGATCCATGAGTTCCCTTGTCTTCTGGATAAAGTTCAAGGCTACGGAGTTGAACATAAGTAGTCGTAAACCCAAAAAATTGGATCGGCCTACTCATATTATTTTCAATTCCCTAAAAAATGTTGCTAGTAAAATCTCTGTTATTTTATTTCTCCAATGTTGGCGGGTTTGCTATGGTAACGAGGTACAACTATTTCAAGTAGGGGTGTGGGGTCACTGTTTAGGACAGGTTTTGGCTCTGGTCGGCAAAAGAAAGGGAGTCTTTTTTTCTTCGGTCTATTGTGTTAGCCCTAAAGTGAAGAGAATGTACCCTCCCTGAAATGTGCTATTCTGTTTCCATAGCAGCAGACAGCCTCAGACTTTGTGGCAAGGGGAGCTCTTACTGTAGACAAACTATAATCTATGTTAATTGAAATAGCTGCACACAAAAAAGATTTTTAGGATGCTGCTTCCTATTTCTACATAATTTTAGCAATTATTACAGAAATCATTTGTAAACTGGGGAGTTATGTATGGCAGGATGCGTAGCGTTTTTAAAAATATGTAAAAATGCTTATTTTTGATTTACTTTTTTTAAAGAGCCCTTAAAGGTGCTTTTTTTTTTATTTGGGATTTGTAAAAAGTATATATTTTAAAAAAAGTATATATAAGTCTATATTTTAAAAACAAGTTTTTTTATTTGCCTTGTCTAAATTACAAAAATGCATGATTTTCACAATTAACTCTGAAATATTTAAAACTAGTCATTTTATCATGATTATATAACGTTTTTTAATTTTATTGATTTTATCTATATATAAATTAAGATCTTTGAAGTATAGAAAGAAAGAATTTTTATTGCTGCACAGATCCTAATTATGATTATTATTTTTTTTTTTTGGAAAGTGATTAAAAATATTTTTTAAATGCTGAAAGAGTATTTAAAATTTGCTTATTTTTTGTAATAAAATCAGGCTACACATCATGTATGATCTATTAAAAAAAATTATGACTTAAATCAAATCTTTTGTGGTCAAGTCCAAAGTAGTTATAAAATTAAATAGGAAAAAATGATAAAACATCCGATACATAAGCCTTTTTCAATAGGCAAGCTATAAAGAGTTTTGGTCCAAGTTTTTATATTATTTTTAGTCTTCATTTTTTATCAGCCATCTTTTTTTTCAATTTACATTTACTTAGTGGATCATCTCTTTCATTATTTTTTTATTTTATTTTTTTAAAATTCAGTTTGTTATCTAAAGCGAAAAATACAGAATTATATTTCTGTCACTGTTTTTAAACGCTTAAGGTTATTTTTAAAGGGAAAAGGCTGCCCTTTTTTCTCTAGTTTATTTTTTATATTGTAGCTTAGTATTATAGTATATAGTAAGAGAAATTCTATATTTTCTCTAAAAGTTTTCATTTGCTTAAAATATTATACAATTATGCGATTTCACATAGGAGTTTCAGATCATAAGAAAACATTTTAATAATTTGATTTTTTTTATGTTGTAAACAGTTTTAGTAATGAACTTAATAAATGAACGCTGAGGATTAAGTGGCAAAAAGAATAAGGGAAATATCAAGATATATTTCTTTTTTTTTTAACATCAAATACCTGTGGCAGAATTTTTTTGTGACATACCTTTCTAATACTAATATATTTCTGCAAGATACTTTAAAAAATAACAAATATATATGTTACTAATTTAAAGTAATAGAAGCGTTAGCTTCAAAAAAATTTAAATTAAAAAAGTTTGATCAAATAAAAATTTTTTTTTAATTAAATGTGATATTTTTTTTATTCTTATGTTATGGGCAATATTCTCGCATTTTGTAGAAAGATAATGCAATAATTATTTCCTTTTTAGATAACACACTACACATTTCCTTTTTTCGCATTTTGTAGGTTAACATGAAATTTAAAAAAAATCTTAATCTTTAACCATAAATTCCAAAAAAAAAGGTCCGATGCCGAAATCACGCGAAATGGACTCTTCAAAAAAGGGTTTCTAATTGCGTGTTTTCATTTCTAGATTCTGTTTTTGTAATACATAACATCGAATATTAAAATTTATGTGGTACTACTGATGTAGCATAGCTATATCAATTTTAATACCTGCATGGAAAAATAGAACAAAATTTTCTACAGAAAAGAAAACAAAATTTTTTACTTCATTATTCTCCAATGTGAATAGAAAAATCACAAGCCTTTTTCTCCCACTTTGATGCGTGAGAAAGGCATCTTCTAAATATTATAATTCTAAAAAAAAGATCTTTCAAAAGCGGAAAAGAAAAGCAGCATTTTTAATTTCCTGAAATCCTGCTGCTAGAACATATATACATAATGTCACCAAGATTCTGCCACGGGGCATCAAATGACTAGTGTTATGAAAATGTACACTTAAAATTCTATCTAGATAAATGACCTTTGTAATCTTTCTCAAGGAATTTTTCTGTTTTACCTTAGAAGAGAGGTGATAAAAACTAATTTTAATGACAGTTCAATCAGATCTTCTTCACTGAGAATACTCATATTTAAATAAATGATCATGGGCACTTACTTTACTGAAGTCACAAATTTACTTAGGGACTTATTTCCCACAAAATATCTTATTTTATTTACCGTTATTTTTGTTTCAGAATTTTTGTGGCTTGAATGATTTTATGGAGAAAAAAACTAAACTTAAAATTTTATAATTTCAATCTTATAATTTCATTGTGTATTTTTAACAACAAAAAATAACCCATGGGTCAGTCACCTAATTGCAATTTTTGTCTTTTATGTGGTGGTAATTTGCACTTTCAAAATGTTTTATTTGTCTCAATCATTTTTATTTTTAAACACTTGATGTTAGCAAGTTACAATATCAATATATAACATGGTGCATAGCACTTTTTAAAGGTGCTTATTTTTGATTATCATTTTTAGAAAGCCCTTAAAAGTGCTTTATTCTTTAGGTGTTTTTGAAAAGTGCAAATTTAGCTTCTCGAAAATGAGATTTTTTATTTTATTTACCACGTCAATTTTTGCCAGGTATTATGCAAAAACGTGTTTTTCACATTGTTCTATTCAACGTTTTCACAATTCATTCATACCACAATCCATTTCGGCCTACCGTGGGGTCCATAGTGTATGAAAGCACCAATAATTTTACATGTTTCATGAAATACTTGCGAGTCTGCATGTACGTAAACTGAGCTGAGTTTGGTGAGAATCAACTCTGCTGCATGTTGCAAGATATTCTCAATTTTCGGCTTCATTTTCCACCCTCTGAAATCGAACTGAAAAAATCTCTCGATCTTTTTATGGTGGCTAATATAATCAAGAAAAGAGTTCATTGTCAGAAACTAGTTATTTTATCATAATCATGTAGAGTCTTTGAAAATTATTTTGCATTTTGTTGATGTATGCAGTGCTTAAATATATTTTTGAGTGCTTAAAAAGTACTTAAAGGGTGCTTATTTCTTGTTGCAAGATTTGGTTACCCTCCCTGTATAAATATCCTGTTCCTTTTTAGACACTGTGTATTAATTATATACCTGATACAACGTATATTTTATAGTGTGTAATGAAAATGAAAGAACATAGAGTGTCATGTTTAGATTTAATAATGTGTGTATGTTTTTAAGAATAAAGCATCTTCTATCATGCAACGCAGTATTCTTGGACAACTGCTTCCTGAAGCTATGGTTTGCTACTTAGAAAACCACGGGGCTGAAAAATTTGCACAAATATTTCTGGGGGAATATGACACCCCTGAAGCAATATGGAATAATGAAATGAGGTGAAAAAAACCCTTTCTTTATTTACTATTTTTAATTTGTATTGATAAAAGTGCATATTTTAATTCATTTTTCTCTCTCTTTTACAAGATATAACTTATATATATATATAAAGTTAAAATATTTAGAAAATACGGAAAATAATGAAACTTAATGACTATAAGATTAATGATAATGAGAAAAATAAATAAAATGAAATTATTTTAAAATATTTAAAAAAAATTTTTTTTTACTTATCTGAGGAAAAAAAACCTAGTAAAAATTTGGAAAACAAAATAAAGAAAAGATATCTCTTCATCAGCTCACACAATTATATCTGCAAGAAGGAGTGCTTTCGAATATTGTATTAATATAGCGAAAGCAGAATATATCAATACAATAGTGTGAGGAGCACTAAAAAAAATTGAAACAAAAATAGAACACATTAATTAAAGAATATATACAAAATAAGACACATCAAGCAAAAAACATAAAATAAAATTTAAAGAATATACAGAACAAAACACAAAAGGAAATCTGTGAAGCGAGGAGCCAATTCAAATGAACTTACTCATATTGGACTCTTTCAAGACTGATTTAAAATATCGTAATAAGATTGCCAGATTACAAAATATGAAAACAGAAGCGTAAATAAAGTGATCTCTTATGGCACATTCTTACTGTAATATAATTGTTGCGGGTATAATTATGTGAGCTGATGCAGGTATATCTTTTTAAAAATAATTCAAATGAACTTACTCATATTGGACTCTTTCAAGACTGATTTAAAATATCGTAATAAGATTGCCAGATTACAAAATATGAAAACAGAAGCGTAAATAAAGTGATCTCTTATGGCACTGTACTATAATTGTTGCGGGTATAATTATGTGAGCTGATGCAGGTATATCTTTTTTTCATTTTGTTTTCCAGATTTTTAATAAGTTTTTCTTTTTAGATGAATAAAAAAAATTTAAAAATAATTTTATTGTAATTATTTTTCTCCTCCTCTTGTCATTAATCTTTATTATTTTCTTAATATTTTAACTTATTTTTGAGTCATATCTTATGCGTAGCTATTAAAACTTGTTAATTTTTCTGTTTTTTCTTATTATCCTTTTTGTCTTTATTGTGCTATACATGCATATGGTCTAATAATGTAGCTTAGTGACTTTTTGTGTTTCATGATTATGTTTACTTTGCTCTTTTTATTATGGCATAGTTATGACACTGTTTTTGTATTTTGAATTATTAATATTATTATATGCACTTTGATGCTAAGTTTGGCTCTCAACTGATTCAGCATTATTTAAGTATTTGTACTGAAATTGAATTTTAATTTAATTTTAATAACTGAATTTTAATTGTTTTTAAAGACTTGTGGGAAAAAAATAACAAGACTTTGAAATAATAGTAGTAATAAAGTTCCATTTGACCCTTCTACAAGCAGTCAAAAAAAAAACTATTTGAGGAAGTTTTGGTGGTAGTTACACGGTTGCCACAGGCGACTAAAATGCAATTATTTTCAGCGTGAGGGAACTATGACAACTTTTTTTGCCTGAAAAGGCTAAAAAAGAAACTTATTTTCAGGAAAAGGAGACTATTAGGAGACTTTTCTGTACTCCTAGCAATGTTTTTTAGCATAAATTGGGTTGAAAACCTGTAACCCGCAAAATCTTCTGAACACTGAATTTCTTTTCTTAAAAAATAAAAAATTAAAAAAAAAATAAATAATAAAAAAATTTAGATTGCAAATTTGAGTTTTCACTTTTTAATGTCTTCAATTTGCACAGATTCTATCCTAAGTCTTTCGTTTCTCGATCGCCTTGCCAACGGTCATTGATATGAAATTCTGCATGATTTTAAAAAACCTAATTTTTAATACGATATTACTATGCATGAATTTCGAATTTCGGTAATCACTTTTCACAATATATATATTTTTACTAAATCAATTATTGATAAAAGGGAAAATTTCTTAAAAACGTTTTTTTTTAATGAAAAATTATTCTTTGAATGAATTTTAGTAATTGAAAGTATTTAATTTTCTGCAAATATGCAAATTTTTTTTATCAAAATTTAGTGCTAGAACAATAATGTTTATATAAAAATTATCATATTTGCCACCAACTTGACTAAATGGATCATGGTATATGACAATTAAGTCATTTTTTTAGTCTTATTTTTGCTGAATTTTTGCTCTTATTTAGGCAACTATTTTCATAGTTTTGGGCAACTATTTTCATGCTTTAGGCTACTGAAAGCAACTATTTTGTTCATTTTTTTCTGTGGCAACCCTGTGGTTATCATTTATTTGTCTTTAATAAAATTGCCTTTGTTTTCATTTATATCATAGAGCAAGATATTAACAAATGGCGCAAAATTCGAAATTTATTAAGTAATCCTAGGTATAGAAATTCAATTTAATTTAAAAGGGAACCAAAATGGCACCTCAGGCATCTCTTTTTTTTTTTTTTACTCAAGAAACTTTGTTAACAAGACGAGGAAAAGTCATGAAGTTTCAATTGCTGAAAAAATACTTCAAAATATTAAAATGCAAACTAATTATTAGAAGAGAACTTCACTGTTGTGTAATCTTCTTATAATTTATATTCATTTGTATACTTTAAAATTTTCTTTTCAGCATTTGAAACTTCATGGCTTATTCTAGGTTTGTCTGAATTCACTTTTTCTACACTTTAAATTTTAAAAACTAGAAAGAGAATTTGTGAGGAAAATTTTTGTCCTCTTAACTCAAAAACTGTGCAAAAAAGCAGTTGTAGAGGTTGAAAGTGGGACCAAAAAAATATTTTTGTCACCATTTCTTAAAAATAATTCTGTTTAGGTGCATGCTATTTATCATTTTTAGTATATATGAATATTTATCTTTCTACTCAATGTTCCTTTTCAATTAGGCGTCTCATGATTGAGAAGATAGCTGCTCACATTGCTGACTTCACTCCTCGTTTGCGTTCCAACACTAAAGCTCTCTATCAGTATTGTGCAATACCCATCATTCAGTATCCTCAATTAGAAAATGAACTATTTTGCAATATCTACTACCTCAGGCATTTGTGTGATACGCAAAAATTTCCAAATTGGCCCATAATGGATCCTGTAAGCCTGTTTTGTTTGCACTTATCTATTTACTAACTACACATTTCAGGATAATTATATTAACACTAAACATACCAACACTTAATGTATACTTATTTCTACCATAGCTGGTCAAATGACCGAACTTTATGATTCTTTATTGAATGTATAAAATAGGGATGTTAGAAAGGAAGCAAATTAAAAACACTTTATTATAATTAAACAAAATTGTACATTGTTAATTTTTATGTATTGCAAACACAAAGAGTAAGAAGTTTCAATTTATTTCTCAACGCAATTTTTACGTATACAGGGTGTTTCCATTGTACATTTTCCGCAAAACATATTTCTTCGAATTATTATTACTATAATTCTTATAATTAATATTATTTCCTCTAAGAACTTGTGCCGTCTTGATTGTTTCAATTTTTTCTGTGTAAAAATTAACAGTTAGAAATGAAGTAAAGCTATCAAAATAAAATATAAGCTACTGACCTACACATTTAGTTTTTGTCCCTTTTTCTTACACAACAATCTAAAATTTTAGCTACTTTCTTGAAATTTGAATTCACAGTTATTCTGATTGAGCTAACTACTCAACAGTCTTTGCAGAAATGGGCAACTCATCGAATGCAATACGTCGAACACTCGTTACATTATAATTTCTGATCCGATAACCTTACAAAGCAATAAATTGTTCCCCCGCTCAAATCACCGGTTGTGGTAGAAATAGGTATACGACAAGTATTTTTCAAAACAATCAAAATTCAAAAAGATAATAATAGAATATTAACTGTATATAATTGTTAAAAAAAAAGTTATGACTTCAAATGTGCAAAAACGATTAGATGATAAATACATTTTTAATGCAAAAATTCTTAAACGGTCGTATGAAGGATTATGGTATGTTTAGTGTTAAAATCAAGTATCTATCAATCCATACTTTTAGCATTATTTTACTTTGCATTGTCGAAAGGAAAATAACTATTAAAAAAAAACAATGAATAAGTCCATTCTCTTTAAAATGCATTAAAAGCAATTGATTAAATTCGTGCACACTATTATAATAAGAGAAGGTTTTCAAGAAAAAAAAGTTAATTGATTTATTTCTATAGTATTCATTTTTCTCATTATCATATTTTTTTTGCTTTATTCAAATTTATATTTAGAAACAATAGAACTGATACGTCTTTCACTAAGGATATTTTACGTCAGCACTGTGGTCAGTGTTAGCCGTTAGCAGAATTCGTATCGACCGGTCACCGCTGAGATTCCAATCTGGGTCACCTCCTTTGGAGGCGTACGGTCTATCCCCTGAGTATTATGATAGTTTAACCATCTTGTTATGTAATTGCTATTGCACCTGCAACAGCCATTAAAATAGGATGAAAAATAATGATGGTCATCCAGCATGTTTTATGTATGTTATTTTTGGACCAACAAAAAATATCAAATATAATGAAATATGTTGTTTTAGTATCATGTGCATATGTATTATACTTAAGCATGAGCCACGATTGCTCGTGATAGAGCGTTCACCTTCCAATGAGATGAACCGGGTTTGAATCCCAGTCGATATGAATTCCGTATCCGACTTGCACTGACCACAGTGCTGACGTAAAATATCGTCAGTGGTGGATGGATCATGGGTTAGAGTCCCCTGGCTGTTAGGCTAACTGTGTCAGATTCTCTTGGTCTTCCTCTCAATGAAAATGCAGGTTAATTCCACCAACAAAAAAATCCTCCACGAAGGCAAATTTCTCCCAATACTTGATCCAGGTGTTTCCTTGTCTTCTAGATTAGGTTTAAAGTTACGAGACTTTGGTGTTGAACATTAGTAGTCATAAACCCAAACATTGGGTTGGCTGTTCAAAGACTGTTATAAAATTATAAAAAATATACTCTAACATAGTCTCGTGTTGCAATTACTTTCCCACCCCTCTGCATCCCAGACATGCTCTAGAGTTGAAGTTTGAAGATGTGGCACCAATCACAGTATCTCTTTCAAAAACGTGACGAGATGTTCGAAAATCCAGTATTGCACGTGCCCAGACCAGCAAACTTCGACTGACGTAATTAGAAGACGGGTAGCTAGTTCTTTCCATACGAAAGTACGTTGAAGTCCGTGGTCACACTGAAGTGGTCATTTTAAACGGACTCTTTGGTTGGCAGAAGTATGTGGGAGGCAAACAGCCAGTCCTCTTGCAAAAAGCTTTCTGAAGTTCAACTTACTGTGATTTCATTGAGGTCACGAGAGAGCTTAGAATAGGTAGCAATCCTGTTACGCCTTGCTGTAAATGACAAATCTTTGTTGGCTGTTGTGGCTATGAACCAAACTTTCTCTCAACAGATCTAGAAATTATTTCCATAAATTGATAGACGTTAAATTGAGTTTTCCACAAATTTGAATTTTAGGAGTCGCAGTAGCTCTGGGGATAGAGTGCTCGCCCAGTTTGGTAATCTGGGTTCAATTCTCAGTGATAGCTGGTCGATACGAATTTCGCACCATTCTCTCACCAATCACAGTGCTGATGTTAAATATCCTCAGTGGTAGGTGGATCATAGGTAAGAGTCCCCTTGCTGTCAGGCTAACCGTGGGAGATTTTCATGGTTTTCCCCTCCATGTATTGCAAACGCAGGTAATTTCCATCAAAAAGTTCTCTGCGAAGGTAAATTTATCCCTATACTTAATCAAGAAACTCCCTTGTTTTCTGGACTGGGTTTTAAATTCCAAGTTTGCAGAGTTGAACATTGGTAGTCATAAACTGAAAATTGGTTCTGCTGTTCACCAACAGTTATAAAATAAAATAAAATCTGAGTTTGAGAGTGGCCTGCTACAAGTATCAATTCCCGACCATCCATTGGTGTTTGCTCATTTTTGTTTTTTGAAATTAATTAAAAGAATCAGTTAAAATTGCTGCAAAAAAACAAGAAATTCAGCATGCTTCCAAATGAAATGCAGATTTTACCATGCACACTTATAAAGTCTATTCTTCTACCAACTTTGCCTTGTATTCGCTTTTGTCTTTGGCACACAAGATTAACAATTTGTTTAAGCAATTGTCAGAAAATTCAGCAAAATAAGCAAATTCTCTCAATTTTTAAATACCTCTCTATTTTGGGAAGTTGGCGCCTTTGTGCATTAGGTTTTCGTATCATTTCTTTATTTTTGTATGTATTTATTCTGAACGAAATATGATTTAATTTTCTTGTTGCATGAGAATAACTATAATTTATCATCTAACTTATTTTAATCTATTTTTGAATCAAGGAATCTATTTCCGAAGCGTAGAATTGATCATTTCTGATCAAACTGCTCTTATCTTCTTTTTTTTAAAAATTTTAAACGTTGATTATTGCCCATGTTTTTTTCCATGTTTTGTGGATATTTAAAAAAATATGCTTCACAGAATGAAATTTTCAAATCAACGTGTTACATAAAATAATAAGCAGTCAATCATTCAATTGGAAGATTAGTGATCAGGGCTGATTGTGCTCCGGAAAAAATACGGATTTCCGGAATTCTCGCTGACAGTGATCCGGAAGTTTCCGGAGATCGAAGGTCCTGACGTTTTAAAAAGTCATTGATCACAGAAGTTTTCGGAAATCAAATTTTCAAAGGTAGAACTTGAATGGAAAGGAAAGGTGGAAACACAGTCTATTTTATTTGTTTGTAAGGGAGAGCCAGAGAGATACTTTATAAGCTTATATTCATGATTAATATTCATTTTTTATCAGTAAATAGTTGTTATAATCATAAACTCAAGAAAGAAAGACATATTTGTAAATTTTAATTACTTCTCCAGGTCATCATAGGTATGTGTAAATGGTATAGGTATGTGTAAAATTTTAAATATATTCTAAGTAAACTAAGAAATATTGAGAAAAAGGAAAAAAACCTTGTTTAAATTTTTTTCTAATTTTTCAATTTAAACTGTTTTTTTTTTTTTTTTAAACTCAAGAAATTTTCCAGAATTTTGACTTGGGCTCACAATTACCCCTGATTGTTGAAATATCTATTTTATAACAGTATGTATGTACAGTAGAGAATCGATTATCCGGAACGATCGGGACCATCGCTATTCCGGATAACTGATTTTTCCGGTTTTCTGAATCGCTACAAAAAGCCTTTTTTTTTATTGTCAAACTCAACTGAAAAAATATCTATATTTAGAATAATTTTAAAAAGCTCGTGCATCTTTTGACAGTGTAGGGAACTAGTGATTATTTCTAAAATGATGGTGAACATCTTTTAAAAAAAGAAAGAAGAATTCTGAAATTTCGTGAGGAAGAAATTTTTTTTCTTTTGAATGGCGGAAAAATGTATCGAATTTCGTTCTGGTTTTCCAGTATTCTGATTTCCGGATAAGAGGTTCTGCACTGTATTTGCGGTAAAAAAATGTCCAGATTTTATTTTGAACCACTCTAATGCCTGCACATGAACTGTAAAAAAATGATTAAAATGCCATCACAATATCTAATCTCCTCTTCCCCCAAGAAGCTATCAATGAGAATGAAAACATTAATTTTTCCTGATAGGTGAAATTGCTAAAAGATGTTCTTGAAGCTTGGAAACAAGAAGTTGAAAAGAAACCACCCATCTTATCTGTAGATGAAGCTTATGAAACATTAGGCCTCAAAAGAGAAGACCAGTATGTCATTTTTAGTTTTATTTATTATTATTTTTCATCTTCCCACACTACTTGAAAAACCTTGAATTCTGAGGGGTCTGTCCGGGGCAAATTTACTACCATTTAGCGGTACCTTCACAAATTCAAGGTTCGGAAAAGGTAGTTTCGCAAAATACTTTACAAAAGCAAGTTCTAAGATTCTCTTCCTTAAAATTTTGTTTTGTATCTTCATTTTTAAAAACTATAAATCCAGAGTTTTTTTAAATGAAACAACGAGGTTCTCTCTCTATAAACTATACAGGAAGTCAAAATTGGAACATTATTTTTAACATTATTATAAATTTATTCTAACAGGCCTTTATTTTTTTATGATTTTTTTTCCCCTATGAAACTTTTTTTCTGTATGACCTAATGGAAAATGTTCTCATAATGAAAATAACTTTTTATTCTAGTACTATTATATGCAGCAAGTTGAAATTTAACTATGGACAATGGATTTTTAAATTTGGATACAATTTGAGCTCAAAATTTTACATAGCAAATTTATAATTCTTATATGTAGAAATTTTCCAGTCATAAATGATTTTTATTTGTAGGGACAATTTTTGAAAATTTCTTATTTTACCATATTTTGGCTTTGATTTTTTAAAGTAATTTTCACAAATTATGTCTAAATTTTCGCAAATTAGGTACCTCTCAAAAATACCTAGACTGAAACCTGATTCTGTTGGAAAAAATCAGCCTCCCGAAAAGTTGTTGAATTCGTTTATCCGGTCTGGGGTGACGGTGATCGTTTTAAATTAATGAGTGGATTCATACCGGTAGCATTATTGACTTTTGGCCGTTACAGAGGCATTTTAATTTGGACGTAATATAATGTTAATTATCTCAGAGAAATGAATAAAATCGTTAAAGAAAAATTGGTTTATTAAGTATTGAAAATAGTCTTTATTCAAAATATAAAAAAAAAAACCCTTTAAGGGATCAATAAAAATGGTTCTCTACTTATCGAGAATTTCAATTAGGATTTCATATTCAAAAGTGGGGACTGGGATGCCCCATAAATTGAAAGTGAATGAATTGTTCCCAACGGACAGTTAGGAGCGTGAGAAGAGATCAGAGGTTGGCAATTTATTGAAAGATAACATAGCTAGAAATGAAGCCCATAATCTATGTTAGATTTGAAAATATTTTGGCGATTGCTTATCACCAATAAGACTGTTAGAATTGGTATAACTGAAACATATTTGTGGTAAGAAGTAAAGAGTTATAATTAGATTTTTGTTTTTGCTTTAGTGAATTAATGATTCTTACACAATGTTCCCACTGGTCAGGAAGAACAGGGAATACCTGGAATTGTCAGGGAATTTTATTTTAACTCCAAAAATCAAGAATAGTCAGGGAAAGTTGTAATTTTTTGACAAAAATTTGGAATATTCTTATACCTGGAAAGCAAACAGTCGTAAAATTGTCAGTCAGTCACTGAGATTCAAGTTAAATAATTCTTACATCTATTACAATTATTTTTATAAAAATTTCACATTTTAGTTTCCCTTCCTCATTTAATATTTTTTTTGCACAGAAAATCTAATATTTCACGAAACAAATAAAAGAATAAAAGTTTTCTGATGAAAATATGGTCTCAATTTTAATTGAAAATTACCTGGTATACGTGGAAAAGTCAGGGAAATTTTTTTCGCAAATTGAGTTTGAACCCTACACTAGTATTGAAAGAAAAAGTTAACCGCTACATTGATTGATAAGAAAAGAATAAAATATTTTATATTTGCTTTTTATAAATTGTAATGAAATTAAGTAACTGATTTAATTTAATTAAAATTCAATTAAGAATGGTTAAACAAATGCATTTAAGAAGTTAAAGAAATTTTAAAATCTAAGAAATATGTAATGCCCATTATGGCATCACACGGTCCTTGAAAAGTTTTTGATATCCTGGGAGTAATTTTCAGCATAATGCTAGTAATCTTTCCTACAAAAATTTTTCAATAAGGCAATGTTAAAATATTGAGATTTGAAATATCACGCAAAAATTCTTATTATAAAGAAAAACAAGCAAAAGACCAGATTGGTTTTAGGTAGAGTCCCGCTCATTTTTGACTGGTAACTTAGTTAAAAAAAATATCTAAAATCTAGAATTTTCCATCAAAACCCCTGAACAGTGAAGATTTTTGAGGTATCTTCATGTGTTATTTCTATTTTCAGGCCAGAAGAGAATATGATTCGGAAAGCGTACTTCAAGCTGGCTCAGAAATATCACCCTGATAAGAATTCTGATGGAAGAGTATGATTTTAATCATGATTATTATGCTTTGCTAACTTTTCATTGTCAGAATTATGAATTGGACATGTTTAATTTTAGGAAATATTTGAAAACGTGAATAAAGCCTACGAGTTTTTGTGTAGTAAGTCGTCCAGACAATGTGAAGGGCCCGATCCGCATAATGTCGTTCTCATTTTAAAGACCCAGACGATTCTTTTTAGTCGACACAAAGAGGGTAATTTACTTCTATTTTATTTGATTTCCTATCTTTGCATTGATATTCTGTTTGTAATAAAATGGTCCCGATTTTAGCAATTTATTTTGAGTAGAAATAAGCAAAACTAACAATGAACAACTATTTAATTTGATTGCTAAATATTTCAAAGCTCATTGTGTGAGCATTTTGCTTGTTGATATATGCTGAAGAGGTATTGAACACTGCTTTGTAGCCTTTTTTTTTACGTATGTTAGGGTGCAATGATTACTGCAACCTTATTGGTTGTTAAACAATCAGTTTTAACTACAAGTATGGATAAAAACTCTGATTTAGATGTCTAGTAGTACATAATTTTCATTGCATTGTCTTGGATTATTTTAATTAATTTGAAGTAACTTGCTTCAAAACATATAACAACATCAGGGAACTTAAAACATATCTTTTTTTTTTCTTCAGAAAACTACTTTATGTGGAATACATGGAATATAAGCAATATTTCAAATTAGTATAATCATTCAGTTGTTCAATGTCTTTAAATGCAGAGTGTTTAAGTGTTACTTAACGCTTTATTTTATTTTTAAAAAAATTATTTCAAATTTTTTGTGTGTTAGAACTCATTCTGATACTGTGCTTTTCATATGCTAAATCTCTCCTGGGCACTGTTTGCTTAAATAAAAAAAAAATTGAAATAAATGGGTTTGTGTAAAATGTTCTGCCCACGCTCACTTTAGAAACTTTGCATTCAGATAAAATAATCTTTAGCATTACAATACTGCTGGTGTACAAAATTTACCTAACAGTATAGTGTATCTACCACTACAAAAATACAATTGAAATTCACTAGTACGTAAAACATGAACTCGATTCTCTGTTGGGGTACCTTTTCATACATGAAGGTTGACATTGTCGATAACTACTATCCCCACATTAGTGACCAGCGAGCGTGATATGAAATCGCCAATATCAAAAGCAACGCCCACCTTCATTGGAACAGGCCTTTTTCGATGGACCGTCCACAAAAAAACAGTCAACTTGTGACTGTGACATTATGCAACTCATCGCACTGTTGCTACTCAGTCTCAATCACACTCAACATTGGCCTGTATACACTCGACTGCTAATGGCAGCACAGGAGCGACCACGAACTTAATACGGCTCTCGCTCTCAGCATTATAAAAATATGATGATCTTAATTAATACATTACTTAATTACATTAATTAATTACATTGATAATTAATTAATTACAGCTCTCTCGGCTTCTTTTTCAAAACAGCAATGAATCAACTAGTGGTATCCGTTCATCGAATTCTATCACAGATAAAGTTCTGGTGAGGGTGTACTGTAGTGTATCTACCACTACAAAAATACAATTCCAATTCACTAGTATATAAGAAATGTTAACTGGATTCTATGTTGGGGTACCTTTTCATAGATGAAGGTTGACATTGTCCATAACTTGTATCCGCACAAACAGTTGCTGAATTTCAAAGAATTGTTGTAGTTCTGTTGTTTAACATTCAGTTCATTCTTTTAGATTTGCATCCTTATAAATACTCTGGCTATCCTATGCTGGTCAAGACAATAAAGTTGGAAACAAATGACTCCCAGTTATTCTCGAAGAGTGCCCCTCTTTTAGCCGCTGCTGCAGAAACCGCTTATCACACTGTCAATTGTTCTGCACTCAATGCTGAAGAGCTGAGAAGAGAATCTGGCCTGGAGGTATGCTTTATTTTATTCCTTATTAAAATCCTTTATTTTTTCCCCTTCCAGATTAACCTTTATAAACAGGAAAATAATCCTTGTTCCAATAAACTTACATACCTGCCAAGTCTCCTGTTTTTTTAACGAAGACCCCTGTATTTTACGACTATCTCCTGTTTACTTGTATATTCTTAAAGTTCTCCATATTTGTTGAAGATATTTTTAAAAAAAATTTTGATGATAAAATTTCTGCTAATGGCAAAATTACTTCTTTTATTCAATATATTTTGCTATTGTCAGTACTGCAGTATGTCGAGTGTTTATAGTTGAAGTAATTATAAATAATGTTTTTAAAAACTCTACTGTAGATTAAGATTCATATACATATTTTTTCTTGGCTAAATGTAAGTGCTTATATTTCTAATTTTGACTTAAACTATTATGCATCATGTATCTAAACTTAACTAACCCTAAAAATTTCGTTAGTAAAATCACTGTTATTTTGTTTCTCTGAAGTTGGCAGGTATGTTTATGACCCAAATTATTTATTTTGTTTAAAGCTATTATGTATTGTTCACATTGTATTTCTTATCTAACTCCCTTATTTTATTTCTCCAATTTTGGCAGGCATGACCTTATCAATTGTAATGCAATATCTATTAAAATGTCTTATTTGCATTTATTTGAAAATCTTCTTTGTTCTTTCAATTCTTAATCAATGTCTAGTGGTTCTTAATGCCTGATCTGCCAAATTTGATAGAAAAATTGTATGAATCACCTTCATGCAACTGAAGATAGGCTTTGCTGTGCTATTTCACTTGGTGTATCTGTGTATACCTTATTTTTTAAAACAATGATTTTATGAAAAAAATATTCTTATGCATAGTATTTTTATTTAAATACATTTTAACCTTGAATTTCACCAGTTTGTTTTATTGATTTTAGATAGTGAGTCAGTTGACTTTAGTGTGTAGCTTAAGCTAAAATTACTTTCTAATTTTGCTTTCGGATTTTACCTGCATGTACCGTTCAGTGCGATTCCCAGTTGAACAAGCCTGCTGACAAGATTTTAAAATAAATGGTTTAATTTTACCACATAATGTCAATGTATTTTTATCACATGAGTTTTCAACCACAAATAAACCCTTTCCCACGATGCTGAAGATCGCATTTTCTAAAATAATAAAATCAACAATGTTCAAAAATTTTAAACAATTTAACGTGTGATACAAGCTCTATTTTTAAATTAGATCTAATACATAATTATTTTAACATTACTTGAATGTAATGTCAGTGGGATCCCAAGTTTACGTTGTTCGTTTTGTTCCGCTTCCTATGTCATTTTCTGTTGGTCCATATAAAATTGCCTGTACTAATAATATTTAAATATTCAGAATATTATGTTACTCTCTTTTTTAAGGAAATATCTCTTTATAGTTTCTTTTTAACAGGTCGAAATTGTTTTTTCTCTACGAAACTCACAAACTTTTTCAAAGTTCTTTTTATCTTCTTTTTTTTAATAAAAAGAACCTGTTTATTAACTGTTTTTGCATTTTTTCTATTCTATTTTATTATCCTTTTTTCTGTGAGAGTGGATATCCCCACTGAGTCACAACTGATCAAACTCACAACTCATCAAATATAAAATCTCTGAAACTATATTTATTTTCAAATGTATACCAAAAGAGAAATTTGCAAACAATTGTAAGTGTTGAGAAGAATATTCTTAAAATTGTATCTAAAAGTAAAGATTACATGTATTTTCATATAGTAAAATTCTTTTTTCTTCAGTATCAATTTTTGAAAATATGGTTTTATTTTTTAGCCATGATTTTACGTTTTATTGTTTCCTGCATTTTTTTAATACTAGTCCAATAGAAAAAGTAAAATCTGGGTTCCAGTGTCAGGGTCTGTCCAGGGCAAATTTAATACCGTTTAGCGGTACCTTTAAAAATTAAACTGAAAGAAAAGCCGTAGTTTCACATAATACTTTTAAAAAAGCAGGTTCTTAAATCCCCCCCTGCCTTTTAAAATTTTGTGTCCCCGTTAAAAAAAAAAAACAATAAACTTGGAGTTCATTACGCATATCGATTTACAATGGAACCCACCCGTAGTTTGCTATTATGACGTAGTAGACGAATTCACTCCCTATACGACTTGTAAGGCTGATGATTTTAATGGATTTTTTTAAATTTGGATTCAATTTCAAGCCCAAAATTTTACTATAGCAAAATTGTTTTTGAACATATGGGGAAAAATATATTGAAATTTATCAGTCATAAAGGATTTTTATTTCTAGTTGCAATTTTTGAAAATATTTTCTTATTTCACCATCTTTTTGTGTTGATTTGTTAACATGAATTTTAATTTTTACAAAATGGGTACCTTTTAGAAAAAAATCTAGACAGACCCCTGACTGTATAATAAAGATGTGCAAATGGGAAATCTTTTTTTTCTTTCTGACTTACGTATTTTTTTCCACGATATTTACATTTCTTTTCATTGAATGATAAATATCACTTTATAAAATATAGCATGTTCGAATTTTTTTTTCAGGCATTGCAAGAATCATTTTCTCGTTGTGTCGGAGTACTGAGTCGGTCGTCTACAGAGGACGACCTTGCTACCCAAGTCTGCATGCACATTGCACGATGCTTTTCTGTTGCCGCTCAATTTAGAGGGTGTCGAGAGAGGATGATTGAAATGCCAGACATGATTCGTGATTTGTGCAGAATACTGTATTTCAATGTAAGATATGAAAAACTTATTTCATTTGAAGGATACCTGTTATATGCAACAACAAAAAAAGAATATAAATCACTTCTCAAATCATTGGCTACTGTCACTATAGCATTTTTGTAATAAAGTTAACACACGATTATATGGTTGTCACAAGCGACTAAACTGCAACTATTTTCGGCATGAGGAGACTTTAGCAAATTTTTTTTCTTCCTGAAAGGGTTAAAAAAAGCAACTATTTTCAGGAAAAGGGAACTATTGGGAGACTTTTCTTTACACCTAGCGATGTTTTTTCTTGCATAAATTAGGTTGACAACCTGTGGCCCGTGGGAGTTTGTTGAATTTTTTGAACACACTGAATTTTTTTACTTCATAAAAATAAAAAATCTTTAAAATTTTGAATTACAAGTTTGAGTCATCACTTTTTAATTTGTTCAATTTGCACAGATTCCATTCTAAGTCTATTTTTTTCTCTTTCGCCTTTTCAATGGTTATTGCTATGAAATTCTGCATGATTTTTGTAAAAAAAAGAAGCAATTTTTAATACAATATTACACTCTGTGAATTTCGAATTTGAGTACTCACTTTTCACAATATATATATATATATATAGAGAGAGAGAAAGATTTGCTAAATCAATTTATTAATGAAAGGGAAAAAATTTAGAAAAACTATGTTTTTTTTTCAATGAAAATAAATTTTTTTAGTGAATTCTAGTAATTAAAAAGTATTTAATTTTCTGCGAATATACTAATTTTGTTTGATAGAAAAAGTTAGTGCTAGAACATTAACGTTTATATAAAAATTATTATATTTATCACCAATTTGACTAAATGGATCATGGTATATGACTATAAAGCCATTTAATAAAATTTTAGTCATATTTGTTCTTATTTAAACAACTATTTCCATACTTTCCGGCAACTATTTTCATGCCTTAGACTAACTACCAACAGCAACTATTTTGTTAAATTTTTTTTTCTGTGGTAACCCTGCGAATATGGTTTTCCAATTTTTATTGCTAAACAATATATTTATGCCTAAAATGTCTTCCTACTGATCTTTCTAAACCAATGGTATCCAAATTAAAGGTTTTATCAAGTAATGTGAATATTTTTTCATTGAGAAAATTATTGCTTAATTAAGAATTCTATTATAAATAAATTTATGTGCCAAGAATAACAAACGTTCCAATCTTCTATTTGAATTAGATGTTACAAATTGCTTCGAAAATATTTTGCCCAAGCTCTTTGAAACTTTTAACTAATTAGATTTTGTTGAGTACTTTTGAGAAAAAAAAATTATTAAATGTAGTATTAATGAATAATATGATGCCAAAAGCAATTTTATTCCTTTCAATAGTTATTGCTTTTTTTGGTAAACGTGAACTAATTCTTATCATGCCATTAAAATAATTCTTATTAAAATAACACTTATGTTTTATAAAGTATCAATACAAAACAAATGAAATAAAACAATCATACGANTCTTAATTATTTGTGTTTTCTTTCAGTATGTTTTATAAAGCTTAGTCTTAATCTGACACCATTATAATAATTTGCAGCTCTATTCATTACAAATTATTTCTATTTTTAAATATAGTTTGTCTAAAGTAAGAACTCCCCTAGCCATTCGCGTCTGGGTCCGTGGCAGTGACTATAGTAACAAGGTATAACTATTTCAAGTAGGGGTGTGGGGTCATTGTTTAGGACAGGTATTGCTTCGGGTCGTGGAAAGAAAGGGAATATTTTTCTTCGATCTACTGTGTTATCCCTAGATCAAAAAGAAGTAACCCCTCCCCCCGAATTCCATAGCTGCAGACTTTATGGCAGGGGAAGTTCTCACGATAGACAAACTATAGTCATTATTGTTTGCAGTCAAAGGAGGGGAATCGAAGCAAAACTAGTTTTACTTTTGTATAGACCCTCTTATATTAAACGGTTATATTCATTTTACACGAAAGATCTCTATCTGTTGCCATTTGAGGATTACTAAGTTCGGACAAATCAATGTGGAAAATCTGTTCTCCCCGAGAGTTAGTACTCAGCCACGATGGACCAGGTTGGAGAAAGATGTGCTGTTATGGCAAGAATTTTGAAATTAAACAGAAAAGTTATCTGTCTATTTTCTACTTTGCCAATAAGGATACTCTCACATTATTCTTCAAAACTACTTTTGATTCACCACCAAAACTTCTCCCTTGATATATCTAGGAATCCTATATGCAGAGTAGCCACAGACAACTTTTTTTTTTGCCTGAAAAGGCTAAAAAAGCAACTTTTTTCAGGAAAAAAGGGACTATTCAGAGAATTTTCTGTACTCCATGCCATGTTTTTTTAGCATAAATTGGGTTTGCGGCCTGCGGGATCTTCTGAACACTTTGTACTTTTTTTTCTCAAAATTTGATTTATCGCTTTTTAATGCGCTCAATTTGCACAGATTCCAAAAAGTCTATTTTGTTTTTCAATCGCCTTTTCAATGGTTATTGCTACGAAATTCTCCATGATTTAAAAAAAAAGCTATGTTTTATACGATATAACGATGCATGAATTTGGAATTTGAATAATCATTTTTCATGATATATAGGGGAGAATCGGGTAGCCCCGCCCACTTAAGGAGTATTGCTTATATTTCTGTATAATATTGAGTAACAATCAATATTTTTGTATGTTTATATCGTTTTATCATCTAATTAAATAATGCAAAAAGAATAAACCAAAAAAAGAATAGTTAAACTTAAAAAAATAGAAATTTAAAAATTTGACTACTGTATTCAACATATTTTCAAAACTATTGTTTACCATGTTACCAGCTGCGTAAATACTTTAAACTTTGAAAATAATCTTTTTTTAGTATAACAATTAATGTTCGATGGCCCATTGACTTGAAAAAATATTCTATACATATGAAATTGACAGTGGGCGGGGGTAACCGACACTCCTCTATATATGTACATATTTGCTAAATCAACTATTGTTAGAAGGGAAATTTTTTTAAAAAAAGTATATTTTTTTAATGAAAAAGTACTTTTTATAATGAATTCTAGTAATTAAAAATATTTCTTTTTCTGCAAAGATACTAATTTTTATGGATATAAGAATTTAGTGCTAGAGCCCTAACATATATATAAAAATTATCATATTCAGCACTAATTTGACTAAATGGATCATGACAATTAAGTCATTCAATGGAACTTTAATCATAATATTGAAATTTTTTGTTCTTATTTAAATAACTATTTTCATGCTTTAGACTACTAAAAGCAACTATTTTGTTTCCTGTGGTACCGTGTGGCTGTGTATGGTGTTTATAAACATTTTTAGAACAGTAAGAAACATTTTTTTTTTTTCAGCACCTTACCAAATTGTGCAGTGTTGTGGTAGAGTGTATCAGTGTCCTCTCCCTCAGCGACGCTCTTCAAGCTCATCTTTATCAGGCGGGGGTCCTCTTCCATCTCCTCATCTTCCTCTTTAGCTATGACTTCACTTTGGAAGAGGGGGGAGTACAGAGAGATGAGGAATCCAACAAACAGGTCTTTTCTTTTTTCACCCACAACTGTAATATTTATGTAAGTAATTTTTCTCTCAACGTTATTTTTTATTATTACAGGAAATTTCTAATCGTCTAGCAAAGTTGAGTTTGCGTGCACTGAGCAGATTGGGTGGATACGGAAGTGAAGAAGACGCAACTCCGAAGAACGATGCGGTTCACATGTCCTTGACGGCAATGCTAACACCCTATTTGGTGAATCAGCTTGGACAATGCAATGCAGCTGAAGTAACACACAGTTTCTTGTCATTTATGCACACACACTTGTACACAAAATTATAGTTTTAAGAAGGGTGATTCTGACGTTCCTGCCTTTCCTATATCAGGGTTGCCACTCCACAGGGGAAAACATAAAAAAAACAGAGTTTAAAAATCATCTAAAATGTAGGGAATTCCTGCCTTTCCTATATCAGGGTTGCCACTCCACAGGGGAAAACATGAAAAAGACAGGGAATTTAAAAATCATCTAAAATAGCAGGGAAAATGTAGGGAATTTTGATTTTTTCTTTCTTTACAAGCTAGGAAAATAAAGTGAATTTTGTTACTTATTTTTGTGTTTTAAAAAATGGTGACCACTGAAAGTGTAATCTATTGGGATATTTAACCCTGATATTTCAGCTATACTAAACTATTTCATTTACTACAGCATTACTTAAGTATGTTCAGCTGTTTTTCCAGGAATTAAAATTAATAAATATAGTTAGCATAATATATCTCACACAAGACCACAGTAATGGTTGTTTTCTCTTAATATATTGTGTATAATATGTACAGGGAAAACACAGAGAATTTTTTTTCCAGATTTAAGTGGCAACCCCTGTAAATGTATCATCTTGTTTTCGAGATCTTGTCACAATTGTTACTCATTGGCAAAATGGGTGTTGCTTTCAGTTTGATTTCAACTGTGTTTAAGAGTAATAGTAAACAGTGCATATGTGTTTCTATAGCGAATGCTGTTGTTTGATAATTTTTTTTGCAATTCTTTTTATTTTCACTAGCAGGCATTCTTAATGTACTTACATAATAATAATTTAAAATATTTTTATATGCGTTTTGTTATTAACTTATAATGACTGTCTTGACGGTGATTTTAATAGAAGTTTGAATACTGAAGAAGGAAAAATATTTTGTGACGTCTTGAAACCCGTACATAGCCAAGATTTGAAATGCTGTGGCGTTTATCAGAGTCAAACCAGAAAAAAAAAGCATTTGACCAATGTGTAACCAATGATCATAATAAAACAATCACAATTTTTCCCTTTTTTTCTCATTTTTTTATTGTAAAATTCCTAAAACTTTTAAAACATTATTGCACAAAGAATTTCAACAAAATAACCTATTTTTTTGTATTTAAGAGTTTATTATTTTAATGTGTCTCTTGTGTCGTTTTCCCTCCCATTGGCCTCAGAAATGCCAGAATTGCTACTCTGTTATTGTTACCCAGTGGGCACCTCTGGCTAAGCCATGGTGGTAGACTAGTGTCTCCCACGCCATACACACATAAACCCGTTAATAGGGTGGGTTACATTCACACAGAAGAAAGGAGAGAATATTACACTCATGCCTACAGTGGGATTCGAACTCGCAACCACTGGCCCTGTAGTCCAGTACAGTAACCACTAAACCAGCGCAATTGTTAGTCTTATAATGTTAATAAAAGCAGTTTAGATCATTTTTGAAACTAGCTGATTCCCGCATTCATCGTGCAGAGATGTCTGAAATAAATTATTCAGTTTTGAGAAGAACATGAAAATAAGGATTAGTTGCAGTTTGGTGAAATCACCTTATGTATCAGTTTAGGAAATTTGTGGTTAATGTCCAATAGTAAATTTGCGTATTATGATAAATTTATGTTTAAAAAAATAAATTATACCAATGAAAGATGGCGAAACAGATACGTTACCAATGCTAAGATTTTCGCCTTCCGGAGACAATTTTAAAGTAATGTTTTATCGATGATTTTTTTTTTTTTTACAATTTGTGTAGTGGTAGACACAGTAGAGTACTCCCCCACCAGAATTTTACTGTTATAGAATTCTTGCTCTAAATCTGTGATGGCAAGGAACCAAGGGTCACCTTTTCATAGATGAACGTTGACGTTGTTAATTACTATCCCCGCATTGGTGACCTTCGGACATGATGTGAACACGTCCAACTTGGCAGAAACACCCACTACGATAGATGGTTTACATTGAGCAGTTGACTTGCTACTTGTGACTGCAACACTCCTCACTCGATCGCTCAGAACGTACGACGTGTGCTCTCGACTGCTGAAGGAAACACAGTGACCGTGAACTGAATATGGCTCTCACAATCAGCACTCAAAAAGTATGTTGATCTTAATACAGCTCTTCCGGCTCCTCACAAAACAGCAGTGAATCAGCTAGTGGTATCCATTCATCAAATTCTATCACAGATATAATTCTGCTGGGGAAGTACTGTAGCTTATCTACCACTACAAAAATACAATTCCAATTCACTAGTATATAAAACATGTTAACTCGATTCTATGGTGGCGTACCTTTTCATAGATAGATAATGACATTGTCGTTAGCAAATAAGTCCACAATTTACATCTCTAAATGATGTTTTTAAATCTAATGTAATAGCAATTTGTATTTATTTTTAGAAATATTGAATAATATCTTTTTTGTTTTTCCCATTCAGATATTTATAAAAATTCTTTGTAAAGCAAATGATTTTTCATGAATGTCACTTAAACAGGAACCTGGTTAAAAGAATCTGTTATGAATTCACAAAGTCATGATCAATTATTTGATCACTTCACAACAACTTTAATTGTGTAATGCATGATTCTGGATTTAGCATTAACTAGAGATGATTGTGCTCCGGAAAAAATCCAGATTTTTCTCTAATTGCGATCCGGAAAATTTCAAAAATCTAAGGTCCAGAAGTTTCAAGAAATCATCGATCACATTTATGTTTAAAAATTCTTGTATATTTTATTTCAAAATATTAGAACTATAATTTATACTTGGCATCTTTTCATTTGTAAGTATTTTTTTTGGTAGAATAATGAATATGATTAGAGATAATAGTAAACTTATACATAATTATTCATTTAAATTATGCTGCTTATAATTTATTTAGAATTTAATGTTGTGAAAATTTCTTGAAATGCATCATTAGTAATTTTACTCAAGAAATTTTCAGAATTTTTGAGTTCGGCTCACAATCACCCCTGATTAACTAAAAACATGCATAATTATAATTTCAATTTAAGAAATTATCTAACTGTTGTTTCTCTATTCCTTCAAAAATCATAGCCCAAGTTAATTTTAGTTAAGTAAAAAAAATTATTAAAAAAATAAATAAATGTAATTGTAATAAACGCAAATGTAATTGTAAATGTAGAAGTGTAATATTTCAATGTAATTGTAAAATACAACTTGCTTTAGGTAAAAGGGAAAAAAAGGAAAAGAAGAAATTTGTGATCTTCCTGTTACAATCACTGGTTACCCATTGGTCAAATGCTTTGACTCCAATAAGTGCCACACTATTTCAAACCATGAGTTGCTAAAACTGTCTCAGATTGGTTTTCAAATCCTGCCTGTATACGTGTTTTAAGACATCAAAAAATACTTTTCCTTCTTCAGTATTCATATCCCTGCGGCAGAATTTTTTTGGCCTTTCTGCCACAAAACTCTCTAGCATTAATATCTTTCTGTGAGGAACTTTCAATAATAAAAAAGATCTATGTTACTGATTTAAAGTAACAAAAACACTGTGTTTACAAAAAAAACAACAACATATAATTATTTTTATTGGATATATAATATTTTTTTATTCTGATATTATGTGCGATATTCTCGCATTTTGTTGGGAAGAAAAACGCACTAATTGATTCCTTTATCGCATTTTGTAAATCGTCATCACATTGAAAGAAATCATTTAAAAAAAAAATCATGAAATCCGCAGTAGTAATTAAGAAAAAAAAACAAATAGACGACGATGTCACGCGAATCGAACTGTTCAAAAAAGGGTGACTCAAATGCTTGTTTCGTTTCAAGATTTAATTGTTGCAATAAATAAATAATATTGGATTTTAGAAATTATATGGAAATCAAAAGCAGTAATTGCCAAGTTAAAAAAACAATAGAATAGTTGCCTTAAAAAGTAAATACTCAAATGCACGATTCTAATTTCCCTTATCGTCTGAAATATATCAGGATAATTAAAAACCACAAGAAAATCAATAACGGCCGAAAATACAATCGAAACTCAATGCGGATTTACGATACTATCGGCGTAGGTAAGGGTTGCCACTCCACAGAGAAAACCTGGAGAATATAGGAAATTTTAAAATAGCCGGGAAAATGCAGGGAATTTTGTTTCTTATTTTTGTCTTTTAGAAAATGGTGACTACTCTACTCAATGCCTAATCTGTGGGATATTTAAGGATGATATTCCAACTATACTAAACTATTTCCTTTGCTGTAGCATTATTTAAGTATGCTCAGCTGTTCCTTTTTTTCTCTAAGTTTTTTCAGCAAATAAAACTAGCATAGTTAGCCTAATATAGCTCACACAAGAGTGCAGTAATTGTGTTTCCTCAGAATATATTATGTATAATATACACAGGGAATTTTTTTTCTTTCAGATTTGAGTGGCAACCCTGTTTATGAACACGACAAAAAGTGATTACTTAAATGCGCAATTCAAATTTTACGTGTAAATTCTGGAGAGAAAAAAACTCATCATTTTTTCTTCCCAAAAGAAAAATGTCTTTGCAAGAACTCTGTAGCGTTCTTCGACAATGTCGCCACGATTCTGCCACAGGGATTCATATTTTTATTTAAATCAGCGTCAGGGTATTAGTTATATGTTAATAAAAATACTTTAAATTATTATGCTGTAAATACATTAAAGATGCCTGCTGGTGAAAAGAAAAACTCTAACCTTTGAGACCGTGTCAATCAGTTTGGGACCCTCTTTATTTGTGATATTCACCTGAATTAGTATTGAAAACAGTTTGTTGAACTATAGGATAGAATTCCTGATTCTTAATTAAAACAAGAATATCGTTTAAATGATGAAATTCTCTTTTATTCACAACTCAAGAAGTATTTATGGTCCCATATCTCAAAAATAAACTCACCAACTTAATGCATAGCAAAATTAAAAGTGAAAAAAAGAATTGTTAAGAAGCAAAACCCATTTTGCCAATAAATTATTCTCTTTCCTAATTGGATGTTCAGTTTGCTGTTAGTGTAGAGTTTTTGTCATTCATAATAAATTGAATCTAAAATAATCTTATTGAAGGTGGTCGAAGGAAGCAGATAGGCTCAAAAATTAAATTTCTTCATCCTACAAGGAACCATAAAAAAATTATTTTTGGATTATAATTTGGCTAAAACTATGTCTTTTCTGTATGTAGTTTTTTAAAATTTATTTGCTAGTTGTTATAATTTTTAAATTTACATTTTTAATGAGTTTTAATTTTTCTTGATTCAGGTGTTGAAAATATTAAACAGCAATACTGAAAATCCATACCTGATTTGGAACAATACAACTCGAGCTGAATTAACAGAGTATTTAGAAAATCAACGCAAAGATAAAATACGGTCAGTAAGTATCTCTTTTTTTTTTCTTCTCCCAAGGGCGATTCTTGAGGGAAAGAAGCCATGTAGTCGCATGTTTCAGCATTATTATTCAAGGCCTGGCTCATCAAATTTTAATAAGTCAAATGTTTTATATTTGTTATTCATTTTTATCAGCATTTGATTTTAATATTTAACTAGCGAATATTAGAACATTTAATATTAATAGGGTGATTCTTCTAAAAGGAAGGTTATGATTTATGAAGCACAGTACAAAACCATTTATCCTGTATTTGGGAAACCAGAAAACCGGGTGAAGTTCTGCTCGGTTTTCCCGTCATTTTGAACTAATTTTGAAGAAAAAGGAAGGTATTTTTTATCCCCGTCTATCGAGAGTAAACTTCATTTCTTCTGTGACCTTGAAGATCTTTAGATCGAGAGGGGGCAGGAGTGGGACAAAGTTTTATTTTCTCCTGTGTTTTAAGAAACTTGAAACTTATGCCTTAAGAGTAATGACGTGTTAGAAACTTTTTTCAATCCATTTTAGTTACTCAGTTTTGTTATCCTTGATTTATTAGGACAAAATGTTTTAAAATTTCGGATAATACATTCTTATTACGAACAAAAAGTTTTTTAATTGCCTGTTACATTTATCCATCGATTAACGAAACAATATTTGTCAATTGGATAACTGATTCTTTAGAAGTGTGGTAGTAGTTTAATATTATAATAGGAATTTTCATTTAATAATATAATGGGAATGTATATTTAATAATTATTTTAATGATTTATTAAACTATTTAATTGTTTATTCATAATTAATTGTTTGCAGCAGATGTATTAAGTCTGTGATTGCATGGTAAAATTTTTATTTTACTTATCTGATGGTGCAACCTATCTTATGAAATGCTTTTTCATTTAAGTCAAAGTTTTAAGGTAGAGTGCATATCCTAGGCTGACATATCTATGTGAAATTACTGTACATACATAATGTAAAAGCCTATATGAAATAAAATGAAAAAAAAAAATTTGAATTTTTTCAGTTTAAAAAATCATATAATTTTTGATACACAATGGTAAATATTAAAGCATATTTGTGCCTTATTAGGAATGAAATTTTTATGTTTTCAGGGAGAATGTGATCCTTCATTTGGGGGTGACTTCAAATTTTCTGCTCACAGTTCTGAGCTCATTATTGGTGGAATCTTCATACGTGTCTATAATGAGCAACCAAATTTTTCTCTCCAAGTAAGTCCATCTTTCTCAGTCTTTGTATTATATAGCAAGGTACTTTGTGCTATGTTTGAATAAAGCAAAAAACCCTGTGGTAGAATGACAGCAATGTTGTCACAGAGCGTTACAACATGCTTGCAGAAACATTTTCTAAGGAAAAACTTTTTGTTTTCCTTTTTGCTGAAATTTACATGTAAAACTTCATTCATGCATTTAGATAATAACTTTTTGACACTCTCAATTTACGCCGATATTATAGTAAACCGATGTAATGTTTCAATTGCATTTCGGCAGTTATTAATATTTATTTTCACGCAGGTTTTAAATATCCCGATATACTTAAAAGAATATGGAAAATTTGAATCAGGCATTTGAGAATTTACTTTTAAAGTCAATAATTCTATTGAATTTTTGGCCGTTATTGCTATTGATTTCTCCACTGTTCTTAAATCTGATATTTTTGTACGATATTATTTATTACGACAACTTAATCTTGAATCGAAATTCGTATTTGACTAACCCTTTTTGAGGAGTCTGATTCGCATGATTTTGTCAGTCTTTTTTACGGCAATTACAACTACAAATTTCATGGCTTTTATTCAGGGTTCCCACGGTCCTTGAGAGTCCTTGAANTTTCAATCTCATCATAGAGTGGGAACCCTGTTATTTATTTTCCTGTTATTATGATACTTATTTCTGAACTGCAAAGGAAGAAATAATAAGTGCGTTCCAGCCCCCAACCTCCAAACAAAATGCGAGAATATCACCCATACTATTAGAATAAAATATTCTATGTTCAATTAAAAATAATTATATATATCTTTTTCTTTTGTAAACACAGCGTTTTTAATATTTTAAATTAGTAATATGTATGTTTGTTATTATTATTAAAGTATCTTGCAGAAAGATATTAGGGCTAGAGTTTTGTCGCAGATAGCTAAAAAAAAAAAATTCTGCCACCGGGCAAAAACATTGTAAATGAAGTACGAATGAAGACATAGAAATCAATAATGCAAATTCCCAATATTCAGTACAAATTGACAGCATTGGCCATCACTATTAATTTGATACTATTTGTGGTTTTATCCTCCCCTCCTAACCTTTCATCCCACTCCTTTAATTGAAAAATAGCATGATTATCTACTGTCCTTCTAAAAGTCTCTTAAAGAAAGTCTCTAAAAGAACTCTAACCTTAAAACTGAGTCTGTTGACCTCGCGAAAATCAATCCTTAAATTGCTTAGATTTCATGTAAATTTGAGTTTAAAGTCTTTTCCTCCTCTGTAAATAAACTAAACATCACTAACCTAACAAAAATTTTAATAATGATTAAAAACTAGAACATAAAATAACTAGCGTTTCTCAAAAATTTGAATTCTTTAAAATTTGATTGCTCAGAAACTATTCAACCGATTTTGCTCAAATTTCGTATTTTGCCCTGCAAAATTACATTCTTTAAAATGTTCACATAAAGACAAACATTTAATGACGTATGTACATGTCACTTCAAATATTTTTTTACTATTTTTATATAAAATAATAAATATTTATTAAAATTAATATAATTCTTTAGATAAAAGAATTTTATAATTGTGTGCAAAAAATTTTACTTTCTTTAAATAAAAACTCACTATAGGTCAAAATACACAAGTACTCTTACTTTTTTTATTATTTTGTTTATACTTCTTTTGGAATATGAACTATGCTCTATATTCTACGACTTAAATGATTTTTTGTGCAAGTTTTGAATCGAGACTCCTGTGGCAGAATTTTTTCGAGCTTTCTGCAGCAAACTTCCCTAGGACTAATATTTTGCTTTGAGATGCTTTTAATTATAACAATTACTAATTTAAAGATAACAGAAACGTTGTGTTTACAAAAGGATATTATATTTTTTAATTATATAGGCGATATTCTTACATTTTGTTGTTGAAAGAATACACTAATTATTTTCTGTTTTCGAAATTTTTAAATCATTACACAAAGTAAAATTCGTAAATAAATGAAACTGTTCGTACATAAATTAAAAATTGTAAAATCCGGGCAGTAACTCATAAAATAAAGATCACAAATTACGAGAAAAGGACTCTTTAAACTAGAAGTACTCAAATAAGTGTATGTAAAATATTCTTTAGAGAAAAAAAATGATAGAAAGGCCATCATTTCTGGAGCAAACTATCTTTTAAACCTTCATGATTTCAGAATTTTTTTATTTTATATTAATTTGAAATTCTAGCTGAAGCCAGTCATTACCAATTTTTTTAAAAATCTTAAATGATAATTGAAAAATCATGATTATTTCTTTGCTCTCTGATATGCAAGAAAGACATCTTTGGGAAAAAATTTTAAAAAGAAAAAAAAAAAAATTTTCGAAAAATTATGCAGAAAAGAAAAACCAAAATTTTCCCCTTCCCAAATGAAAAATCTTTTGGCAAAAACTCTGTAATGTTCTGCGACAATGTCGCCGCAATTCTGCCACAGGGAATTGAGACTATTCCTATTAAGAGAAAATCTATATTGATTACTGTACAGTTTCCAGGAATGGAGAAATTATTAATATTTATTAAGATTAAAAAATCAATCATCTTTCATAAAAAAAGTAGAATAAAGAAATTTTTTTTCCAATTAAAACCTTTTAAATTTATTCTGAAACAATGTGTTTCTTTTAATCCTTAATATTCTCAATTCATTCCTCTCATCAAGTTTATTTTCTTTTCCTTTCACTGCTCTTGATTTTCAACAACTCTTTTAAGCGGACCTACTTTTACAAGATCAAATAATCCCATTTCGTGAATTATTATTATTATTTTTTTTTAATAGAAACCTGTCAAGTTGACCTTTGTTATCAGAAGATGAATTTGTCCCATGTCATAAAAGAAAGTGGAAATAAGTTAAATTTGTTGATAAGTTTTATCAACGACTGTTTTACCTTTTCTTAAGTTGACCTAAACATAAAATGTTGGCTAACTTTCTATGCTGTTATGTTTTAAACTTTCCAATTAAGTAAAATAGCATAAAAACTAACCTATACCTCTTCCTGATATTGACCATGTGGAAAAATTATTACCGTGCTTTTGCAACAACTGGGTTTATAAATATAACAAACTAAATTTTAAAATGTTAAAAGGGGTGTAATGCTAAATTTTCTAATAGTATTGGGAGTACAAATTAGTTCGGTCCATTTTTTTGTGGTCAAAAATGCATTTATTTCAGAACAAAATGAGTGAACAGATTAATCAAAGTATTGTCCATCGCTTTTTCCCATGTTTGGGGCAATTTTCGAACTCCATCTCGAAAAAATTTCTTGTCTTTTGAGGTGATCCAAGTTAGGAGCCGATTTTCAATTTCTGCAAAAGAAGTGAACCGGTGACCTGGCAAATCGTGCTGCATCCGTCGGAACAAACAGTAATCAGAAGGAGCTATGTCCAGCGAATACAGCAGGTGCGGTAAAATATCCCACTTGAGCGTTTCCAAATAATTTCTTACTACTTTTGAGACATCAGGCTGACCATTATTATGCTCAAGAATAACTTTGTCATGTCTTTGCTCGTATTCCAGCCGTTTTTCGCGCAATGCACAGCTCAAGCGAATCAATTGTAGCCTATACCGATCGCCTGTAATGAAATCCCCAGGTTGTAGCAGCTCATAATATAAAATACTATTCATCATTCACAATTCTTTATTCACCATTCTTCAAATGTCGAAACCATTCCCTACATGATTTATTAGTTGGAGTATTGTCACCATAAACTTCTACAAGCATTCGATACGCTTCAGCTGCACTTTTCTTCCAATTAAACCAGAAACATAAAACCTCCCTCAAATGCTGCTTCGTTACCACAAAATTTGACATATTCAACAAAGTAAAAAACAGGGTTTTTCTATGAAACGCAAAACAATGTAAACTGAATATTATTTTGACAGATGTTTAACCTCTCTGAAACCATCTGTCACTATATAACATTCATAACAGCAGAGCCATCTTTTAAAAGTGGACCGTACTAATTTGTACTCCCAATATATGTGTTTTAGTGTGTAAATGTAAGAAATTATTGTATTACATCGTTAACAAAATGTTCACAATTAATATTATTTAAAGACTGATCAATTTTAAATTTTTTTTAAAAATTGAGTATAATTTAAAAAATAGGGAACCCTTACCTACAATAATAATACTTTGAAACTGTAGAAGAATGTTCCCTGCAACAGTGTCTTACCAACATCTTATAAGCATTCTGTAATGTTGTCGAGAATCTTCTGCTAATGAATACAACCTAAATATTTTACACATTATTGAATGAAGAAACCTTTTTATTAAGACTGCACTCAAACTAGAGATTATTTTTGTAGTGTATCTACCACTACAAAAATACAATTCCAATTCACTAGTATATAAGACACGTTAGCTCAATTGTACGAAGGGGTACCTTTTCATAGATGGATGATGACATTTTTGAGAACACTCGCCCCACATTGGTGACCCGTACGTGATGTGCCTACCTTGACAGAAACTCCCCAGTTGACTTGTGGCACTATCCACCTCATCATGCTGCCGCTACTCAGTCTCGGCCTGTTTACACTCTATTGCTAATGGCAACACGAGAGCTTAAAACAGCTCTCCAGGCTTCTCACAAAAACAGCAGTGAATCAGCTAGTGGTATACCATTCATCGAACTCCATCACAGATAAAATTCTGGTGGGAAGGGTGTGATACCTCTAAAAATAAGATTCCAATTCACTAGTATATAAAACATGTTAACTCGATTCTATGTTGAGGTACCTTTTCATAGATGATTGTTGAAATTGTCGATATCCCCACAATCTTTTTTTTCTTCAGTATAGTAGGATGCTTTTTTTTAAATGAGACTACCTTTTCTTTTCAGAATCCAAAGCACTTCACTCTGGAACTCTTAGATTATTTGTGTTCTCAAGCGCAATACCTTTATTCCCTCATGTCCCTTCAATCATCTGGTATTAAGACTGAAACCAACCAGGCTCGGCTGAAAAGTGTTGAAAATGCTCTTCAAGCACTTAGTAATGTTATAAAGAACAATCCAGGTATTGAGACCCTATGTTAATTATTATAAATTAGTTATTAAAGTTAGCTAAATTTATGTTAATTATTATAAATTAGTGTAATTAAGTTATAAATTAAGAATAATTAAGTTAAACAAACGACAGAAAAAAATCTTTTTTATTGCTGCACGGATCCTAATTAGGATTTTTATTTTAGAAAGTTCTCAAAAATATATTTTTGAGTGCTTAAAAAGTACTTAAAAGGTGTTTATTTTTTGTTGAAAAACCTGGCTACGCACCCTGATCAAGATTAAGGTTGAGTAATAAAATTTATGGTTTTTGTAAAAATCTATCTTTTTCTAGTTCTTAAGTATGCTGTAAGTTTAAGTATGTTTTTAAGTACGCTTTACTTAAAAAAGTTTTGTGAAAACAAATCCTAATTTTTACCCAGCTCCAAGAATTGAAACTTAATCTTCTCTTCTAATTGAAAAGCAAAAAAAAACATAAACTCAATTATGAAATGCTGTGAGCAAAATGAGTAGTCCAAATGTATTGAGCTAAAAAGGCAATCGGGGCTTCTTTTAATTGTACCTAAAACTAGCATTGATTCTGAGTAATTGAATTAATTTTGTTATTTAATGATGAATAATAAAAGTTCAGAGTTTATTTTATAATTTGGTGCTTTTGCCAAGTGTTGCATATTTAACAGTAAAGGAATTTACTTCTGTTCTGTAGTACCTTCACAAGTTCGACTTTAAGAAAAAGTGGTAGTTTCACTATTAAGAAAACAAGCTCTCATGCAAACGCTATTCTCTTTGCAATCTATGGAAAGGAAGGGCTTTTTTACCAGCTGTCTTTTAAGAAAAGGTAGCACGTGTTCGGTCGGATGGTGCAGTGTGGTAAACCCAACCGGTCGCTTACGCCGTATCAAAACGAGCTTTTTTTCACTGATTTTTTTAAATGAAAGGGTGATGCTCTCCCTCTTCTTTACTTTATTTGACTCTAATTTACAGGAAGTCGAAATTCGAACATTATCTTAAACACTATTGTAAATTTATTCTAACAGACCTTTATTTTTTTATGAACCATTTTTTTTTTCTCTGTGAAACTTTTTTCTGTTTGACTCAGTTGACAGTTTGACCGCATAATTAAAATAACTTTTCGTACTAGTACTGTTAAATGCATGGTTTTATTAAATTCAAATTGAAGTTTAACTGTGGACAATGATTTTTATGGATTTTGTAATTTAGATACAATTTTTAGCCCAAAATTTACAATAATAAAATTGTTTTTTGATTATATGGGGTACAATATATAGAAATTTACCATTCCTAAATGACTTTTATTTGTAGTGACAATTTTTGAAAATATTTTCTTACCATATTTTTGAGTTTTTTTTTTTAATCATGTCCATGGACAATTAAATGGCCTTGTGTGCCTTCAAAACTGCATCCGCTATCTCGAATACATCATTGCTGTGGAGGATCTCACGAAGTTCTGAAGCCAGTGGTACCATACCCAGCTGTCAAACATATGGGGTAAGGGCTGGGCACTCGAGAATGTCATCCGGGGTAAGTTGGATATCGGTGTATTCCTTGCAGGGAATATAAGTTCTTACTTTGTCGGGAAGAATTTTCATCCCTTTAAAGTGGTTTGTTCTTAGTCTTGTAATTGTTGATGTTAAGATTCAGGAACAATCAAAGTAGAAGTCTGTATCTTGCAACTGCATTTGCGCCTGCAAACGCAATGGTGGTGCAAGGTTGGTCGACACCTCTGCCTTCCTTAGCGAAGGAGTCCGCACACTCGTTTCTCTCAATATTCACGTGCGTCGGTGTCCATTGCAGCAAGCAGGATTTCCCTTTGCCGTGCAAGCCTTCAAGTAGGACATTTATAGCAGAGGTGATGTTGGTTTCACCGTTGTAAATTGCCTCTAAGGCCACTTTCGAGTCACAGAAGATTACCAATCCCTCAGTTGGGTCTGAAATCTCCTGATTGGTCATATAAAATGTGAGTGCCTCCTTATTCGCAAGAAGTTCACTGGTAAAATTTGAAGCAATTAAACCTGTGTTGATTTTATGCATATATTTATCTCAATTTGGAAGAAGATGCCAGCACCTCCTTTGTTGAGGGATTTATCAGATGTGCCGTCCATATATACACCCCGGGAGAACTTCTCTTTCGCCTCAAGGCCTTAGTGTAAGTGGGTCTTCTTTTTTCGAGCATTGGTTGTAGGAGATTCAGATTAATCTTCGTTTCCTTCGGTGGCTTTCTGGGAAAAAGAGGCTCCTGCAAAAAGTCCAGGGTAGAATATTAAAACTTCATTTGGCTCCTGATGTCTCTATCAAGTTGGAGCGTTGAAGATCTTTTAAGCCTTTTCGTACCTTTCCATTCGTTGAACACTCTGGTGGAGACATTATCATTATTGTAGCAATTTAGTTTGTGGGTGAACTTGATAGTGGCCAGATTACACCTGGACTCCATAGGAGGCAGACCACATTCCTGTTCGGATTTTTCGTTGTTAGTTGTAGAGACTGCGCCAATAATATTTTTTGCTGCACAATGTTGAACTAAATCTAATTTCAGTTTGGAAGTGGCGGAAGCCGAAGACCATATTGGGCAGGGCTCGAAAAAACTCAGAAATTTTACCCGTCCCCGAGGACGGCTTGTCCAACAATGCACCCGTCCTCCGTTGAAACTAACCCGTCGCTTTTAAATAAATAAAAATATAATTTTCTCCTATTTATTACAAACATTTATATAAATTGCACAATGAATTAGTCGTTACTAGGATTACATTATACAGTAATAAAAGAAATACTAGGTTACTAATAGTAACCTAGTATTTCTTTTATGAAATAATTTAAATGACAAGGGTCAAGTTATCTGGAATGTCAAGTTATCCGAGGGTACTGCGTTTTTTAAATGAATCAAATATGACGTTTGCCAGTTCCACAATCAAGCCAATGATTTACAGAGGTTTCTGAACAGAAATCTGAAAGGGGTTTTCCATTTAGGTAGATGTTCATAATTGCTTTTAAAGCTTCTTGTTTAAGACCAGTACGTATTGTGTTTTTTTGTAAGTTTATTGCTGTAAAGCCCCTTTCAACCGCTGCAATACTCCCAGACAGAGAAAACATCAATATATGCGCAGTATGTTGCTGTATTGTGGGTCATTTTGCTGCCTTGTAACTTACAAGACTCTTTGTAAGATAACAAAAATTGAAAATGTATCACGAACATTAACGGGAAAATGGCCGTCCGCGCGGACGTCGGATTCGAGAAATTCGTTGTCCGCGGAGGATTTTTGACCGTCGCGGACGGGCTGTTTTTCGAGCCCTGATATTGCGGCAGCATATTCAAGTACTGGTCTAATAATGGAGCAGTACTCACTTTTTAGGGGTTTAGGTCTTGATCCCCAAGAATTTCCGCAGGACTTTCTAGGTAAGTTTAATTTTCCAAGGGCTTTGTTAGAAGTTTGTTCAAGCAAAACTCGGGATCTAAGGTAACGCCAAGATGGATAGGGAAGAAAACCCTTTCGATGTTGAAGTCTTCAATGTTAATGTTGCATTAAAAGAACCTCTTTGGCCTATGCGGATAATGTTAAAAAAATTCCGGATTTTGCGTTACCCCTTTTATGAAAATCCCGCTTGATGCGTTTTTCTACAAACAGATCAAATAAATTTTTTTTTATTCTACAACTCTCACACAAACTTTTTTCTAGCTTTTTGAACTAGAAAAACTTGCTTTTCAGCTGTATGGAGCAATTCTTGCATTCTTTCTGTTCCATTTGTTAATAGGGGGGTGGGTAACAAGCATAAAAACTACAAAGCATAAAACAATTTTACTTGCAAATGTAAATCAAGAAGCAAATTTGCAAAAAATTGTTAGTATTGAACGAGTTGTAGATGAAATTGTAGCTAAAAACAAAGAGGAAGTGAAGATTAGTAATCTTTTCCATTAATTTAACTGGTAGGTGTCGATTTTTAAAAATATGCATAGATTTTTCTTAATCCCGATTTTACGTTATTCCGCTTCGAGCGTTTTTTATCGCTAGTCCGACCAAATTAATTTTTATACCCCCCCCATTAATTTTTTTTCTTCCCATCTGCACTGGGGAATCATACTTCTGTAGATCCTTGTAAGAGATTATTCACCGTGTGGTATTCGCTATCGCCTTCTTTGGTAAAGGGAGGGGAGAATGTACCTTTTTGTAAACTGTTTTTTCCCTGCATAGTTAACTTTTTAAGTTAATATTGATCTCAAATTATAAATGTAGACCATTGCAGAAGATAAAAAGAGGAAGAGTAAAACTGAAATTTTAGGAGATCAACTCAACAAATAGAAGCTCAGAATGTAAATAAAAAAATTCGTCAGGTAGGCCGCCCTATTAGATACGCCACACGTACCGAAATATATCTCTATCCTTCACTAAAAAAAAGTAAAGAAAGTTAATTATTAATTGGAATTATTTGGAGAAAATATTAATTGGAATGCAAAAACGATTAGAATGCAGCTATTTTTTATTCAATAATAAATGTAATCATTTAAAAAATAATCAGAAGAATTTAGTACATTATAACTCAAAGCATGTTGCATGTCGCTCAGGAGATAGAGCGTTTGTCTCCCAAAAAAGTATTAGATTTATTTAAAAAAGTTTTAGAAATTCAACTTACTGAAAAATTATGCTTATTATTTTTTAACCCATGCATGTCAAGAATACTAGAATAATAATTTCCCTGTTGAAATTTTTTTTAAATTGCCTAAATGCTGACAAATGTTCTTTTCTAACTATTCTTTAGGCTGCATGGATATCAAGTTTATTTCTCTTCTAAGAATGTGATATTTGACTTAAATTTTGTATGTCAGTAAGTCTATGTCAGGTTTTTGATTATTTGCTGGTAACAAAGCACTTAATCATCAGTTTTCTATCACCGAGTTACTTAGACTATCATCCATAAAGAAGAATTACTTCTATAGTAAAATCTATTCTTCTCCTCTATTACCAAGAACAGAGTTTATCCTATATGCAGGGCCCGGCTTATACTAATTGTTGCCCGGGGCAAAAATATTTTGGGGACCCTCTACGTCACTACCTCAGTAATGAAGAATCGAACTTGATGGGAGTATTTAAATTTTGCACCTCATTATAGATATATAACAAGAAAATTTACTAGAACCTAAAATAGCTGTAAAGTCCCTCCCCCCTGCAATGGTCAGACAAAATATCGTTCTGTCCATTTTATTGATTTTCTGACAATTCTATGTCCATTATTGAAGGGATAAAGCGCATCTGAAGAGTCAAAATTTGACAAAAATGCTATTTAAATTTATAATTAGAAAATGTAAAGCAATGTTATTTTAACTAATTTATTATTTTCCTTCCATTAACTGAATTAAAGATGCATAAAACAGTCAACAATGGGATAACTGATTGTCAACTTTGACAACTAACTGTGAAAATTCATATCCTTGCTGACATTAGGGCAGAATTCAGATACGTTTTCGCAATTATGATGGCTCAATTAAGCCAATCAGAAGCCCGTATTTTTGTAAACATATCGCATTTTGCAATATGTAAAAATCGGGCTTTTGATTGGCCGAATTTGTTCATCTTTATTGCAAAAATTTAGCTGAATTCTGCCCTAGAGAGCCATGGATTTACGAAATATAGATTTTTTGTGTTCATACAATAGATTAATGAAGAAGCTAACATAAAACTGACGGATTTCACACTGTACTCATATTTTGTCTAAAAGGAGTTCATTAAGGAAGAAAACTTAAAATAAGCTTTCTTTTTGATTTGGGGGGCCCCCTCTGATGTGAAGGCCTAGAACAACTGCCCCTGCCTTAGTCAGGCTCTGCCTATATGTTAAAAGAGAGCAAGCACTTGTCTATCTTATAATGACTGTGTCATATGGGGCACTTTGTTGATTCTTCTTATTTCTCTGACTTTGCCGACATCTCTGAAAATATTAAGTTTTTTTAAAGGTTGCATTTTTTAATATATTATTTAGGGGCAAAGGATTTATTGTTCGAAAGTATCCTCTGTTATTAATTGAAAATGAACTTCTTAATATACATTTCTTATGTAGTTGTTTTTTTAGTTTGTAATAATTTTAATAAATTATATTTAGGTGTTGAAATGCAGTGCATTGGTCACTTTAAACTTCTTTTTAGCTTGCTTCGACTTGACAACTGCTCTTCTGTTCAGGCTTTAGCTATCGATGTAAGTATATTTTTAATTTTTACAGAAAAATATCTGTGGTTAACCTTACTAATAAACCTCGAAAAAGTCTCTTTTAAAATTGGCGCAGATACTAGCCATTAAGAGAATTTCAGTATCAGTTATTCAGTTCTACAACTCAGTTTTGTGAAAAACTCTCTCTTTTGATGTTTGTGATTGGAAACAAGATACTTGAAACTAGTTTCTGTATTATATGAAGAAAAAGGATAATGTTTTTCAACTTTGTGTTTTTAATTTTATTGCAGTTTATTTTGTGTATCATATAAAATTAACTTTTAAAATTATTGTTTCATTGGAAATATTGAACAAAATGAAAAAAAATAATAATTTTTGTAAAAATTGTACAGAGTGGCATATAATTGGATGGAATCCAATTTTATCCATTTCGTTATGTAAACAAAATGTTCTGACATAAAGTTACAATAATTGTACATTATAAAAGCAAAATATTCAGTGTTTTCGCTGAAAATAATGACATTAAGGGGAGTGAAAAACAATGAATGAGACGCAATTATGTGGAGCCTTGTAGCAAAAAAACAGCTGTAGAAAAATTTTATCCATATAAAGTAATTTAATTTTAATTCTTCAACTTTCGTTTTTCCAGTTGTAGAAAATAAATTTTAGAACTTAAAAAATATGTCTAAAAGCAATTTCCAATAAAAATAAACAAACATACGATTTTAGTCTATTCTTTATTGAGTATAATAAAATTTTAAAAAATAATCAGTCAAAAAATATTTTTCCCAAAAATAATTTTTTGAATATTTGGCCGAACATTAGACGAAACGGCCATATACCGAATAATGGCCACATATTAATTGATCCCTAGTTTTAAATTTAAATGTTCTTTTCATTTTATTGCTTATTTTAAAATGTATAATATATTTAACTAAACACTTTAATCTGTTCTTAGAAATTTTTTTCAGAATAAAAATGAATCTTTTCTATTAATTTCATCCATACTTAAAACTGATGAACAAAAAGTAAAATGGAAAAATTTACACTTATTAAAATTAGTAGTGAAAGGGCTTAATTTGTTAAGGTAGAAAGCAATTTTTTTAAGAACATTATTTTAAATTTGAAAATTGAGTTTTTTTTTAAAAAAAAATAACTCAAAAATGCATTACATAAATTCTGAATATTATAGCAAGTCTTAGGGCAATTTATCTTTAACAATGAACGATTTAATTCCTTCCTTCCATTGCATAATCATCACTCAATTCCAAAATATTTTATATGTAGCAATGGCCACCCACTTGTGTATCAAAATAGATTTTTTGTGTTTGTAGGTAATTGCTGGTGTTACTGGCAATCAGGAATGTGTGAATGATATTGCTGCTAGTGATGTTCTCGTTTATCTCTTACTAATCCTACATTCCTTTAAAATTACTTCTAGTAAGTAGAGATAGCCATTGTTTTTATTATTTCTTACTAAAAAGATTATTGTTTTTTTTTTAATTATTTTTTACTATGTATGAAATAAAATCAAAACAGTCAGTCTTTATATGTGATACCATTTCGCACTGGCTGCCTCTTCACTTTCGTTTCGAGGATAGAGCCCGAGTCTTCCGACTTGGCCGCTATAACATTGTGGCTGTTTATACGATTAAACCGATCACCGTGGAATGGTAAAGATATATTTATGTGACCCAAATACTTTTGAGAAGAAAAAAAAAGTGGAACATGACAGCGCATTATCAGAAACATTTAATTCAGATGAAAAATGCTAAGACAATATCCCATATTCTTTAAGTATATCACTTCTTATCCCTGATCATATGCATGGATGTTGTGGCCATTCAAATTTATAATTACAGTCAGACTTCTATTTAACGAACTTCCATTTTGCGAATTTCTCTATTTTGCGATTCCCCCCCCCCCCTTGAGGAACCAAGAACATTTTGGAAATTTCTTCGTAAAATAACCAAAAATATTTCAGAACATTTCAAACTTGTTAACACATTTAATGAGGGAAATGACCTTGAATTTTGTTCATTATGATAAAAATTAATAAGATTAGCATTGAAAACCACAGTTTTTTTTTTTCAAAAAAATATGTTCAAAAATTTTTTGTATTAAAAAAACTTATTGTAGGGGAGGAATCTGAGTCTATAACCCCCCCCACCCAGGAAAAATTTCTGGCTCCTCCCCTGAGTAAAATTTATTCAATGGTTTGCGTAGCTACGGTTCATGCTATTGCTATGATCACCCAAAACTCTCAATTGGCTGTACAATAAACAATAACAGTCAATTTTTAAAAAAAAAATCTGAATGCATTTAGAATGAATCAAAAACCCCAGAAAATATTTTATTACTTCCGTAAGAGTGCTAATTATTAAGTTATTTTTATTCAAATAGCGCTTACTTTCATTTTCATCTGAAACTAGAAGACGTCTGGTTATTCAAGAAACTGACATCACCAGTACTCATCTGATACCTATTTACAATCGCTGTGCATTAAAAGCCATTTAGTTCTAGCTTTTGCTCTAATTTTCGTAACAAAGACTGTTTTAGATTGTAAATAAATATGTTAGAAGAAAGATTTAATTATACCCTAATGTAGCTTAATGAAAATGGGGGCTTAATATAATGAATTTTTATAATATCATTAAATTCCAATGCTGACTGAAATGTTATTAATAATTGATGGAATTTTATGACTCTGAATATTTGTAGTTCATTAAGAAAAGGTGAGATTGATTTATACATTATATTACCTATTCATATGAAGCTTTATAAATACAAAATGATACTATTCTTCAATTTTTTTAACCATGTTAATTTTTAAAAATATTTCTTTTTTCTTTCTTTTTTTTTTTTAAAGATTTTGTTTTATGCTTTAAAATTTCCATTTTAAGTGAAAGAAATGTTGAATTATTTTTTTATAATAGAATAGCTTTAGATATTAAAAAAATAATTAAAGTTATTATTTTTTCTTATTTATTCCAGCATGAATTTAATGTGGAGAATTATTTTTAGCATAACAGTTTAAGACCTTTTAAAAAGGTTCTGATCCCAGCAAAATTTGTAATTCTATCTATAAAAAAAAAGAAATCAGAAAAGCAAATACTGATTTTACTGATAATGTTGAATTAGATTCAGAATTATAGATCCCAAAATTACAATCAACATTATGAAGAATAGGAGCAAAATATTTTATCATTATTGAAATATTGCTTTAAATTTAAAAAAAAAAGGGAATTAATATATTTCAGTATTGTTTATTGACTTTATTTTAATTGCATTAATACATATAATAAGAGTATCAAAATCAAGAATGTGCTTTCATTTAATTCTACATTACAAAAACAGGAATTTTATAAAAAATAGTTTTTTATGATAGCAAAATTCACTCAAAGATTAAAAATGTTAAGAAAGGAAATCAATATTGCTGCCTATTTATTTATAGATTAAATAATAATAAAAAAGTGCGTAAAAATTATTTTTGTTTTGTATGAGCGTTTTTGATTCTTCAGCTTTAGTCAAACAAATACGTCTAACTTAATGATTCGCTGAAATTATAAGGTAAAGTTTAGTGAAATTTTGAGCATAAGCACTTAGATTATGGAATGATATTTTTCACTAGGCGAGATTCTTAAAAGTCGTGATTTGCTTTTTGGCAATACCAAATGCTTAACCTTCGATTTTTCTAAATATTTCAATTAATTTTTACATTAAAAATTTTTAATACATTAAATTTACTATTTTAGAACTTTGCAAGCACTAGGATAATTTTGCATGTACAAGAATAAGGTGATAAATTAACAATAATCGTTCTTTGCAATTGCTATATTGCATAAAGAAGAATTAAACTATATAAATAAAAATAATTTCTAACCACAGAAAAATTCCTATTTTCTCAAAGAATAATATCGCAAAAAGAATGAGCATTATTATGTATTTAAATATTTAATACATAGTAAAAAATAAAAGAAGCAGCATTAGTAAATAAAAAGAAATCCTTTAGTTCTAGTAAAAGAAATATATGATCAGAAAATTCTGAACACGCAATTTTGAATTCTGAACACGCGCTTTTATAAATATCGAAAAGTAGACTGTGAAATTTCTACTTATACATAAAAATTTCAAAAGTCTAATGAATCTAGATTTATAATAAGTAACAAAAATAATTTTTTATTTAAAATTATGAAATCTTAGTCATGCTATTATTCATAACCATTTAGAAATTTAAATTTTTATTAACAATAAAAAAACTTGAACGTACTTCTGATGGTCATATGTTAAGCAAATTTCGTATGAATCTATTTCATATTCCCTTTTTTTTTTTTCTTCATCATACTATTTACTACAGAACAGAACTTCATTATCTTAATTCATTAATCAGAATTACTGGAAACAGAAGTTAATGATACTTGTTACAGAAAATTACTGATTCTTATTAACATTTACAAGATATAATAATTGTTACTTTTTCTATCTTTAAGAACTAGACAACGAGTAAGACTTTTAGATAAAGTTTGATTAACTAACTATGTGATTATGTATAATATGATGAGGTAAATAATATGATGAATAAAAACTATGCACTAACAATAATTTAAAAGTGCTTATTATAAGTGAAAGCACCCTGTATAAAACAATAAATTAAAAGCGCTTGAACATTACACCAGAGATACCACAAGTTTTAAACTCTATTAAGCCTCCAACACTTAGATACTTTCAAATGATTAAATAAATGAACAATATTGTAACTTGAATGTCCCAAATGTTTTCGAAATTATTCAACCTTTAATCAAGTATCTGTAGTGTGTCTACCACTACAAAAATACAATTCCAATTTACTAGCATATAAGACATGTTAACTCGATTCTTCGTGGGGGTACCTTTTTATATATGAAGGTTGGCATTGTCGATAATTACTCTCCCCACGTTGGTGACCTTTGGACGTGATGTGAACACGCCTGCCTATCTTGACATAAACTCCCGCTTCGATTTGACAACGCCCACTTGGATGGATGTTTCATATTGAACAGTTGACTTGTGACTGTGACATTATTCACTTCCTCGCACTGTTGCTTCTCAGTCTTGATCTCACACAATGTATACACTGTACTGTTAAAGGCAACACAGGAGCGACCATGAACTTAGTACAGCTCTCACGATCAACACTCAAAGAAAGGGGGGGGGATCTTAATAGCTCTCCCGGCTTCTCACAAAACAGCAATGAATGAACTAGTGGTTCATCAAATTCTATCACAGATGTGATTCTGGTGGGGGAGTATTGTAGTGTATTTACCACTACAAAAATACAATTCCAATTCACTAGTATATAAGACATGTTAACTCAATTTTATTTGGGGATACCTTTTCATAGATGAAGTCCCACATATCTAACAATGTGGTGTTTAGGTACTTAATCTTATATATATTTTTTATTTAAATAACTCATTACTAATGTCTACATAATTAACATTTTCATACCAGAATGTGCTTTAAACATTTGTCTAAAATCATGCAAAATTTCTAATTTGTACGTTCCATTGTTATTCTATGCAAGTGCATGTAACGATTATTTTCTGATGAGAAGACTTTTTAGTATATTTATTAACCTATTTTTTATGTTCTGTAGGTCAAATAACTGTGTTAGAAATTCTTTTACCGCTGATGTCAAATGGCAAATTAGTCAAAGATGCAATGAATAAAGGTAAGTTAATTTGCTGCTTTATATCATCTACTTTGATTTATATCATCTGCAGACTGCTAAAATTGCTGGAAATTACTTTTTGGAATAGATTGTCACGTAAATATAAAACGATGCTTTGAAGGACTGTAATTCATTCCTTTTATTTTATTTTATAAAAACCGACCCAATTTTTGCGTTTACGACTACTAATGTTCAATTCCGTAGCCTTGTGATTTTCATCCCAATCCAGAAGACTCCTGAATCAAGTGTTGGGAGAATTTTACCTTTGTGGAGGGCTTTTTTGATGGAACTCAACCGCATTTGAGAACCTCCTACGGTTAGCCTGACGACAAGGGGACTCTTAACTCATGATCCATCTGCCACTGAGGATATTTCACGTCAGCACTGTGGCTGGTGCAAGCCGGATTTGGTTTCGTATCAACAAAACATTACTGAGTTTCAAATCTGGTACGTCTATGGGGAAGGCGAATGCAGTGGTGCAATGCTGTGCCAATTGGGGAGGCCTGTTCCAAATTGAAAGAATTGGCTTAAATTGTGCCAAAAAGGATATTTTCCCCTGGATATCGCCAAGTCACAATTTTACGGCAACCAAGCTACTGCCATGTGGGTGGTTGCTATGGTAACGAGCGCATGCATATTTTACTGTGAGCTGAGTGTTCTTTTTCTTTATTATTTGGTTAGTAGCATTCCATTCTTTTTGGTTCTAAGTTGATGAAAGAAGAATAAGAAACATGACTTCAAAAAGTAAGTACCTGTTATTCAATATTTATTTTAGATTTGTGATAAAAAATCTTTATTTTTTTATAAATTTTTTTAATGCAATTAGTAATGAACGAATTTTTATCTTTATTAAATACATACAAAGGTGCATAGCGTTTTTCAAAAGCGCTTATTTTCGTTTTTTAAAAGTTCTTAAATGTGCTTTTTTTCATTAGGTGGTTTTATAAAGTACTTAACTTTTCCTATTCCAAAATGATACATATTTTCTTTACCATAACGATTTTCGCCATTTTTCACTATTCATGTAACCTACATCCATTTTCTTATCGTTGGCGCGTAGCGTATGAAAGCGGATCATTTTACATTTTTAATGAAATGTTTCTGGATTTGCTGGCTCATCATACATACTGAGCTAGATTCAGTGGGAAAGGATTCTTGCACTCTCATGTGCAACTCTGCTTCATTTTGCAACATATTCTCAATTTCAGGCTTCTTTTTCCACTCCCTGAAATGGAACCGAAATTTCACTTGAATTTTCGGGGACCAACTAAACATTGCCAAATTTTAATAGCAAAAGAAAATTTTATTTCTCTGGTTAATTTCATGGTTTTTAAAGCAAGTGCTGTCGTCTTCGTCAATGGCAAGCTATTCTATTTATAGATTAATGCCATGATCTTTGAATTTGACTTGGGGACCATTCACTAAGTACATATTTTCTTGTTGATCCTCAAAGCAGGCAAAATTCACAAAGCTTCATGACCTCAAAACTTCCATCTCCCTGTTATTTATTAAATTTAATAAAGATAAGAATTAATTAATTTTTTAAACGTGAACTACGTACATTTTTATCTAAGGAACCATCCACTAATTGCATATTTTTTTTAATTTATTATATTTTTTTACTAATATTTTTTTACTTATTGCATTTTATTGTATTATTACTTTCAAAATTTTTAGTGCTCTTAATTTGTTTTAGGAAAAAATTTAAAAGTATTTAGAGGCAATATTTTGAATGCAGCAAAAAATCTTATATTATTCAGATTTGTCATTCAAAAGTACTTTAATTCATCTCTTAATGATTTGATTTAAAACAATAAATGTAAAAAAGTTTAATTATTATAGATTTGTGAAATATTATTAGTGTAGCGACAATATAATAATTTACTTCTGACATAAATTTTTGGCTTCAATACTCATTGTATTTGCTCTTAAAAATTATTTAGTTTTTTTAAATCAATTCATTAACGAAATATTGTACTAAGTAAAAAAAAAAATTTAAATATTAGGGTCCATAAACTAATATACATTTGAAATATAAATTTATTAAATTTTTTAATTTGTGATATAAGTTTATTTAATTTTTTTATTTGTAATATAAATTTATTAATTTTTTTTATTTGTAATATAAATTTATTAAATTTTTTTATTTGTAGTATAAATTTATTAAATTTTTTAATTTGTAATATAAATATATTAATTAATTGTTTTTTAAAATCTAAGTGTAGGTTGCGGCGCCAATCATCGACGTTACTTTTGATTTAAAATAATGATGTTATTCTATGAAAAGAAAGTCTTAACGAAAGAACAAAAAACATATTCAACTGAATTGTCAACAATTTCAGTAACATAAAATTATTTTAAGTGTTAAGATATGATTTATAACTATCCCAGCCACTGAATGCTTTAAGATATTAAAAGGGATTGATGTTTTACTAACTTGTTTCAAAAGATAATTTTACTTTCAAGACAGTTTTTTTCCCCTTCAAATATAGTAGAATTTTGTATTATTATATCAAGTGTTATTATGTTGGCGCCTGTTATATTAAGTTATTTAATAACTTAGCATATCTGATTTTTTTTTTAAAAATTTCAATTTAATCAAAAATATCATGCAAGTTTTCATTTAAAGTATTAACAAAATTTACATTTAACAATAAAATCTTCATTCATTTTATTCACTTTTGATCCTGTTTCATCTGGTTTTATAGTATTTATATTTAACTGATTTTATTCACTTTCGAATACCCTTGAGTAAAAATCTAGTAAGAAAAATAGTAAGATGAGTTTACCGTTGGTTCGTTTTAAAATCGCATTTTTGGCGCAGCATGTCCTTTTGTGGACCTTGTGCCAGTAAACCCTACATTCAATTCAATTCAATTCTTCCTTCTCGGGAATACTCAAAGATGCTCCTACTGATTTCTTCACAACTTTATTTTTCAAATTTTGCAAGTGGGTTTGAAGAGTAGAAAATGGAATACCCACTTCCTTGGCTGCTGCTCTAATACTCAAATTATCATTTTCAAAACAGCTTCATCAAACTTGTTCTAAAACAATTCAGCATCCTTTTTTTTCCTTTTATAGTTTCTTGGCATTATGGTATAATATTTTTAATAATATTAAATAGANACTTTTCCAATTCAAGAGGAATAGACTGTATGATGACTCATAATGAAAAAGTGTCTGCTGCTGAAATACAGTTTGTTGTCTCTTTGGCAGCGAAAGGAGTTTCGTACTCATTTTGTGACGCAGCTGCAATGTTATTTCCACAAATATTTTCTGATTCTAAGATTGCTAAAGACTTTTCGTGCTCTAGAGCTGAAGCTTCATACCTTATTTCAGATGGTCTTGGTCCACATTTTGAAGAAAGTCTTCTGAAAACTTCAACCAGCAGGGATGGTGCTCGCTACAAAAGGATAAAGCAAGCCCTCAAAGATAAATTGCTTTTGCCAAAAGCTCTTTTTTTAAGAAATATTTTGGCTATATTAAACAGATTTTTAGGTCTTTTCCAAACTGAGACACCATTGAGTCACTTGCTATATGATTAAATGGTGTCTCTAGTTAAAGCGTTGTTAGGACGGTTTCTAAAGAGTTCTGCTTTTCTTAGTTTGTCTGGTCAGGACTTAAAATCATTAAATGTAGAAAATGCAGAAATTTAGCTAAATTCAAATTTAATAGATGTTGGACTAGATACCACAAAGGTGATGACATCTTTATCTTCTTCAGAAGAAAAATCTATGTATTTAGGTGCCAGGTCTTTTTATTTGGCATGCGCTAAAAAGTTATTAAAAGCATTGCCTCTTGAAAATAGGTTACTGTATCATCCTAAAGTGTTGCATCCTGTAATGAGAATGGAGGACACTTCTATTAAGTCAATAAGATATCTGGCAACAGTAACCCCATCAATTATAAAACCTGAAAAAGCATCTTTGTTATTAGATGAATGGACGAGGTTACGTGGGGAACCAGAAGGTTCTGACTCAAATGAATATGCATCAATTGATGTGTTTTGGAAAAACTATTTTGCGAAGAAAGATAATTTGGGAAATATCAAGTATCCTCTTTTAACAAAGCTTTTTAAAGCTCTTTTGTGCTTACCACATGGGAATGCCGATGTTGAAAGAGATTTTAGTGTGAACAAGAAACTACTTGACAATAGGGCAAGTTTAAATTTGTATAGTATTAATGGTTTGAGACAAGTTGTGTCACATATCAACAAAATTGGGGGTTTAAATAACTTTAAAGTTGCTTTAAATTATTCTGCTCGATTAGAGGTTGAGAAAAAAGAAAGCAAAAAGAATGTGAAAACACTAAAACTGAGGAAAGTAGATTGAAAGCTGCCGAAATTGATTTGCAAAAAAAATTGAAGGCTTCTCAGGATCTCTTAGCCACAGCTGATAAAAATATTAAAGATGGGTTAAATAATAAAGACATGTCGATTATGGAAAGCGGACAGATCCTTTTATCTGAGGCTAAGTCAAGGATAGCAGAATATTTAACTGCATTGGAAGATACCAAAAAGAAACCTAATTTGTTAATGCAGGGACCTTCAAAGAAATGTAAAAAATAAGATATGTTATTAATGAACAAAATTAAAAATTCTTGTTATTAAATTCTTGTTTTATTTCTTTTTATAAATGTGCTCCAAATCTTTGTTTCGCTGCTCCAAAATTGCATTTTTGTTGCTCCTAAGATGCTCCAAAACTATGTTTTGCCACTTGCACCACTGCGAATGCTCTATACCCTGTGCCAGAGCGGCTCAGATGGTAACTTAAGTTACAAATCAGTCGTAGAAACATACTTTTCATTAGTGTCTAATTGAGAAGCTTTATTCAAAGTGAAAGGCAGAGATCGGTTTCTTAAATTTCTTTTTGAAAATTATTTTAGTCGTTTGCAACTTCTTTTGGAACAAAATAACTTGTGCCCTCATTGAACCAATATTACCGAATCTTGGCTCAATAAGGGTCCGAAAGGTCGTTATTTTCCAATATTGGCCCTATGTAGAATTGTCGGATTCACCTAATATTTTTCAGCCACTTTACAACCAATATAGGTGTTGCGAGACTCTATCGGAAAGTAAAATATTCCTTTGTTCTCTACTTCTCTAAATAATAAATCTGACTAAATAATAACGCTTCTAGTAAAAAAGAATAACATTTATTTACAAATTAGTTTTCAGACGATCATTTCTTGTTCCACAAAAAGAAGAATAAAAAACTTTGCCATGGCAACTTGGCAGTTTTAACAGAAAACAAAAGTTAGAAAAAGTTTAACAGAAAAGAAAACAATTCCGATATTCATTATTTGGCCAATTTAGGCCCTATTTTGGCCCAATAAAAAATGACATAGGCCGTATATAGGACCAATATTAAAAAATCTAGGCATCCCAGTATCGGTGCAGGATTATATAGGACCCATATTGAGCCCAACTGGGACCAAGGGAGAATTGTTGCTAGGGTTGACTATATTTTTTCAATATTCTGTGCCAATTTACTATATTTTGCTTTACTATTTTGGATTCCTGAAAGAAAAATGCCCAGAAAGCATGCAACCTTGTGTCGGAATTTTCTTTTTATTGTCACTAAAATATTTGCACAAAAACCTTTCTTCAATGAAGCAAAAATATTGCAGTTTCGAACCTTGCATCCTAAAAAGATTTTTTAAAGCTTTTATTTGCACATAAGTAAAATGGTCACTTAGGTCCATAATGATGTTTTAGCTGAGGTCACACTAAGGATAGTATCGCGTTGTCCATTAAAATTTCAGGACAAGGTGGANAAGTCATTATAGAAAATAACAAATGTCTTAGAATATCTCGCAAAAAGAAATGATCCAATATTAGTTAGAGCTAGTAAGACCAAACGCTCCGTTCTTGAAGTAAAAGTGCGAGCTTTGCGCCAAGGTGACGTCACTAGAGTGACGTCGGAGGATCGGTGCGGCTAGAGATACTTCAAAAGAGTGAACCAGCCCTTCTATTCTCTTTAGCCCTGATAATGACCTAGATTTAAGATTACTTTCACCTTGAGACTAGCATTATTAAAGGATATTTTCACACTTGAAAATCCTAAATCAGCCTCAATTTAAGGTTTTTATATAGAAGGTTGCTTACCAAGGTTTTGGATTAGGGTAATGTGCGTAGAATAGAGCAGATTGTCACAAATCTTGTTTTAAGCTTAGAAGGTTTACACGTAAATGGCATAACAAACCTTTGCTGAGTGAAAATCAACCTTATTTTGCTATCTGCGTGGTTTTATCAAAAACAGTCATGTATGTAGAATCTCATTTATAACTTATAATTTACTCTTATTGACTCTTGTTAAATTGGAAAAGCTGCTTTCTTTCTATGCTTATAATTAATACTATTTAAGTACTAATAAAAGCAACTTTCGATAGGTGCTGTGATATATCTCTTAAATCTTTTTTGTAATGCATCGTCGCCTGATATTCGTGAGCTAACAGCTGGCCTGTTAGCCAAAATGACATCGGAAAAACTGTTTGGGCCGAAAATTCGACTGACTCTTTTGAAGTTTTTGCCATCCCTTTTCATTGATGCCGTAAAAGATTCTCCAGAAACTGCTGTTCACATGTTTGAAGGTTAGTTCATATTTTTATCATCTATAAATTCTTAATTACAGTTTTGAAAATAAAGGCATTTTGAAAAAATTAAATATTTAAATTATTAGGTATAAAAATTTCAATTGATATGTTACTTGTACATAAAACTTGAAACATGTGCAATTTTTAATTTGAAAAGTAGAAGGAAACATTAACTTACGTTCCCCTCTATTACTATTGTTCATATGTGTTTAAATAAGTAAGATATCTGGAACATTAAGCAATTTACATTCTAGTCAAATTTGCACTGTAAATCATTGAAATTGCTTTTTGCTAAATTGTATAATTATAAATAAAGCAGAATACTTATGTGCGTGTATGTACCTTTAATACAAATTCTGAACCAATTTACACCAAATTCGGTGTATATACATTGAAAGACATGGCGGACCTGATTGCCTACTTTAAAACTCTCTTCGATCACCAGCTTCCAAACTGCATCCCAAAGGAAGAATTTTCCGATGAATTTGATATTTATTTTATAATATGAGTGATTTTTCTAGTTTACCGCTCTAATTAATTAAATATTAGTTGTTGTTTTTTTCCCATCCTTATGAATCTTAGATTTCCTATGTTAGGTAATCACAAGTAAAATAAAAATTAATAATATTGCAACTTATGGGAATGAAATCACGATTTTAAAAAAAGCGTCTTAACTGGTGATCACCTACCTCTGTAGTCAGTTTCATATTTTCAAAATAATATTTTGTGAGAAAAAAAATGATCTGAATATAGACACACACATTTTATTTTATCTCATCTCTCATCATATTAATAGAATTTTTATGCAACAATTACAGCTCCCTTTGTTTTTACTATTTTTTTATTAATAGCCATCCTGATTAACTTTTGATTTATATTAACCTCTTTATTATAGTGCCTTTCAGTAAACACTATTCTATAGAAAACAAAAACTAAAGATAATGCAGTTGACCCTTTGATGCCGAGAGGACATTGTTGTCTTTTTTATATATTTTTTTTCTGATATTCTAATTATTATAAGCAATTATTTTTTAATTATAAAAAGCAGTCTAATAGTGACTGGAAAAAAAATTTGGTAGATTGATCAAAATTATATTTGTACTAAAATATAAAAAAGTAGTTAATAAAGAAAACATTTTCATTTATGCTAAGAAATTAATAATTGATTTTGTAAATTTAAGAAATTTCAATAATGAATAAATGTTTCACACAAATAATTGCGAATTTGAAATTTTTTTTTTTTTGGAAGTGAGCCGTGTTTGGAAGATTTTGTCTTCGTCGCAGAAAAAGACACCAGTGTTTCATGCGGTATTTCATAACCATAAATTATTAACAGCCTAAATATAATGTTTTTCATTTATTTTAACCTATATTAATACAAAATAATAAAAAATGAAAAATATGTTTAATAAAAATTCTGCTTCAATGGAGTTGAAAGCTCTCTATTTTTCTGTTTTTGTTTTTATTGACAACTGCCATATACTTTTGTTTTCTTTAACGACTGAATTTTTCTGAGATTTTCCATTGTTTGGAATTTTAACTAGTTTCGAATTCCTTGACGCGTTTGAACTATTACTGTCTATGCAGATGGAATTAAATAAGCAGTTGCAAATATTTTCTCCCAGAATTAGTTTTGGAGATATCTAGCATGGACATAGCCAATGGATTTTGCCAGTTTCTCCTGTTTTTCGTACATTTTTAGAAAATTTCCTAAAATTTTTGTAAAGATTATTGCTTGCTTGCTTGAATAATTAAATATTTATAATACATAATGAAGTGAACCTCTTTTATAGAAATCTGTTCAAAACTTTTTTTTGTTCTAAAATGTACAGTTTGTGTTTATTCATAGCTCTCTTTTTAAATTAATTAAAAAAATATTTTAACTATTTTTTAATTAAATGCCTATTAATGCTAGAAATTATGAGTAAACATAATACATAACACTTCAAGTACATTTAATGTCAATCGTAACTGGAAAATATTAGTTTTCCTATTTTGAGGACTGTAAAAATCCCTAAAATTCCCTATGTGTAAAATACATTATGCAACAATTATCATGAAATTTATATTATTTCGTTAAATGTACTGCATTTTTTCCTATCCATGTTTGCAGCTATGCATGAATCTAAAAGAAAACATATTAATGCTTAAATAATATGTTTGTTCTGTGCCATTTTGTTTGGACCTAAGCTTTGATTTATTTTATCATTTTAGTTAAAATATAATGAGCAGTATCATAAGATATGTATGTTATTGTAGGAACCCAAGAAAATCCAGAATTGATTTGGAATGATGAATCACGGGAAAATCTGTGCTCTATTGTTGAAGAAATGGCAAATGAGTTAGTATTGTTTTGTTCATCCTTTATTGTGAAAACAATAATGCTTCTAATATTCCAAACAATGCAATATATAAAGTTAATTATTTTCCTAAATAGATAAAACCAAAAATGATTTAAATAAATACATGTTTGAAATTAACACTAAAAGGATTGAAACTTAGTTTATACCTATAGTGCCCAAAAGCAGTCAAAATGACTGGATTGTAAAAGAATAACTTATGTGTAGAGAAATTTGTTTAAAATAAATTTTTAATATTTTTTGTATCATTTACAGTTATATAACAAGTTATTAGTAAATATTAACAATAAAAAAAAATATATGTTGTACAAAAGTCACAAGAAATTTTCTCATTATGTACATCGTTGTTTTTCTAATTGAAATTAAAAAGCAGTCAAAATGACTTCCTGGGGCAATTTACGTCAAACAAAAATTGTGTCAATATTAGCATTTTTTTTCTGCGAATGGTAATTAGTTAAAGATTAATTTGAAATGTGATAAATTTGTTGGTATCGAATGTTATATAGTTTGCCTATGGTAAGAACTCCCCTCGCCACAAAGTCTGAGATCATCTGCTGCTATGGAAACAAGAATGGCGCATTTCAGAGTGGGTAGCTTCTCTTCACTCTTAACACAATAGACCAGAGAAAAAGATTACCTTTGTCTAGCCGACCCGAGCCATAACCTGTCCTAAGCAATGACCCCACTCCCATACTTGAAATATTTGTGCCTAGTTTCCGTAGTCACCACAACGAGCCCAGACGAATGTCATGAGGAGTTCTTACTTTAGACAAACCATACATCTACAGAGTTCCCAAATGGTCCTCTCATCCTTCCAAAATCCTTTTTTTTTTTAGAGTAAAAACAGTTTTAATTTCTTTTTTAACATTTTGGTCCTCTTTTGAAATATTTAAAAATCAGTTCAAATGTACATTAAAATTCTCAATTTGAATCTAATCAGTTTGATGAGATACATTTAAATTGCAATGTGCCCTAACATCGCGTACAGTAACATCACTATCAGTGAATTAAAGTCAATATGTTTAATTAAATTTTGTCACATATTTATATAATTTTTATTGTTGAATTAGCTTTTTACAACTGTAGATTATTTATAAATGTGAATTTTTTAAATGTATGTATGTCTGTACCGTAATTTCACACATATAGTCCGCACCATAGTATAGTCCGCAGACCCGATTTTATGTAAAAAAAAATTCAAAAATCGTCAGATAGTCTGCGGACTATACGTTCGAAATTACAGTATTTTAATACGGCAATATTAATGTATTTTAGAAACAAAGAACTAAGTATAAATAGAAAAAAAGTACTTACTTACTAATATACCTTCAGAAATAAAACGCTAAATACAAATAAAAACAGTGCTTACTAATTAATCACACATTCTACTACATTAACGAAAACCTTCAAAGTCCGATTCATCGGTATCAGAATTAAACAGTTCTAATATATTTTCGCGAAGAGTGTCCGAAAGTTCATTTTCAGCATCACTATCTTCACTGTCAGTGATTTCCTCGCTTTCACTAACAATACCGGCTTTTATAAATCCCGATCGGATAAATGACACTTTAACACTTTTCCAGGATTTATCGACCCATTCGGCAACTTCAGTGTATGAAGCGCGTCTCGTATTTCCTCCTTTTGTGAAAGTATGTAAACCTTCCGACATCCAGTTCTCCCAGCAAGCTCATACGTGGGACTTGAAACTTTTGTTCACGCTAATATTCAGAGGTTGCAGGATTTTTGTTAAACCTCCTGGAATAACGCTAAGTTCAGCACCAGTGTTTTTTTTTTTTAGCTTCCGCCTTTACACTGTCTTTTATGTGTGCCCTCATGGAATCCATAATTAGTACTCCTTTGGAATTGAAGAAGGCACCTTCTCTCTTCTTCCAAACTTCTTGAAACCAATCGAGCATAATGTCCTCGTTGCACCAACCCTTTTCATTGCACCGTCTTACGACGCTTCGAGGATAGTTTTTCTCTTAAAGATTAAGAGCGGCTTCAACTTTGTGCCGTCAGCACAGCAGGCGAGCATCTCTGTGAAATGGGTCTTTTCTTGACCAGTTGTTGTTATTGATACTGTTTTCACTCTACAAGTATCGGCGGTGCGATTCGGTGGGCAATCAAATGTTAATGGAACTTCGTCCTTATTTATAATATTTCCTTGTAAACTGAAGGAAAGAAGCTTTTTTTTTCATCTACGTCTTCCGGAACAGCCTGACACATTGTCGTTCTGCTGCGAACTCTCAAGTTTTTACGACGCATGAAGCGGTAAACCCAATTTATTCCTCCCTTGAAATCCGTTATCTGCATCTCTTCTGCCATGGACTTCGCTCAGAGACTGATTTTAACTGTTGAAATGGAGCGTCCAGCATTTCTTTGGTCGAGAAACCATCTCAGTAAATTTTCCTCTGAAGCTGGGCATTTTACTTTTCCGTGCCGATTGGATAGCTTTCTTCACATGCTTTTTAACACATTGTTTTTTTTTTTGCGCCAATTTCTCACCGCTTTCTCATCCACTTCAAAATAACGGCCCGCTTCTCTATTTCCATCTTTTTCAACTTTCACAACTACCTTGAATTTAAACTCAGCAGTAAAACTCCGGCGATGTTTCACAGACATAATCTTGGATCAACATTATCGAAGATGAAAGACAAAATACTGTGCAACGTGCTATCCTCGTGATAAGTGGTAATGCAATGTGACCTTCGACCCCACTCACTCTGTGTTGCCAAACCACGCTATAAGTAAATGAATCACGCATTTTTTTCGTACTCCAGGTACTTGCTACTAAGGCTCCTAAAAACCGAGCTGATGCATCAACTACTTTTCCCCCTCCCGGCTGTTGTGCTAAAGCAGTGCGAAGGATACTGGGATACAAGACTCTGGTTGCGCTAAGTGAGTGCTCATATCCCGGCACTGCTTGATGCGCCAGCCTGGATTTTAGGAGGTCTACTTGCTACTACTCATTTGTTCTGCAGTATGCTCTATGGTTTACTGTTGATACGATACATACGAATGTTTTCTTGGAATCTCGCGCTGTTGTTTATATTTGATCATCGGCAGTTCGCGACAGTGTGTTTTTTAAATTTCAAAAATTTTAACCTTGAACAACCAGCGTATTATTCGCGCTGGTGGATAGTCCGCAGCTTCAAAATTCGCATTTTAAACACAGATAGTTCGCAGACTATACGCGCGAAATTACTGTATGTATGTATGTGCATGCATGCATGTATGTATGTCGGTTGAGTAAAAAGTTTTCCGCCAAAAAAAACAATCCTGAAAAATTACAAATACATACAAAATCAGCAAAGCTAATGAGGATAGTAATCTCTATTCAAATCAACAATAGTCTGCCAATGTTTTGGCAACTTTTCTATCCCTTCTGCGAAGAACTGGGGGGTGCGCAAGTCCAGAAAGCAATCGACCTCATTTATGACCTCGTCATATGAACGGAAGATTGTGCCATCAAGATGCAGCTGCAGATATGAAAACAGATAGTAATCCGAAGACGCCATGTCTTGACTCTATGGTGGATGTTGCATCAAATCCCACTACAACTTGTGGAGCATCATCATGCCGGTCATTGCACTGACATGTGGTCGGGCGTTATCTTGATGGAAGAGAATCACCTTCCTCCTGAACTCGTTTTTCCGTTTTTGGAGAATGGCAAAGCTAACTTTTATTAGCATATTGCTTTATATTGTACTGTTGATAGCCTACCAGCTTTTCAGGTACTCCTTGTAGATAATTCCACGACAATCCCACCAGATACAGAGAGGGACCTTCTTGTTAGTTAGCGTTCGTCTTGCAACCGAACTTGCATATTCCCTGGGTGCTGACCACCGTCCTCTACGACTAGTATTGTTGTAGTACACCCATTTTTCATCACAGGTGACAATTCTGTCCAGAATGTTCTCTTTTCTTTGATCTCTGAGCAGAACCAAACATGCCGCTTTTCTCTTGCTCTTGTCTTTAGCAGTCAATTCGTGAGTCACCCAACGGTTAAACTTAAATGTTAGATTTATGCGTTTGAGAGCATTTGCTATTGTTTTTTGGCAAACGTCAAGCTCTAACGCAATAGTTCGTGTTGAAAATTTTCTGTCTTGAACAATAATTTGCTTTAACTGGTCACAATCAAACTCAATATGGTGGCCAGAACGTGGTTCATCTTCAATGTTGAAATTCCCAGTATTAAACTTTCGAAACCAAACTTTTACTGTAAAGAAACAGTATTGAAACCTAAACTTTCACACATTTTCTTGTGGCATTCAGTTGCACTGAGTTTATTTCGGAACTCATAGAACATAATTGGTCTGGTCTGATCTGTTTACGTGATAGCTCCATTTTAAACGCTTTTTTGGTGCACAAGATGATAAAGTTTTGACAAACAAATTACACAGTTGTGTAGTTCCAACTTTCAGCTTTAAAATACAAAAGCCCGTTTCAAAAAGAGTTAACCACCACTGGAATGGCTGCTGCTGGCACGGAGGTATTTCTCTCTGGCGGAAAACCTTTTACTCAACCCGATATATATATATATATGCATATAAATAAATAAAGAGAGAGAGAGATGGTAAAGTGATTTATAGAAATGCATTTATGGGTCTTCTGTTCACCCTCTACAATGCTTTCTCCACTAATCGGAAAACTAATATTACAGAAAAATACTGATGTGGGACAAAGAATTCATAGCTTATTTATATTTACATACTTATCATGTTGTATTACAATAATTTAAATTTCAAAATCGCGCATCCTCTTGATAAACCTTTTTTTCCGCTTTGTTTACTTATGTATTAATTTTTAAATTGGGCAAAAAATGATGGCATGCAATATTCTCTTAGGCACTACAAAGTTCAAAAGGATGATCCTCAAATTCAATGGAAAGTAAGTGTCTTTCTTTTCAAAACTGTCTTTGTGTTTATGACTATTTAAATTGATATAATCTATTAATTGTCGACCCATAGGCTCCAAACGAGTCCTGCTTTGCCATACCCGAAAGCCAAGTGGCCGGAGTTTATCTACGTCTGTTTCTTCAGAATCCCAATTGGGTCCTTCGAAAGCCGAAGGAGTTTTTGACTGAGCTTTTGGATAGACTCACCGAAACCATGTCCAAGGACAGTGTAAATGTAAGTTACAACTTTCCTACAATCAGTGACGTGTAGCTAAAGTTTTAATCTCCCATGGTTTGCAAAAGTAAGTCTCAAAATTCATTATTTTTGTTAATTATAAAGGTTCTGAGGAAGAGATTTGAGTGCTTTTCCAGAAAGTCACATTGACTTTTTGTTTTAATGTGGAAAGAGGACAAATAAAAAATTGCTATGACACATTGATATTGTATTGGTGATATTCTATTCTCAGCTTTGTCATGCTGAAATACGCATAACATATTTCCTATCATTTAAAAAAAATCCTTTTTCAATAAATAAAAATCATTAATATAAATCTGTAATGTTTTTATACCACAACCTTGAATTGAGTGCAGAATAAAGTAAATTTTTTGAGATTCCCTCTTAGCATAGAATTTGAAAACCGCTACAGGGTTGCTAATCTTTTGATTTCAAAAAAATTTGTTATGATTTCTCCCGCTTTCTTTTCCACCAACACATTTGAGATCCTTTGAAACATTGATCCAATGAGATCCTATGAAAAAGATCCTTGGCATTAAATTCAATCAATTAATAGCCAATACATTGATTCCTTTATTTTCCTTGGCAAATGAATTACACTAACAGTTAAATTTCAGATTGATAAATTTCAATACAAAATCAGATTTAAAAGAACAAATTGAGTAATCTTGGTTTTGTTTAATTAAGATATAATATGCTTTTAGTTTTCATGATCCTTTATGGATCATGGATCGTAAATCTCTTTTAATAATTAGTACAAGTAAAGTTGGCCCAATAATTACAAAATATTATGAGCGGAAAATCACAATTTTACAAGATGACACTTGTCATTAAGCTTTACCTTGAGTAAATAAAACAGAGTAATTATTATTCTGTTTTAATTTTTTTTTTATCTAGAACATGTACAGATCGAATTTTTTATCTAGAACATGTCCTGGTGGTCCAGATTTGACCTGCAGACCATAGCAAGATGATTGTACTCTGAGGATATCCCGGAATTCCGGGTTCAAAAACTGGAATCAGTGAATACTAGTTTTGCCCAAATATCGTTAAATTCGGCACATTTCAATGCCATTGGTTCACGAACTTCGCGAATCAAAAACTTATTATTTGACAAAATTATTACTAAATCTCGTTAACAATATGTTCATATGCATTTTTCCACAAATTATGTAAAGAATTACGTCCCACGTTATTCTTCTGCCAATTAGATTGTTTTGGTTTTGCGGATTTTCGCCATTTTGAATATTTGGAACAGTGCTGGAATCTGCTAGTATCTGCTAGTATTCACATGAGGCTAATAGCAAGCATCGATTTTCGTATTTACCTGATTTGAAAAATTACCATTGCAATTCGTATTCAGGTGATTTAAAAATCCAACATCGGGACTTGAATTAACACGTTTTTAAAACCCAATATCGCGATTCATACTCATGCAAGTTTGAAATCTAATGCCTCAATTTGTAAAGTCCAATATTGCGATTCTTGTTAGAAGTTAGTCTATTCTTGAATTTGTTACTCTAAAGGTGTGATATATTTTGCACTAGTAGGTAATTTAATTATAAATGCAAGAAAAAATGTGTTAAATATGAAGTCTATAAATTGATTTTTCACTCATAAAATTTTCAGGGTTTTTCACTTTCTATCACATTCACCCCTGCCATAGTTTTAAAAAAAACCCTGATCTAATCCATTGAAAAAAAATTTTTTTTTGTTTTAAGAAAATGTTTCTATTTTAGAGTGAACTCCTGGAAACTTTAACTCAAGCATTAGTGTGCCTCCTGACAGCTCAGCCATCCCTTCTTGACCAAGTACCAGCTCTGGGACACATACCTCGCATTTTACAGATCATGTCCAGGCCTAACGATGAAATTGCCAGCTCCTGTCTCCAAATTGTTCGACAATTTTCAAATTCCGATGTAAGTGGGTGCCAATACTTCTTAAAATAACCATCATGTCTGTTGATCTCATAAAAAGAATGTTTTTTTTTTTTTTTAGAATTGTATTAAGTGTCTCTCTCAAAGTAATTTCATAATTCCTATGATAAAAGCCATAAAACGACGAAATGATCTTGTTGGAGTGGCCTGTGAAGCTCTTAACAACACCTTTCAACATTCCAATGACGACCTTATGCTTCAGGTAGGATTTTTTATCAGCTCAAAATGTTTTTGTCACATTTCCTCATCGTTGGGAGAGAGGGAGGTTGGTGTAATCTAAAATTTTCAAATATAAAGTGATTTTTTTTTACTTAGATTTCCTTGTTTTTATTTTATTGTAGCCTCTCCATTTTCTGGAAAAACAATTCTAAATATTTGTATATTTATTTTTATTCTCAGAAATCAATTTACACTGAATATACAGTCAGACTTCTATTTAACGAAGTCGCTAAATCCCTATCAAAAGTTCATTATATGGAAAATTGGTTAAATAGAAAATCACGATTTATAATACTTAAACAACTCAAAACAGGTTTTAAATTATTTAACACTCGTTGACAGCAACTTTTTTTTCATTGCATCATTTTCTTATGCTTTCTTTAGCATCTCAAAAGGTGATTTTTTTTAAGCAAAATGCTGAATTCGATGTTTGTCGCTCTGCAGCTAACAGAGACAGTACCAGAAATGAATTCCAGGTGGCTGTGTATTTTCTTAATGGGTGCTGCCAACTTCCAAAAAACATTTTCCTCTCCTACGAACACCTGCGTGAATGTATACGGCGGGAATTTATTGACTTTACCTCATTATACATCTTAAAATTGAGCTGGCGTGAATTTCATGTAAGGCTAAGTGTGTATATTTCTGTGTTCTGATTGCTGATAGTGTGATAAGTTGGAACATTTGGACTCAATGTAAGGGACAAATTAAAAGAAAGGAAAATCCGGTATTTCTGAATTTTCATGTGTGGCTGAAGTGCTCTCTTCTATTTAAATAAAGTGTTTTTTTTTTGCTCTTGTTTTAATTCTATTTCATTTTCATTTAGTTGGTTGTTTGCTTCTGTTTAAGTTATTTTGCGCAGTGGTTGTCGAAACTACCGTGTCTGTGCTAAGATGAGTTATGTGTTCGAGTTGTTCATTTTTCTTTTGTTAAAAATAAATATTTTTAATACAGAATTTACATTGTCATTATTCAGGGTTCCTACACAGTCAGGAAAACCTGCAAAAGTCTGGCTATTCTAAAATTAAGCTAAAAAGTCAGGATTTTTCTTACATATTCATAAAGTTAGGAAAACAAAAAAAAACTATAGTTCATTCAAAGACTGAAAGGCAAAAATAAAGTTTAAAGGAATAATTCTTTAATTCAAAATATGTAATTTCCTCATAATAACATTCCTCTTTCCCTGGTAGAACCTGTCCTGTTCGCAATTTTCCTCCTGTTTATCCAATGATAAGGAATTTTTGATAAGGTTGCTAGGTTTATTGCTCTTTGTGTGAATAACTGGCTTACAGACAATAGTAGCTGAAACAACAGCAGGAAAATCAAAAAAGGAATTTTTACTCTTTTGTGATGCTGCCAAGAAAAAAAAGCAAAAGAGTTTCTTAGAGTTTAATCCATAGCAAAAGAGATTAGATAATTTTTTTCGAAATATTTGCACGGAGAAAAAAAAATTTTGAAAATTTGTGGGAGGTTATAAAAATTGTTCTTATCCTCTATCATGGTAATGCAACAGTCGAAGGGGGGATTTTCAATCAATAAAAGCTTATTGGTTGAAAGACTCAATGAAGACTCTATTATTTCGCAAAGGCGTGTGTATGATTATGTTTCATTTATAAATGGAATAAGAAACATAGACATTAATAAGAAAAATGCTAGATGCTGTAAAAGGATCTAAAACAAGATGGAGACGTGCATTAGAAGCCAAAAAAAAAAAAAGAAAAACAAAAGAATAAAAAAGCTGAAATTTCTAGAAAACGAATAAAAGAAAAGATAGATAATTTGAAATTAAGAAAATCTAAATTGACAAAAACTGCTGCAATAGAACTGGATGTTCTTGATTCAGAAATTGTCAAACAACAAAATATGTTGAGAAATATTATATAACATAGAAGCCCCTGAGTTTCTGAGAGGCTTATAGTATTACAGAAATAAATTTAAAAATACTGAAAAAAAAAGATATTTTTCTCACAAGTTGCATAATTTTTCTATCTGAATTTTTATTTGTATATAATTAACTTTTCTTGACTTTTTTTCCCTTTATATTTCAATATTATCTTTTAAAAGAAAAGTCAGTTTTAAGTGAAATTGTGATTTTTAAAACTTAATATTTTAATGTAACAAATGTTCTAGTATGTTTTAAGAGTAAATATCATTTGAGGATACTGATACATATCTCGCAGATTTGATTAACCCTTTATATCCTGACGACACTCATGCATTTGGTTCCACTTAACATTAAATAAAATAATATTTCCATAATCCAACAGATTTTCTTGATCTTTTTATTCAAATAGTTTTCGTATCTAACTACAAAAACACACTAAAAGTTTAATCTAATCATGATTATTAAAAATATGTTTCACAAGTTTTCTGAAAATATAATTTGGGATATAAAGTGCTATTACCCAATTCCACTTTAATCTATAAGTGTTTATCCTATTTAATCTATGATACTTATGACTAAGTAGCATATTATTACTAATTGAAACTGCAATGATAAAAGTTTTGTTGGAGTGGGAATTTTATTGTAAAAGATCAGGAAAAACCTGCAACAGTCAGGATATTGTTTTCTCAAAATAGTGTAGGAACCCTGTTATTAAGTTTTGTCACTTCAACTCTGATGTAGTCAATTTTGACTTATAGAAGTCGTTTAAGTAATTTGTAACTAAATTTTGAATTATTTTAAGTTGATCAGTATAAATTATTCTTTTGTTTCAGGCTGTTGAGGCTAAACTTGTGCCATTTTTATTAGATTTGCTTGAAAAGAAATTAGAAGGGAATAGTTCAGCTGTGAAGGCACAGATTGTTCAAGCTCTGAAATCCATGTGTCTATCTCTACAGCACGGCAATCAAGTAAAGTATAGATTAATGAAGAATATTCGGGGCTCTTTTGATTAATATTTGACAAATAGTTTTTTGAAAAAGTGCAACAAGGTTCCTTTTTTTATAGTTTGAATAGATTTAATTAAGAGTAATCTAAAAACGTACTTTTAACAATGCATTATTAGAAATGGTCTTTACACATATTTGTTAAGTTCTAAAACTTGCACACAGCTCGCAAATTCATGTTCGGGAAAACAAATGTAAAAGTGAAATCTGAAGAATTGAAAGTAGATTATTTTATACCAAACCTTGACTGCTATTTTTTTTTAAAAAAAAAGACTATTTTTAGGCATGTAAATTGTGTCATTTTGTTAACTTTTGTTTTGAGAATTTAGAACGTTTTTCTTTTGTTTTCATTATCACTTTTTTCTGTACAGTAATGCAGATAACTGGTAAAATGAAAAACTGTGCTTTTCTACGTCTAAGTTATGTTTTAAGGAAAATGTTTTTCTGTCTTTTTTTTTTATATTAACCATTCTTTTTTATCCCCACTTATAATTATGACACAGCATTTTTTATAGAACATTTCTAATAAGCTATATTCTATTATTGTCATTTATTTCTAAAAGTACGGCTACGTAAAAATGTTAAATTAGAATTTTTAGTGTTTTTTTCTTTTAAAAATCAAGAACAGTTTTTGTTTTGGTTCTATCGATCTTTTTCTATTTTTAAAATACTTTTATCCATGTTTTTATAATGACATGGCAATTCAGAGGGATTCTATTAGATAATTGGAAAACTGAAATTTTCAGTTTTAAAGTTTTATTTCTCGAGATTTAAGGTGGTTTTTTATTTTATCTTTTTTTTTGCTTTTGCGTATAATCTTTTGATTTCAAACGCGTTTTTAGCAGGGTTTGTCAATGTGGGTCCAGCCCAGAAACACCCAACTGGTTTTTTCTGATTGGGCCCACTTGAAAAAACCCACTTTTATACCCATGAAGTATGTTTTTCAATATTTTCAATCAATTTTCTTTGCAATTTTCAAACAAATTGTTACTCAAAATTATCAACAGATTGTTTTATAAATTTAACATAGAAATTTTTAATGCTGAATTATATGCAATAAAACATATATCATTAATCTGATTTTTGCAAATAAAATTAGGATGATTAAATGAAGTAAATAATAAAAATATAAAGTACGTGATTAAAAAAAAAACAAACAATTTAATGAGTATTTTTAGAGCGTAAAGATTTCGACTTACCGTCAGTCCGTTCATTTTACATACCAATCATTTTACATGTTTGATGAGTCCCTATCTACTAAGCTGGGTTTAATAAGATTATTGCACTTTCATGTGCAACTCTGCTGCATTTTCCAAGATATTCTCAAATACATTTTTCACCTCCTGAAATGGAACCAAAAAATCTCTCGATCTTTTAATAGTGGCTAATATAATCAAGAAAAGAGTTCTTTGTCAGAAACTAGTTATTATATCATGATCATGTAAAGTCTTTGAAAATTATTTTGCATTTAAAAATTATATTAAAAAATCAACACAAAAATATGCTAAAATAAGAAAATATTTTCAAAAATTGTCATTACAAATAAAAACCATTTATGACTGCTAAAATTTTATTTATTTTTCCCCTTATATTCAAAAACTATTTTGCTATTGTAAAATTTTTGGCTTAAAATTCTATCCATATTTAAAAATCCATTAAAATCATTGTCGATAGTTAAATTTCAACTTGAATAAAATAAAATCATGCATCTAACCATACTAACACTAGACGTTATTTTCATTATGAGAACATTTTCGACTATAGGTCATACAGAAAAAAGTTTCACAGAGAAAAAAAAACGTTTTATGAAAAAAGGTATGTTAGAATACATTTAGAATAATGTTGGAGATAATAGTTCGAATTTCAACTTCCTGTAAAGTTTACAAAAAGAGAGCAACGTAGTTTCCTTTTTTAAAAAAATTATGGGGAGGAAAAGTGTTCTTAAAAACATGGTGGGAAGTGAATTCTTCTATAATGTCATAATAACAATCCGCGAGAGGGTTCCATTGCAAGTTGAAATGCGTAATTAACCCGGGATTTATCGTTCTTTGAGGGAGACATGAAAACAAAATTTTAAGAGATAAGAAGGAGAATCTTAAAATTTTCTTTTTTAAAGGTATTTTGTGAAAATACCGTTTTTCCTAAAGTTGATTTTGTGAAAGTAAATTTTCCCTGGAGAGATCCCTGCTTAAAAATATTTTTTGAGAGCTAAAAACGTACTTTATTTTTTGTTGAGAGTCAGAACTGCTTGAAATAATTTGTGTGATGATTTCAGATAAGTGAACAGTTGGAGAAATCAGAAATATGGGCAGAATACAAAGACCAGAAGCATGACCTTTTTATCAGTGAAACACAAACCGGTGGATATCTTACAGGTATTCTACATTATTTAGACTAAAATAAGCTCTAAAACTGAGTTGTTTTGTTTTTCAATTTTAAGTGCATTTATAATGTTGCTACAGTGAAATCACACATCCTACGAAGCCTCCATTTATTCCCTGTGAATCTTCTATGAATAAACCATTATGTACCCTCTCTGTAAAGTGGGCAGTCATTTATGCCCACTCTCTATCTCTTGAAACTGGACACCCATTTTTCTAAATTTAGAAGAACGAAATCTGTTTCACTTTTAAATTCTAAGAAAGTAAATTTTTTGCCTTATCCACAACTAAAAATAATGTTAAGCCATACCTGCCAAGTCACCTGTTTTTTAACGAAAATTCCTATATTTTACCACTATCTCCTGTTTACCCATATATTCCGCAAAAATACTTCTCTTATTCCTCAACAGATAGTGCTATAGCCTGCACTGCAGTACATTGAGTGTTAATAGTCTAAGTAATTATAAATAATGGTTTGAAAAGACTTTCTTTAGATTAAGACTTATATACATATTTTTTACTTCGCTAAATGTAAGTGCTTATATTATTTACATTTTTTTGAATTTCTTCTTTTAACGTACATGATTATGCATGATGTATCAAAACTTTGCTCATAGCCTAAAAAATGTCACCATTGTTTTATTTCTCTAATGTTGGCAGGTATGTGTTAAGCTATGTCACTATTAGATAATCATTACCGTGCTTTTATCTTTGCAAAGAAAGGTGAGAAAAATGATTGTGTAACATATTTTTGACATCTTTTTTATCTGGATCTCCATACATTTAAATGATGCCTTAAATACTCTCAATTCCTCTTTCCCACTGAAAATTCCTCTCAACTTCTAATCAATTTGGAGTTAGTATTTAACACAGCAGAGAGAACAGAAATCCGGTCATTAAGGTGACCATATAAAGGTAACATTTGACGGATGGTCAAGTGTAGGACCTCATGCCTTTAAGGTATGCAAAGTTGCTTTTATTTTCTGTGCATAGTGAGAGATATACCTTTAAGGAGGTATTACCACATTTCCTATCAAGTAATGGGGGTGGTATGCCCATGTCCCAGAGGTCGTGGACTCGATCCCCGTGTTGTAAATGTTGACTGATGCACGTTAAATCTGTTGAGTCACAAAGTCCTCTATGTTCCCATACCAAATCATACCTCTGGGGTAACTGATCCAGGAGTTTTCTTGTCTTCTGGATTGGTTCAAAATTACAAGACTACGGAGTGGAACCATAGCAGTAGTAAACCCAAAAACTGATTCTGCTTTTCCACGACGGATGTAATATCAAGTAATGGAGAAGTGTCAGGATGTGTAACCTTAATAATTAAGCCGACTGGGGAGGTAGTAAGGTAAAAAATTTAACTAGTAATTGAAATTTCTTTACCTTTGAAATGGTTATTTTATACATGGTACATAAGTGCTTAAAGGTGTTTATTTTAATTTTTAAAAGCACTTGAAGGTACTTTTTTTATTGGGTATTTTTAAAAAGCGCTTAAATTTCCTTTTTTGAAAATGAGATTTTTTTTCTTTTCCATATCGATTTTCGCAATGTGTTATGCAAAAGCGTGGTTTTCACGTTGTTCTATTCAACATTGTCCCAATTTATTTCAGCGTACCGTCTGTTCGTAGCGTGGAAAAGCGCCAATCATTTTACATGTTTGATGAGATTCTTGCACTCCCATGTGCAACTCTGCTGCATTTTGCACGATAATCTCAATTTCAGACTTCAGTTTCAACCTTCTGAAATCTAACCAAAAAATTTATCGATCTCGTTATGGTGACTTAATATAATCAAGAAAAGAGTTCTTTGTTAGAAAAACTAGTTATTTTATCATGATCACTTACAGTGTGTTTGAAAATTATTTTGCATTTTGTAAATGTATCCAGCGCTTTAAAATATTTCTGAAATCGGATCGAACAGGCTGAGGAATGAATAAACAAACAAAAATATCAAATTATTTTCAATAAAAACGATTTTCAGGTATGTTTGCGATCTTATCTTATTTCAATTGTTTTTAATATTTAGCCATAATTAACCTATCTGCAAATTAATATATACCTTTATAGTTATTACATATATAACATTGAAATTTGAAAAAAAATCTTATTGTCAGGGTATCCGCCCACCTGGAAAGTCATGAAAAATCATGGAAAGTCATGAATTTCAGTATTGAACAAAATTTGTCATGAAATGTCATGATTTTTACTATTTTTTAAAAATAATCATGGAAAGTCATGGATTTAGGTCTCCGAAAAATCTTAATTTTTAAAATAGAATCCCCCCAAATTTTATCCTGTTCCAAATATCTGAATTAGTAACAAAATCAGGTGTTCTTTCAAAAAATGAAAGAGAAAACATCTTTTCTAGAGCGAATTATCTTTTAAACTCCTCTGTGATTTAAGAATTTTTATTTATTTTTTTTAATTTTATCAATTTAAAATTCTAGTTGAAGCAAACCAGTCATTGACGAATTTTTTTTATTTTGAAATGAGAACAGAAAAATCAGGAGTATTTCGATCCTTTCTGATGAACAAGAAAAGTATCTTTAGAATATAATTCTGCAGAAAAAAAATGATTTGCTTTTGTATTTTTTCAGCTATTTTATTGCTTCAATTCTTTCTTTACTCTGTTTTTTAAATTTAAAATCTATAAATATGAAGATGCAGAGTATAGCAATTTTGGTTACACCTATCATTTCAATTAATATTATGCTTTTTTTAAATTTATTGTTGCTTTTTAGTAACTTCATTAATAGTAAAATAGTAACTTCGTTAAATCATGAAAAATTCTTGGAATTAGTCATGGAGAATCATGAAAAGTCATGAATTTGAAAATCTGAAATGTAGCAGATACCCTGTATTGTGTCCCCAAAGTACTGAGGCTCTCGATATAACAATATATCCCTCTCAGGGAGGAGATTTTTCCACTTCTTAGCTGATTTCCGCTTATGTCTCTCAAATTTCAGCCTTTTTATCAAAAATTCCTTTTCTCTAAAAGTTTTTTAATAAATATTCCGCTTTTTCTGAAAATTCAGCCATTGAAATAAAATAATATTTATTTAAGATTNCTTCTTAGCTGATTTCAGCCTTTTTATCAAAAATTCCTTTTCTCTAAAAGTTTTTTAATAAATATTCCGCTTTTTCTGAAAATTCAGCCATTGAAATAAAATAATATTTATTTAAGATTTTCAAAGATAAACAGAAAATTCTGACTACGTAACTTCCACCCTTCAGCATTTTTTCTTATTTTAGCTTTTTTCTCCGCTTTTATGCACAGAATATAAGATTTTTCCCTTGCCCGCCGGATTGCTCATATTTTCGTAATTCAGACGTCGCTGCTTCTCTACTCGATTCTTATTCACGCGATTTTAATGTCAAACATCGATTTTTGTATTAACCTGATTTAAAAGTTGCGCGTTGTGATTCTTATTCACGCGATTTAAATATTGTACATTGTGATTCTTTTTTCGCGAGGTTTAAAAATCCAATATCCCAATTTGTATTTAGACTTCTTGAAATCCTATGTAATGATTTGTATTCACGCGAATTTAAAATCCAATGTTGTGATCCGTATTTACGCGATCTAAAAATTACGCATCATGATTTGTATTTTTGAAATCCAATATCGAGTTTCATGTTCATGTGATTTAAAATCAAATATTTTTTTATACTTATTCACACAATTTTAAAATTGTGCATGTGAAAAGAATTCATACAATTTTAAAATTAATTATAGGGATATGTAATCACATGGTTTTAAGGTTTAAAAATCGCACTTTTTTGTCAAATTTTAGGATATCATAGTTACATATTATCTATACAATCGGACTTCTATTTAACGAACTTCCATTTTGCATATTTTTTTGAAGAACCAAGAACATTTTGGAAATTTCTGCGTAAAATAACTTCCATATAGCGAAGTGAATTTTCTATTTAATGAACTTTTCTTTGAAATCCACTTTCCCTATTTCCCAAAATATTTCAGAACATTTTAAATTTGTTAACGCATTTTAAGGGGGGAATGACCTTGAATTGATTTTTGAAGTTACAACTTTTAGAGAAAGCAGTGAAATCCTTTCCCCTTTTTGTTTGCATTTCAAATGAAAAACCCAGAAATTAACGGATTTTATCAGTAACAATTAAACTTATGAACGCATGTGGTAATGTATGTTTAAAATTACTTCGATAATAAATGAAGCTATAATTTTATACATAAATTTAGCTTTTTTTAGTTGAAATTGTATGTAGCATGATAGTGTGACACTGGATAATGTTTTGCTCTATTCTTGCTTGCCATGCAGTTCATGGTTAAGATTTATAAAGTAAATAGTAGTGGATACTAGTTTACAACATAAAGGTGTATTAATTGCTATTTTAATTATGTGTAGTGTTAATGAATTTAAAACTTGTTTTGTGCTGTTTAAGTATTTCAAAAGATGATTTTC